GTAATATTTTAATCTTCCAGAACCGGGAACACAAACACCGAACAGAGGTGTACGTTATGACCGTCACCCAAGAGCTGGCGGAGTGGGAGGACTCGCGTCAGATGGGCAGAAAAAGGCAATGGTTCTCGATAGACGACGCACTCGCCCAGCTGGCGTTACACAAGCCAATACAGCGTCATTACCTGCAGCAGTTGAAGCGCTCCAAACAGAAACCCGACGACCCGGGCAGCTAAGCCAATATCGCTCTTAAGTTAAGGAAGCTAAAGCCCAGCTTGCTGTGATGCGTCTACATAACGCTAGTTTTACAAGTTGCAGTACCGTCTTGTTCCTATCGCTTATATAATATAAATCACTGATGAGAGCTTGGTGAACCTTTGTTAATTCTTTCAAAACCCTATTCATTTTATTTTTTGTATATGTCTAAAGTTAATCATCAGTAACATTTTGTTAAACAAGAAATTCACTCATTTTGTACCTACCTGAAAAACATTTTAGCTATTGTCAACTTGACACACAGATGATTATAAAAAAAAAGATACTCGTTAAAAATTCATATGTAAATTGTTTGCTGTTATATTCATTTAAATTATTAATGTATATATTCTGAATAAAAAGAAGTTAAATTTTGCATAAATTCTAACTTTTTTTTCATGATATTCAACTTAGATTTATCTCGAATTACCCCATATTTTTTAAATATAGCTTGAGACAATGTATTTATGTACGTGTATTAAAGTGTTCTCCACTATAATACACATAAAAAGGACATACGTATTAGTTTTCCTGTCTTATATGTCAAACATGATCACTTTACTCTTTTTACTTTGACTGATTGATAGCCAACAAAAATTTAACAAAATTGTTAAAACAACTTGTTGCCTGTTGTAATCGTGCCTAATTGTTAACATGTCAATTTGGATACATCGAGTTATTTCTATGATACCAATCAGTAAGTAAGTTTTATAGAGATATACGAAGCAGCACACAGTTTAACAATTTTTAGTGTTTAGTATCTATTTTAAATGATCAAATTGATTCTTTAGCGGCAAAAGTAACTACTACAAGGTCGTTTAAATAATAAATAGAAGATTTCGAAACACTTTCGTCATTGATTCTCTTGGGTTAAACTGTAGTTATCCCGAATAAATCCCCCAGATATTCGAATTTGTGCAAGATTGTAAATTAAGAATAAAATGATTTCCATTCACTGGTAAATATGCTAAGCATTCAAAACCATAACCAAAAAGTCTTTTAAAAAATGATCAATTGTAAATTATAATAAATTTGGTGGGAATATTATAACTCGGATTGTAGTTAATGAATTGTCGTTCTAATAATGGTTTAAGGTAGATTTTGATACGTAAATGTTGTGTAACTGTTTTCATCAAATGTCTCTATGAAACAAGTGCTATAATTGTGATAAAAAACCCAAGATATTTTGCCTGTTTTAGAGCCTTAAGTTACTATTGTCGTCTTCTGTCTGCTGGCTTAAGTTATCACAAATGTTATTATCAAATTCTAGAAACTTCGCAATGTGATGCATCATCATTTTGTGAAATAAATAGTAAAAGTTATTATATACTGGATAATGTATTACAGCGTTGGATGTATAATTCTTTTTGGCTGTAAACCTTGTAGCCAAAACCACAATAATACTTTTAACAAAAAAAAAAAACAATTTTATTATTACGTTTTGCTTGGCCTTACCTTAATAAACCTACTAAACCATGTTTTTTTATTGTTTTAAAGAAGCAAATTCAGGCATACAATCAGTTCACAAACAATCAGAAAACCATGATTATGGACTTGATTGTGCTGAAACTTATGTAGACCTACTTAAATGCAACCAACATTGCTAAATAAAAACATAATAAAGAGTTTATTAAAATTACATATAATGAAAATACAAGTACCCGTTATAAGTATAAAGAAATCCGCCATTTAAATTCAACAAGGTTAATATTAAAAATCTAGAAATTTCTATAATACCTATCAATGTTATGTTATAAAGAGATATGCGGGACAGCACACAGTTGAGTAACATTTTTAATGTTTCTAACGTTTTTCTAATCTGGTTTTTTTTTTTGCGAAAAAATGGCTGCAAATCGGTGCTCTTGTTTTAACGTTCAAATAATTGAAAGAAATTTGAAAAACTCGTCATGACTGCTGCCTTTACTCAATTCTTAATTTTCTAAATGAGCTCGCGTAAACCTAATGAAACAATAAAAAACCCTACTGTATGCAACTAATAGCTTCCTAAATTATAATTGAAGGCTGACTTTACTATGTTAAAATGTAACTCAATAAGGAATTTGTATGTAATACTAATTTACTGTCGTAAATACTAATTTAAAGTATTGTGAGCATGTCACACACAATGGTTATTTGTTTATACGATGTAAATTTGACGCAAAGTCGGGATTATCAAATAACAAACATTTTAAATCTGTTTTTATTGTTTGGGCTCGTTATAGATTATATCAGTGATAGTTAAAAATTACATACATGATGCGCGAACAAAATATTCGTCAGTCATGAAATGGACACGCTGATGTAATCGTGCCTATCCGGTAATTAAAAAATAAGGTGACAAGACTATAAAAAATGAATGTGTAATATTATCACAAATGTAGGTCACTTGTAACTATATGTCAGGTAATTATGGTAATTAAATACTAAGCAAGTATTTTGGTCTTTGTTTTAAAGACACGATTAAATGTATATTTTTCAAATATCATTATTATTATCACGTCTTGGATATTTTTAGAGCTTTGGTAAAGCAATTTCTTTGGCTTAGTGTGATAACAATATTTAAAAATGTGTTTGCGGAGGGATATCACGGTACTGCATGTTTGCCCACTAGATGCGTATTGTTGACGGACACCACTGAAACGTCAGTCTTCACAAGATGGTAACGAACACTCACGTAACACTTGTAACATCTCTTTTTTCAATTTTTACGTATATTTTTATACTACGATGAAATTAATGTTAATTTTATTTTGTTAGCATTAAAACAAAAAGACATCCAATCTCTATTTTTTATTTAAATTAATTTTGGTGTTATAATATTCCTCGATGAGTTGTAAAGAATAAATTTTATATTGCTCTTCTGTCGAGTTTTGTTTAAAGCCAAATCGCCTTTACAATTTTCAGATATCAGAAACAGTGGAGCCGTGGTAGCTCGGCTGCGGGCTGCGGCTAAGCGCTTGTTGTAAATTTCGCAATCCGGGTTCGATACTCGCCGGCACCAATGAAATTGTTAATTGCAATTTTAATTACTGCTTTACCAGCATGCTCTGCAGTAAAGGAAAACATCGTGAGGAAACCTACATGTCTGAGAAGTAAGAAAAAAATATTTCGAAGACATGTGAAGTTCGCCAACATGCAATAGGCCAGTGGAACATATATAGGCTGTAACTCGAAGGGATACACTGTCAAATTTTTTTTGAATTCATCATCGTCATCACCATCACAGCCTATAAAAGTCCACTACAAACTACACAAAATTTTATTACTCACCATCATTACACTGAAAATGCCGTTCCTAGAGTGTAACTACCACAAGTCCACTGCTGAACAGGTCTCCCCTATAGATTGTCTCATAGGGTGCATATTGCCATAGTTGCCACGCTTGGCAGGCAGATTAATAACCACAGTTTTCATAATTTTGAATTATCAGTAAGATGATGCTGTGCAATTCGTGGTTTAAGGACTCAAACATTTTACGAGCTATCTACATCTGAGGAAACGCAGAAGTTAGTGGCACAATACAAAATCAGTCAAAAACAAACTGTCAGGCAGAGATGCGATCACAGAGTTTAACCGCTCACCAAGTTACAAGAACTTCCAGCAATGAAAGAGATGAGTTACTTTATGATTTTCTCATCTTCAACCGCCTGGTAAGCCTAAACTTAGGCTGTACACCAACCTTTGTAACGCGTGCTAGGCAAGAAGTGTTAGACATAACATTTGCTACTAATAACAAGTCCAGGCGGATAAATGACTGGTATGTTAGTTGTGAAAACTTGATGTCTGGTCTCAAATTCATTAAGTTTATGATTGAAGCAACCTATGATCCAGAAGCGACCTCCTCGGATATCTACAGAGATAGCCTAAGGAGGAATTTGGAAACGTTTCCTAAAAGCATCAAAATGATTGAAGGTCTGGAGTTAAGCGGAGTTAGCGTGATGGTAACTTCACTAATAGCTTCATTTCCCAAGGTCACATGAGACTTCTGTCTTAAATTCAAAGCCCTACGAAGGCCTTATAATGAGGACTGGTATAGGGCTGCAAAGATAATAAGGCCAAAAAACAGGCCTGGTTCAGTGGGCTGTTGACTCCTTAAAACCATTTAAGACAAGCGGGGTGGATGGAATAATTCCCATCCAACTGCAGAGGGCATCGATATCCTTCTTCCTTATCTGGTGAAAATCTTCAGAACAAGTTTTGCATGGGGATATATACCAGAATGATGGACAATTGTCAAAGTTCTATTTATACCTAAGGCTAGTAGAAAGGACTACGCTTTACCAGTCCTTTAGACCCATAAACCCATCTTCCTTTGTTCTTAAGACTTTGGAAAAGGTTATAGATAGATATATAAGGGATTTAGCTCTAGCTATGATGCCCATACATTACAACCAGCATGCATACCGCAGAGGAAAATCTACGGAAACAGCCCTGATCAGTGTTATTGACAGGGTCGAAAAAGCACTGGTGGATAAAGAAAAAGATCTTTGTGCCTTTCTAGATATTAAGGGCGCCTTCGACAGTAGCCCAACATCGTTGCTGATTGGGGGCCTGACATCTAGAAATGTTGACCTCGCAACCATCAGGTGGGTGATGGTTGTGAGGTCAACATTTCTAGATCTCAAACAGAAAGACGAAAATAGCACTGTTTCAAACTTCGATTGAGGTTGCTGCAAGGTTGCAGAAAGAACTCGATAGTTTTCTGTCAAAATAATAAAAAAAAAAACGCTGTCTTGAATATTTTTATTTCATATACTTGTAATACTCGCTAAAAAAACCCACACACTAACGACATTATTAGGGTATGCGAACACTTGAACAGCGAGCGCGAACTCCACGTCTGGGTCGTCGTTTGCGTGTACGGCACTGGCCTTGACGTTAGCCAGCACCGACTTTGCGCTCACATAGTGCATGTTTAGGGGGAAGCCGTACATCTAGAAGCAATATTACCAAGTTATTATTTAAAACCTTGAAAACCGATAACTGATGAAGAAGAGAGATTTCATAGAATATGGATGACAAACGAGCACACAGTTGACCCTGATGTTAAGTGGATGCTGTGGCCCAAAGATATCATATATAGGCTTTATTTTTGAGGATTGAGATGACGAGAATGCCTCGTTTTCAATAAAAAGGGTTTCCGGTACACTCGCCATACGACTATAATAGCATTAAGCTGCTATTTTATTTTGGTATTCTGTGAAAGCGTAGTCCTTTCCCGGTCGACTCAACTCATTTGTGCCAGAATCATAATATAATGATTTCTTTTTTTACGTCAACACTACACATTTAAATAATACTAGTTTTTACGGATTTTATCGCTTCTGAGATATCAGTCCGTGACCATGGGTGCTGTACTATAGGTATAACGCCCGAAACGTCGGGTATCATCATCATCATCATTACAGCCCTTTACAAGTCCACTGCTGAACATAGGCCTCCCCCAAGGAATGCCACAAAGCATGGTCCTGAGCCACCTGCATCCATCGACTTCCTGCATGTCTAACCAGGTAACGTCGGGTATATAAAAAGTTAATATACGCAATAAAATCCGTAAAAACTAGTATTATTTAAAGGTATTTATGTTGTTCATAATTTAATTATCACATATTATACTTAACCAAGACAGCAGGCAGCGCGGCGGACACTTCCTAACCCTAAAACCCTCTCAGAAATGAGGAGAGGCCTGTGCCCAGCAGTGGGACGTATATAGGCTGTAACTTTACTTTACTTTATACTTAACCAATATATATCAATAAATTGCTCGAATTAGTCAAGTCGAGTCCATCGCTAAATTGTAGACAGACACTTAAAATGTATTATGTGCATTGACCGTAAGATAAAGGTGCGATTCGAGTATTATTTTGTGACTCGAGTCAATCGGGAAAATTTTTGTATTTGTTATTCTAGTTTTACACGAGTTGTCGAATAAATTGTCTATTTACAGTCGCTGAATCGAATAAAACTTTATCATTCGAGTTTAAATCATAATAGAGAGTCTGTAGAGATTTTGTAGTCCAACCACCTAGGCTAGGCTAGATAGAGTGACAATCTGGTAAGACATGCAGATTTCTTGGGGTGAGGCCTATATGTTCAGCAGTGGACTTGTGATGGACTGCAATGATGATAATGATAATAAGCAATTTCCATGGGCATGGGAAGGACAAGCTAGTGAGTGTATCTATGTTTTATTAACTGTGTTCGTTATCACTACTCTCTCTAGCCAGTAATTAGTCTATAAGTCGTAGTTACGGGTAATTGGTGGACAATTGGAGTTGGAGGTTCACACCGACTTGTCAGTGAAGTCACAAGACTCCAACTGAAAACCAGCGCTGCCTCTGCAGCATTATGCTGAGTTGGAGACCTATTTGATGTCACATTTTATCTTTAAATTCTTTTTTATTTGTTTTTTGTGTCATTATTAATTAATCGTCGTCGTGCATGTACTGCTTATTAATATTTTTTTAATGCGTAAGCAGTCTTACACCCGAGCATGCATATTTTTGCCCCTTGTAATTTATATTAACATTTCTTAAATTGTATCCAAAGTATGATTATCAAATAAATGGCTCTTTCTTTCTTTCATGTATACTTTAATCCCTATAATGTCCTGTGTGGACGTAACAATTACCTTATATGTAGCCATCAATTGTTTGAGTCTATGGCCTGGTTCTGGTCTGAATTCAGTAGAGTTGAAGGCCCAATATTCCCATTGTGGCAATGTTTCCCGCAGCAAAGTACAGCAATATCTGTTCGGAATTATTAAAACAATCAATATTACAAAAAAAGGTGTATTTTCAACACGCATTGACCTTAAGCATTGATATTAGTGAGTACCATACAAGGTCAATCAATCATGAAGTTATTGTATTGACATCATATTAATACGTCAGTCAAATTTAAAATCATTCCGACATCCGAAAGAAGTTTAAAAAAAACATTACTCCAATACATAAATAAATACATTTTAAAAGAATCTTAGATCCACACTAGGATATTTCCTGTTTGGTATTAGACAGTTTACATTTTAAACATGTGATAAAACTAATGGTCTTATAATTAATTGGAATTGCTAGATAAACTTATGGCTTTATAGGTGGCGCTATAACCATTTTGTTTACACAAGACTGTGTAGTGGCGGTGTAAGAATATCCCCCCCCCCCTCATAATATCATCCCATGGGTGTCGTAAGGGGTGACAGAGTGTAATATATCGGAAGATCGTCTTTAACAAAACTGCGGTTGCCATCCCGCTTGCGAAGCGTGGCAACTAAAGCAAATATCCAAGTATGAGGCAATCTTTTTTTTTATAGGAGAGGGGGCAATCGAGCATACGGCTCACCTGATGTTAAGTGACTACCGCCGCCCATGAACAACTGCAACACCAGGGGAATTGCAGGTGCGTTGCCGGCTTTTTAGAAAGGAGTAAGCTCTTCTTGAAGGTCCCTAAGTCGTATCGGTCCGAAAAAACCGCCGGTGGTAAACTATTTCACAAAGAGGTCGTACGCAGAAGAAAGCTCCTAGTGAAAAGTACAGTGGTGGACCGCTAAGCATCCAGATGATGTCGATGGTATCGGAAGTTAATTGATAGAATCAGACGTTACTTTGCGGAAATCCATTATAATAAAGATATCAATTAATTTATTTTGCAACCATCCGCTAACTAAATGATGATGTGTCTTACCTGGATTGAAGAGCACCTCCCGCCCTCCCTCAATTGGACACATACCTCCACATTTAAAAAGCCATACCCACGTACACACACTCACACATGTGCGCGCTAATGTCAATGGTTAAGTAATTACACAAGAAACGCGGTCCCTGAGTTAGGAACAGCGTTACTTATGTAATTACCGTTACCGTTACCGTAACAGCGTGTCAAAAGGCATCTGCTAAACTTGGACCTCCTCCATATATTGCTTCATAGGAGTTATTTGCTAAAGTTGCTGCTTGGCAGACAGGTTGGCAACCACAATTTTTTTAAATTTTTTATTCAGGACGACAGTGGTGCTCACCTCCTGGTTTGTTCCTCGCTTACGACACCCACAGGACGACATGTGGTTGTGGATACTCTTACACAACATTACGCGTGGTAGTGGTAGAGCATGTTGTAGCTATATTAAGGTTGTAATATTGGGTCGTCTCAACCGGTCGAGAACCACACGCTCTCACAGAATATCACCACCGTATAACAGTAGCATTATCCAGATTTTTTTTCTTTATATTGAAATGTAAGATATTACAATTTATGGAACCCTTGTTACAATCAGGAGTGTGGTGTGTACGTTTATCACACTTATTTCTATAAAAACTTCTCATATCTCTGAAACGAAGGAGTGTCTGAAAATCAGCGCTACCTAAATGGGATCGTTATCCCGTGTCAGCAAAACCTGAGCTACCTGCTATTACCTACATTTTGTTAGCATGAACTTTTTAGCCATGTAACTAAAGATATAATTTTTTATTATAGCAATAAAGAAGTATTTGTTTCACAGATTATATAAGATTTGGTAATATTTTATTTTTATTTTATTTTATTTGTTATATGCTTGAGAAACTTACAGCTAATTTACAAAAATAATATAATTATAACAATAATGAAGGCCATTTACAAGTGTTCACTTATATAATACTTTATATAACAAGATTGTGCACCCATATGGCAAGTAACAGTACACTTAACTATAAAGAACATTATCAAAAAGAAAAGAAGTTGTTAGAAAGTGAACGCCTAAGTTGGAGAACGCTGGAATGAAATAAGTCAATATCTACGTTGTGAATATGTGCTGTAGCGTTAAAAGATCTGCATGATCGAATAATAAAAGAGTTTTGTCTATAATTACTTTTTCCGTATGAAACAGATAAAAGTGTAGGTTTCCGCAAGCTAGACCATGAGGTACGTAAACCTATTTTACCCAGTAGTACAGGGCAATCGACATCACCATTAACAATTTTAAAGAGGAAAAAGAGATCTGCAATATTTCTTCGAATAATTTTTTTTAGATCTTTAATTTTTAACATCTTTAATCAAAGATTATATACAAATGCGAACCTGTTCCAAACAGTCTTCATCCGCGATCGCCATTTTTCAACCTTACTCGTTATTTTAGATTCTAGTGCTTCTTGCAGTTTGTCAACTTCGCAAGGCGCACTGTACAGGCTCTCGGTTGACAATGTCGGCGGCCTTGGAACTGGTCCCACTGTGTTAAACACCTAGAATGAAAATTAAAAAAATTAAAAATGTTTTATTAACAGAAAAAATATACAATAGGTAATATCTGTTGGTTTCCTCACTAGGCAAGCCTGTATCGAGGAAACCTGAGACCAAAGTTCACTAGGCATTATTTTATACATCTTATCAGACAATCTGTCATAATATACCTACACAAAACAGCAATAAAAAACCTGCATTTTGCTCAAAATCTAAAAACATAAAAAAATGATAACTGTACTTCGAATCCAATCAAATTATAAATACATCCGATACCATTCACCACCACTTCAATTAATTCATATCAACCCTTACATATTATGCCCAGTTCACATTTTTCCAGTAACATTCCAGTCCAGCTGTCGATTCCAGCGCTGGAGTGCCACTGGAATAATGTAGACTGGCACTGAAATGTAACCATTCCAGTGAACAATCCATTACAATGACTGGACTGCAGGTATACTTTTTCATTCCCGTTCGCCCATTCAAGGGCCACTGGAATAGGGTAGATGGCCAATCCGGTGCTGGATTTAACATTGAACATTGACCAAGCATTGTTGTTTTTATGGGAACACACATTGTTGTAGTTCTATAAATTTCTAACAATGAAGTTGTCTGAAGAACAAACTCTTCAGTTTACTTCTTTATACCGAGAATTATATTATATAACATTATACAGAACAGAGCTATAGTAAAATATTATTTTACAATACAACCCCAACCACCGCCATGTTCTTATGTTATTTTTTTCCATAAATTAATTATTTTAAAAGCCGGAAACCTCATAAAACTACTAAAACTGTCCAGTTATAGGGTCTGCCCTTCATTATCAGACATCCCGCAAACAAATTTAACGAACATAAAAAACAGACATAGCCGCTCCTTCTTATATTGTTCTTGAAAAAGAAATCGCTTCAGTTTTGGAGGGAGCAGGAGAAAAAGAGATGATGATTTCATCAATTTTTAGGTAGGTATAATCAGTCCGAGTTGCAGTTCTTTTTCTGAATTGTCCAGCTCGGTTATTCAGGCATATCGCGACAACATTAGACCTGTTACAATCTATTTTTAAAATGTCTTGCCACTCTAATATCTTAAAGTTCACCAACTTGATTTGCACTGAAGCAGCATCACAAATATCCAGGCTGTATTACCGTTTTAAGAAGATGCATCTAAAAGAAGTTTAAGTATTATAACTTACTGGTTGCCAGTCCGACGTCTTGGAGAAGTCAAAGGACAAGCTTTCGCAATCTTGTGACGATTGTATGTTTACCCATATCTGGAAAAGAAATTCAATGATAAAAATATATACGATTGTAGATTTTACGGTTAGGAACCCATCACCATCACCGTAACTCGTTGCGTGGGTGACGTTAGAGTAAAAAACCCGCCTGAAAGTGCTCTTGGCATCCGATATCAGTATTAATTTTTTTTAACTATCTCGCCTCGCTTTATTCTCTCTTCACATTAGGTAATCTAAGTGCAAAGTATTATAGAAATACCAGATTGGTACCTAACTTGTGATAGACCCGTGCCTCATGCAGATTAAAAAAAAACCTGTATTATATCTATACACAAAAATCAATTGCTGTGGCAAAAACTCGAAAATGGCTGGATCGATTTTGATGAAATTTTTTGTGTGTATTTGACTTAGGATGGTTTAGATATCAATTGAACGCGGTAGATAGTCCTGTTGTCAAGATCCATAAATTATCGTGCAAACCCGGTGCGGATCGATAATCGCATATAGAAGTGTAAGGATACAGCCAATATACGTACGTAGGCCTTATTTCATTAATTTTTTTAATATAATAAGGGTGCCAAACGAGCACACAGCCCACCTGATGGTAAGCGAATGCTGTGGCCCATAGACATCTAAATTTATCCTCGGTTAAGAAATAAACTTAGATGTGTTGTCACCCCTGAATGCCTTGCTTCCAGTAAAAAGGGTCTCCGGTTCTCTACAATCACCATACGAAATACAGCAGCATTAAACTGCTATTTTACGCTGTTATTCTGTGAGATCGTTGTCCTTCCCCGGTCGAGCCAACCCATACCCATAATAAACCTAGCTGCAGCGTAGCTCTACCACGTTTAGAGTTCATTATAGTCCTTCACCAGTCCACTGCTAAACATAGGCCTCCCCCAAGGAATGCCACAAAGCAGAGTCCTGAGCCACCTACATCCATCGACTCCCTGCATCTTTTACCAGGTTATCACTCCATCAAATGGGGAGCCGCCCTACACTTCGCTTACCGATACGAGGTGGCCACTCAAGAACCTTTCTTCTCCATCGGTTATCAGTTCTTCCAACCACATGGCCGACCCATTGCCAGTTCAGCTTCCTTTTCTCATTGTTGCAAGGATTTTGAAGCAAATAGTCGACAGTTGTCTTCCAGTGAGCATGTCAGTGAACTAACATGTACTCAAAATATTTTATTCCTCAGGTATGCTGGTTCTCCCGCAATGTTTTCCTTCACCGGCGAGTTTGTGATAAATCGCCACTTATAATTATTGTAATTAACAATTTCATTGGGATTGAAACTGGGTTCCTCACGTACTATGAATTATCTATCATATATTTAACCAGTATAATTACAGGCTGTAAAGTTATTACAAATTAGCCCTCAGAGGTGACAACGCATTTGTAGTCTTCTTTAAAACATGCTATATTATGGCTGTAGCACGAATGGGTCGATCGACCGGGGAAGGATAGCTCGCACAGAATACCAGAATACATGTTTCGTATGGTGAGTGTAGAGAACCGGCAGTTGACTACCTCGTTGGTAAAATAAACGCGACTGCTAATCATAAGGTCCTGGTTTCGAATCCTGGGTGATGGGCCAGTAAAAATCAGTTACTTAAAACCGTACAACTTTGTCCCCATTAGGAGTGATTTTTATTCCACGTTAAATACTTTTTTAAATAAATATTATTTTCAATTTATGATTGCACTACATCATTGATAAAGTTATTGGTTTTTGCATAGAACTTATGATAATATCATGACAATGAATGTTTATGTTCTAAAAATATTAAATTGAACTGCGGGCCAAATATATGGTACTTTTTACAAGTTGTCCATTTAATAGAAACCCCCATAACTTCGTTATTTTCTACCTTAAGAACATTAGATTTAGGGATCATTTTAGAAAAGTAATCAATCTATCATAGGACCTTATTACTAAACGTTAAACGTTCATTTCGGCTGTAAGAGTGCGCAACATTTTTTTTGTAATTTTTCATTCGAATAAAACGTTGAAGAACAAGGGTTGTCACTTTTTTGTTGATAATAAGTACATTGTACGTAGGTACGTTACGATCATGTACAAGCGGTACAAGAGAGGAGCTCTCCGCGAGGAGTAAAAGTATTCTGTGATCATGTAGCTCATTAATATTAATCTAAAATATTTAAACAATCATAAAATTAGAAGTATTTTAAAGCAAATGCTTTCTAGCTTTAAAACACAGTATAATATTAAGATTAATTAATATCAACTCATAATAGCAACATACATTTTGACTCATATAAAACTATATTCAAGATAAAGCTTTCAAAAACACGATATACTTAATACTATAAACTAATAGCAACACTTAGCATATCTAAGTAATATGAACATTTTTTTAGGCTTATCAAAAGAAAATAAAATATAACTTAACTTATTCAACAGCTTGCAGTTATACTTAGTACAAAACAGAAACCTGCACTACATCTGGGATTGGACTGTGTTTCACAACTATATTGCAATGACTTACAGTATATGTATATCTGTATCTCTCTCTGTATTCACCTTATTATAATCTAATATTGTGCAAAAGGTGCCTTTAGGAATCAAATTAATTCATGCCAAATATTATTTGGATTGATTCAGAGTAACTGCCTCCGTCAGGATATTGAAATTTTATAAAAAGATGATTTTCGATACCAGGATTGACGCTATGTAAATATGCTAATTATTAAAAAAAATTACATTTTGTTTTGTTTTTAATTTAAAATACAGTTTATTTTCATTTTAAATGTATAAAAAACCAAGTTTTAACGTAAACTTAATCAAATAAAGTTTATGATGGCGCGCGCGGGAAGTAATTTTGGGGAACGCGCGGGACGCAATTTGTGGCGCACTTGTCGTGTCACTGCCAGTATGTATAGTTTTTCAATGTGAAAGTTCGCGTTCTCTATTTCACAATATTTCTTGGTTGTTTTAAGCATGGAGAGAACTCGTAGTGCATTCAACTGTGTCCTCTTTTTGGTGATAACCAAGATATTACGTAGACTAGAGGATATACGTCGGTTAAGATCGGGCAAAGAGAGACCTGACGACATACCCCCCTTTGTTTGTAATCAGTTGCTGCGAAGCGTTATCCTTGCCTTTGGCAACCATTTTCAATATGTCCTTAAAAACGGGTTACTTTCCCTTCGGTCTGGAAACAGGGACGTATTGTCCCTAAATCTGGAGACGCAGGATCTGTCATAAATTACAGACCAATATCCATATTATCTGTCTTCGCTAAAGTTTTTGAATCATTAGTTTGTCCTGTTTTGGCTTGGCACATAAAACAAATAATCTCACACCAACAATCGAGCTTTTTAACATCTCCCTCTACAGCTACAATAATCTCGTTTCGTTTGTGGACTATGTCTCGAAGTCTCTCGATTCCCGCTTGTCTGTGGACATCATCTACACAGACTTCAGTAAGGCGTTTGACATTGTAGATCAATGATTCCCAAAGTGGTCTATATCGACCCCTAGGGGTCTATGACAACCTGCAAGGGGTCTACGTCAGGGAAAAAAAAATTGGGGGTCCACGATAGTGGATCTCAACACATACACTGATAGTACCTATTTACTTACATCATACTATCTTATAATATCAAAACATATACATTAGTTATAAAAGTACCTATGAAGAAAAAAATTTATTATATATGTGTGTAAAATTGTGTAGGATATTGGCATTCGCTTTGTGGTCGCAATACATTTTGAACTTAAACATCTGAGAGTCTCAGAGCTTCGCTACCTTGCACTGACTTGTTCAATTCGTCACTCTATAAATACGAATGTGGGACAAAAAAAGTTTATTCGTTTCCTGAATCTTGAAAAGGAAAGTGCTAAGAAAATATTTTAAAATATATAAACAGATAGTATATCACACAAATTATAGTGAGTCAGTGTTATTTTGTTTGAGAGTGCTGGAGAAAAGTAAGTACATTATGTTTATTAAATTTTAGTTTTGTACTCGTAGTTAGCAAAGATAGATAAATTACGCCAACCATGACTAGTTATTAGTAGTTTAATATTCAATCATGCAAAATTACACGAGTTTCTTTTTGAAAGTTTTAGCAATCGGTATTATAATTACAGTGCAATCTCCGTAATTCGAGCTAATTGTTGCAAGAAGATGTTCGAATTATGGAATGTTTTCGGAAAAATCAAAAAGTATTTTTAATATACAGCTGCTGGATTTTCTGTCTTATTTAAATAATTTAATTTTGCCCACAGATGACTGATGCCATGTCTGAATCTAAAAAGAAATGTAGACAGTACAGTGTCGATTATTTGAAATTTGGCTTCATTCCATCATTGCCGGACAAACAATTGCCTATGTGCCTTTTATGTAACAAAGTTTTGGGCAATGGCTCTATGAAACCATCTAAACTGCAAGATCATCTGAGAAGATGCCACCCTGATAAAACAGAAAAAGATTTGAAATACTTTCAAACACTCAAAGATAAACTTCAGAAGAGACCTACACTGGACAGAATGTTCGCTTCGACGTCACAAAGAAATGATGATGGTTTGCGGGCGTCTTACAATATCTCGTTACTTATAGCAAAATCCGGAAAACCGCATACTATCGGAGAGAAGTTAATTTTGCCAGCCGTTGAAGAGGTTTTAAAAACTGTTTTACACAAACCTGCATCTGATATCATTAAAAGAATTCCCTTAAGCAACAATACTGTTGAAAGACGTATTGATGAAATGAGTTCTGATATTGAAAGCTTCTTATGTAATTATTTGCAAACGACCCATTTCTCTATACAACTGGACGAGTCAACTTTACCTGATAATGCAGCATTATTATTGGCATATGTTCGTTTTATTATGAATCAAGAAATCTACGAAGAACTGCTCTTCGCAAGAACTTTGATAACCGACACTAAAGGTGAATCAATATTTCATGTTTTGAAGGATTACTTCATTGAAAAAGCAATTCCTTTATCAAATATAATATCAGTAGCTACAGATGGAGCACCTGCCATGGTTGGACGTTATCGTGGATTTATAAGCTATTTAAAACAAAATGTGTCAGGGGTGTTAGCAATACATTGCGTCATCCATCGACAACATTTAGTTGCTAAAATTTGAGTGTTAGATTGCATGAATCACTTCATTTAGTCATTGATGCAGTAAACCGAATCCGAAGCAACGCGTTGAATACGCGGTTATTTGCGCAGTTGTGTGAAGAAAATGACGAACACTTTCATCAATTACTCCTTCATACTGAAGTACGCTGGCTGTCAAAAGGCTTATGTTTGACAAGATTTTTTTGCACTTTTTGAGACTATTTTAGAATTTCTGGATACTAAAGATAAAATTTTAAAAGAAAATTTAATGAAGAGTAAAACAGACATCGCCTATTTAACAGATTTGTTTACAAAATTTAATATGGTTAATTTGCAATTACAAGACGACAGTTTAAATTTGATTAAAACAAAGTCCATCTTATCAGCGCTTCTTGCCAGAGTTAAACTAATGAAGCAAAATATTGGACGGGGCGAATTTTCTCAGTTCCCCAATTTGTCACAGACAAGCTGCCAGGAAGACGACGTTTCAACTTACGTTCAATATTTAAATGCCCTCTATTCAGATTTTGAATCTAGGTTTGAGGATATTTTGAATATGGTAATACCACCGTGGATAATTAATCCATATGGTGACATAGAAGAAACGAATGTCATAATACAAGAGGAACTGACTGAACTAAGTACAAACGAAGAACTTAAGGTTCAGTTTAAAAACGGATATCAGCAATTCTGGCTGCAAAACAACATACCCGTTACTTATCCCGTATTATGGAATATACTCGTAGCGAGGAAATTTTTAATTTCCTTTCCATCGTCATACCTAGTGGAAAGGGGGTTCAGCGCTGTTACCAATCTCCTAACGAAAAAAAGAAACAGACTGGACATCATTAGCCGAGGAGATTTAAGATTAACCCTTACAGAATTGACACCAAATGTTGATAATTTATTATTAAAGCATCAGGTTCATCCTTCTCACTAAAAATATTGACTTATTGCTTATGTTATTTTATTTATAGTTTATTTTATGTTTATTTAATGCTACGTATATTTTACATAACAGATACAAAATTTTGTTTTGAGTAGTTTTAATTTAAATTCAATTAATAAATGTATAAATTAACATGTGTTTTTACTTTAAGTTTTTAACACTAAACTTCACTACAGTTAGAAATTTACAGGAAATCAATATCAGGTAAGTAGGGGGTCTACCCAACACGGAAAAACATGGCAAGGGGTCTACGACACAAAAAAGTTTGGGGTACTCTGTTGTAGATCATAACATCTTACTTCACAAACTCTCAATTTAGAGCATCACTGGCAATCTTCTCGAATGGTTCTCTTCATACCTCAGGCAGAGAAAATGAATAGTTGTGGTAAATAGTTACTCTTCAGAACTATTTCTACCTACGTCTGGCATTCCCCAGGATTCAAGGTGACGCCGACAGAGTCGAGCCAAACGATCCGCGACAAAAAAATGGGTATATTAGTAGTGAAAGAATGCGATTCAAGATCAAAAAGCATAATAAATCAAGCGGAATCACTTTTCACACATAAGTTTTAATTCATCTTTTCAAATAAACGTAAAACCCTCGAAAAATTAATTAAAATTATCGAATATTGCGATTTAGGTTCAATGTTGCCACTTTTCCGTCTTTGTGATTATTTCACATTAATGGGTGACTATATAATTAATGGAGAATATATTAATAATATGTTACCTTTGATTTTAAATATTTTGGAAATTATAATATCACCCTTATTCTATAAAAAAATCATCACATCAGGCGGATTGTAAGTTCCTTTGTGTTTTTTTTAATTTTATAAAAAATTGTGCGTGCGTACGTTCATGCATTGGTGCCTCCGTGCGTGCAAGCCTATGTACAAATTATTTTTTTGTGAATTAGTACCGTCTACAAATAAAATAAAGTCTTACATTCTCCTCATTAAATACATAGTAAACGCTCTTCAATGGACAAGCGACATCTCTCAGTTCGTACCGTTCACCAGCGACCGCATCAAACACATGCCACAAAAAATCTTCGCTTTTCTTCAAAAACTTCCGGCTTTTATATATTTGGTCATCTACAGTTACATATGTATTTGTGACTAAATCGTATTTCACCAACGCGTAAGTGCTTAAACCATACGGCAAAGCTATGCCGGTGACTATCCAGCACTTGATGCCCAAGTGAAGAAAGTAGCTGGCTAGCAAGATCGTGTGGTCTGTCCGTGATCCGTACAGGATTTTAAGCAATTCCTGCGAAATAAATTATACACACAAAGCATGAGACAGAGATTTTTCATCCAAATGTCCAGTTTTACGGCCAATTACATCAAACACTACTCAATTTTAAAATGTTAAGTCTCGTGCCGCCGTGTAGTGGCGGTTAAGAATATCCACTACCCCATATCCCGCGGGTCTCGTGAGAGGTGACAAAGGGAAAGCAGAAAAGCATCTTCCTGATATAATAATAGTACAAAAAAAAACTGCGGTTGCCAATGCGCTCGCCAAGCGTAGCAACTATGGCAATATACCCCCAATGATGAGAGTTACGAAGAGATGGCCAACAAGTCCCAAACGGCTTTTCGAATATAACGTCACCCTGTCTTACACAATATTGATAAAAAAATGATTTTCGATACCAGGATTGACGCTATGTACATATGCAAATTATTAAAAAAATGTAACATTTTGTTTTGTTTTTTAATTTAAAGTTCAGTTTTTTTTTCATTTTAAATGAATAAAAAACCAAGTTTTAATGTAAACTTAGTACAAATAAAGGTTAGATGGCGCGCGCGGGAGGTAATTTTGGGGAACGCGCGGGACGCAATTTGTGGCGCACTTGTGTCACTGCCAGTATCCCGTCAGGGTAAATGTGTTCTGTGGCCAGTATGTATAATTTTTCAATGTGAAAGGTCGCGCTTTTATCTATTTCACAATATTTCTTGGTTGTTTTAAGCATGGAGAGAACTCGTAGTGCATTCAACTGTGTCCTCTTTTTGGTGATAACCAAGATATTACGTAGACTAGAGGGTATACGTCGGTTAAGATCGGGCAAAGAGAGACCTGAAGACATACCCCCTTTATTTGTAATCAAATGCTGCAGTTTGCTGCAGTTGGCTAGGTTTCGTAATCTGGTTCTATATTCGGATAGTCTCTAGATTCGGATAGTCGGAAGTAGATAGTAGAAACTTAAAAATGAGGATATCCCCAGTAGAACCAGTGTGACCGTCATAACCTCACGGATTAGTAAGCTGAAGTGGTAACGGGTCGGCAATTTACCGACCCATTACCACTTCAGCTTACTAATTTTAATTTAATAAAGAACCGACAACCGATGGGGAAGAAAGTTTCTCGAGTGGCAGCCTCGTACCACTAGGCGAAGTGTAGGGCGACTTCAACTAGATGGAGTGACAATCTGCTAGGACATGCAGGAAGTCGAAGGATGCAGGTGGCTCAGGACCGTGCTTTGCAGCATTCCTTAGGGGAGGCCTATGTTTAGCAGTGGACTTGTGAAAGGCTGTAACGCTGATGATGATGATGATGATGATAAGTACTTGGCTAAGTCTCGTGGTGAGAGTAAGCCAAGTATAATTTTATGCATGGTATGATGCGTTTTTGTATGTGGTAGACTCACGCTGCAGCTAGATCTTTCTGGTTTTTCCCATAGTCACCTCTTTCGATGCCCATGGGACGCAACTGAGTGATAAATTCTCTTACGTCATAACTACACAACCACACCTCATCTTAAATTGATACATCATCATTATCATCATCGTTACAGCCTTTTGTAAATTCATTGCTGAACACAGGCCTCCCTCAAGAAATGCCATAGCCTACCAGACGGCTCCGTGGCGCAGTGGTTTAGTAATTGGTAGTAGCTCTGGGGCCGACGGGTTCGAATCCCGCACGGAACAAGTATCTGTATGACCTACAAATAATTGCTCCGGGTTTGGATGTTTGTCCTTGTGCACTTTATGTTTGTAAACTGCCTCCACGATACAGGAGACAATCCTAGTGTCCGGCTGTTCTTCTTCTTCTTTAAAAAAAGAAGATAGCATTCGGTCCCAAGCCACCTACATCCATCGACTTCCTGCTTATCTTACCAGGTCGTAATCCATGTGTTGGGCTTCGCCCTACTGTTCCCTTACCGCTAAAAGACTTGCACTTCATAATCTTACTTTCCCAGCGAACAGCGGTTCTTCGGGCTATATAGCATTCATGTGGAAATTTCTGAAATACATGGACATTTACTCATTATTTTTGGACAATACACAATATTTTTGGACAAATATTGTCCCGGTTGGAAGGTTATAGATGTAAGACAGTCTATTGTAATAAAACCGACTCACCTGAGCTGTCAACGTGACCACTTGTGATTCCGTTACTTCATATGTTGGTATCAAGGATACGTATCTAAGACATATATTGACCGTCTTCAGCTGATTTTCCTCACTTCTCCAGTTCGCCGAATAGCCACTGTACATGGAACCTCTCTCTTCTTCATCCACAAATGAGTTTGTTTCGTCTTTCGTTTTCACGCTACTTTTTGAGGACGAACTTCTTGATAGGCCGGAAATTTTAGATTGCGCTGATCCTAATCTACTTTTTGGATTCTTCGGAAAGTAAACTAAATCTGGAAAAGGTATAGGCTGCAGGAATTCCGTCACGCATCTATTTTTTCCAGAACTATCTACAAACGTTAGGGAAATACTTCTAGAAGGGAAGTCATTCAAATATTTTGTAACAAAGTTATTCAAATGCTTGATGACACGGTCGTCTGTCGAAGTATTCGGGACTGGTTGACTGTATGCTTGAACACCGCCGAGTTGTGAAAGGTTTGTCGCGATATGTAGCGTGAGGAAAGAAATATCCTTTTTCATTAACCGCCTTACTTCTGGTATGAGAGTTTTTGCTTCCTTCGATGTTGGATTCTCATAGCCAATTATTAAAGGTGGCGTAGTTAATTTAAATGTACCGCGAAGCTGGAAACATGGAAATACAATTAACAAAAAAGCTGAACTAAAGGAGTTTCGTGTATCTGAACTACGTATTCTACCCATTCTATTCTTGTTTCACATATCGTTGTCTTACATAAATCATCATTTCCGTCTTACTTGCGTTTACTTTCATTTCCCTTTTTATTAACGATACGTTCTTTGTAAATATCATAAGCAACTCGCTCGCCGACGACACGACGACGACGACTTGATCGTCATTGTACAAGCCTGACGATTTATTCAGGCGAAGTATTTAAGATAAGATAGAGATAAGTAGCTAAGACATGAAACTGGCTGAATCAATTATGCATGTATGTGGGTAGGCAAGTTCAAAAATGCACAGAATGCAGTCTGATTTTTGGTCCAAAACTTCTCTGTGGTCATACGCAAAGACCCTGATCTGTACACTATATCCGTTAACTAAATTCAGCCTAAACATCTTAAAATTTTCCATCATTTCTACGTAGTAGAACCATACTGCAGCTATATTAGTAGTATAGTTGTAGTACGAAAGGGTCTGCTCGACCGGGGAAGGACCACTCTCTCACCAAATACTAACTTAGCAGCAGCAGTTGGTAATAGCTGCTGTGTTTCGTAAGGTGAGTTTAGAGATCTGAAGACCATTTTTACTGGAAACGAGGCATTCCATCTTAGTCCTCACAGGTAGGTGACAGCGCATCTGCGTTTTCATTCGTAGTCGAGGATAGATGCAGATGTCTATGCGCCACAGCAACTATTTAACATCAGGTGGACTATGTGCTCGTTTGTTACCCTTATACTATAAAAGAAATTATTTTTTTCTTTTTAACCTCTTAGCATATAGTTAGTTACTCTTAGTACAGTTTTCCGACAATGTTATGCAGGCTGATTCCCCTGTAGTTTTTACAGTCCTACTGTGAAACCTACTGTGTTTCTAAAATAAAAAATAAAATAATAATAAGAATTGTAAGTGTAATATTTTTTTTACAAAAATACACTCTTGCTATTTTATATTCAGTTTGTTAATGACCTACTTGCTAGAGAAGCCTGCTACCAGAGATTCAATGAACTCTTTAAATGCGTTCTTTACTGCTTTTTCGGAATTGAAATTTTTGCCTATTTATTGCAAAATGATTTCTTATATTTACGCGAACATTGCACATGATTAAAACTACTTTTACGGATTTTATCGCGTTTATTTTAACTTTTTATTTTTAATTCCCGACGTTTCGCACGACAACAAGCTTCGGGTCCCGCGCCTACGTCACAGTGACCGAGTGAAGCCGGCCACAGTCGAGCGTGTGCCTGCTGTACTACCATATGTCAGAGGTGTCACAGACAAGATTGGCTATATCTTGAAGCGAGCTTCTATTAGAACATTCTACAAGCCGCCGAAGAAGATTAGTCAGTTCCTACCATCCGTCAAGTGTCATATTCCTCTACAAGATGCAGGAGTGTACAAGCTTGATTGTGAATGTGGTCTCTCTTATATAGGACAAACCAAAAGATCAATTAGGACCCGCGTAAAAGAACATATAGCTGATGTGAAGCATCAACGTTCCGGGAAGTCTGCAGTTTGTGATCATATCCTAGACGGCCCCAACCATTACATCAGATTTGATAGACCACAAATCCTCGCGAAAGAACACCGATTCCTACCAAGGATGATACGTGAGGCTATTGAAATTAAAAAACATCCTAATTTCAATAGAGAAGGAGGCTGGGTACTACCACCTGCTTGGGATCCTATAATCAATAAAATTAAAACTAAACCCAAGCATACCACTGCAAGACCTCAGGACATAGTCAGTTCATTTTGCATAGATCGGACCATAAACAATAATTAAAAAAGCTGAAGGTACTCCGGGTTTAACAATGACATCGGGACGTCAGTCATCTCAGTCCCCCGTGACCATGGGTGCTGGAAAGCGCCCGAAACGTCGGGAATTAAAAATAAAAAGTAAAAATAAACGCGATAAAATCCGTAAAAGTAGTTTTAATCATATTTATTGCAAGTTATCTAAACATCGGAAATGGTGGAAGTCTGTTAGGGCAAGGTCTGGAAAATATGGCAGATGATAAAAGCTTACTATAACGCTGCTAATTTTGCTACCATCTATTGTACAGTATGTGGGTGGGAGTTGTCGTGAAGAAGTAATGGTGAAGAGTAGTTCACCGATCTGGGTTACTTGAGTGGTAGCTGGTAAGATGCTATAGTGGACTACAACATTAGTAGACTACCAAACTGTCACCGTACGCTTCTTCTGACTAATCTATCGTTTCTAACACTGTTTGGCTTATGGAAATAAATCGAACCATTGTAAAATACTTGCAACAGTCGTCTAAGAGCCAAATCTTATCGCAGGTAATGATTCGATTCAAAACTCCCGCCGAATCAGCATATGATACAAATTTGGACGCGGGCCTCTCACTGTGCGTCACTCAATTCATAAGGTACCCGTTTGTCAAGGTCCTTTATTTTACTGATTTGCCGCAAATAAACATATATTATTTTGACACTTACATCAAAAGCTAAAGCTCACTCAGGCGTAGTTTTCAGACGGATCCGCTACCACTATCGCCATCAGTTCGTCATTATCAATCAGCTTCTTGTGCTTTTTCTCCGGTTAGCCACGAGTTACATTTGTGATGATGTCAAAATTTCCGAAACCCACGCGATTGAATTAATAAAGCACCATTCGTTCGTTAGTAGTGCCAATAAGTCGTCCATATGAGTCATTACTGCTGTGCGAAGTTTGATACGCAGTGTTTCCGCGTTGGGACTCATATTATACAAAAATAGTACAGGAATTTTCTTAATAATCTATAGTTTTAGCAATATTGCAGAAAAAAAATAATTTTAAAAAGGAATAACGTGCCAAAAAAGTAAGTATAATATAAATCACTACGCGTACGCTTATAACACGTCTTGAATATATAATTTATTTGATTTTGAATTATAAAACAATCGTAGGCAAAGATCTAATACTATTAGCAAGTCCTTGACTTCTATTTACCACCTGAAGATAAGTGAAAATGTAGCCAAGGATAACTTAACTGAAAGAAAAACCCTAATCACTCCTGCCTTTAAAATACTCGATAGAAAGATCTCATGTTCTTCGATAGCTGGCGGAGCTAGTCATACCAGATGTGAATGTTTTTACATCGTTGTATTGTTTTGCAGCCTCGAATAAAGATTAATACTTTCTTTAACTATAAATTAATTTCACTGAATTGGATAGGGGACCCCATTGACAGCCATTTGCCGACTTAACTCTCATAGACTGATAAATAAGGTGACAAAGATATAAATCTACTAACTGTTCCCAAATCAAGCACAGTGAAAAGTGGCACTAGCAGTGTTCCAAGCCATCGACTGCACCGTCGGTAGTGTACGGTTCCAACGTCCTCTTGCGTCCCCGTTCCAGTCATATTCACCCTACATTCGTCGTATACGTTAACGTGGATTGATGAAAAGGGAGTGAATCTGTCCAAAAAAATAACAATGTATTGCTACTGTGTAGTGGCGGTGTAAGTATATGCGTTACCCTATAGCCGACAGAGGGAAACACATCTAGAGATGGTCAGCAGCGTCTTTCTAATAACGAGTAAAAATAACAATGTATTGCTACTGTGTAGTGGCGGTGTTAGTATATGCGTTACCCTATAGCCGACAGAGGGAAACACATCTAGAGATGGTCAGCAGCGTCTTTCTAATAACGAGTAAAAATAACAATGTATTGCTACTGTGTAGTGGCGGTGTAAGTATATGCGTTACCCTATAGCCGACAGAGGGAAACACATCTAGAGATAGTCAGCAGCGTCTTTCTAATAACGAGTAAAAATAACAATGTATTGCTACTGTGTAGTGGCGGTGTAAGTATATGCGTTACCCTATAGCCGACAGAGGGAAACACATCTAGAGATAGTCAGCAGCGTCTTTCTAATAACGAGTAAAAATAACAATGTATTGCTACTGTGTAGTGGCGGTGTAAGTATATGCGTTACCCTATAGCCGACAGAGGGAAACACATCTAGAGATAGTCAGCAGCGTCTTTTCTAATAACGAGTAAAGATAACAATGTATTGCTACTGTGTAGTGGCGGTGTTAGTATATGCGTTACCCTATAGCCGACAGAGGGAAACACATCTAGAGATAGTCAGCAGCGTCTTTCTAATAACGAGTAAAAATAACAATGTATTGCTACTGTGTAGTGGCGGTGTAAGTATATGCGTTACCCTATAGCCGACAGAGGGAAACACATCTAGAGATAGTCAGCAGCGTCTTTCTAATAACGAGTAAAAATAACAATGTATTGCTACTGTGTAGTGGCGGTGTAAGTATATGCGTTACCCTATAGCCGACAGAGGGAAACACATCTAGAGATGGTCAGCAGCGTCTTTCTAATAACGACTAAAAATAACAATGTATTGCTACTGTGTAGTGGCGGTGTAAGTATATGCGTTACCCTATAGCCGACAGAGGGAAACACATCTAGAGATAGTCAGCAGCGTCTTTCTAATAACGACTAAAAATAACAATGTATTGCTACTGTGTAGTGGCGGTGTAAGTATATGCGTTACCCTATAGCCGACAGAGGGAAACACATCTAGAGATGGTCAGCAGCGTCTTTCTAACAACGAGTAAAAATAACAATGTATTGCTACTGTGTAGTGGCGGTGTAAGTATATGCGTTACCCTATAGCCGACAGAGGGAAACACATCTAGAGATAGTCAGCAGCGTCTTTCTAATAACGACTAAAAATAACAATGTATTGCTACTGTGTAGTGGCGGTGTAAGTATATGCGTTACCCTATAGCCGGCAGAGGGAAACACATCTAGAGATAGTCAGCAGCGTCTTTCTAATAACGACTAAAAATAACAATGTATTGCTACTGTGTAGTGGCGGTGTAAGTATATGCGTTACCCTATAGCCGACAGAGGGAAACACATCTAGAGATAGTCAGCAGCGTCTTTCTAATAACGACTAAAAATAACAATGTATTGCTACTGTGTAGTGGCGGTGTAAGTATATGCGTTACCCTATAGCCGACAGAGGGAAACACATCTAGAGATAGTCAGCAGCGTCTTTCTAATAACGAGTAAAAATAACAATGTATTGCTACTGTGTAGTGGCGGTGTAAGTATATGCGTTACCCTATAGCCGACAGAGGGAAACACATCTAGAGATAGTCAGCAGCGTCTTTCTAATAACGACTAAAAATAACAATGTATTGCTACTGTGTAGTGGCGGTGTAAGTATATGCGTTACCCTATAGCCGACAGAGGGAAACACATCTAGAGATAGTCAGCAGCGCCTTTCTAATAACGAGTAAAAATAATAATGTATTGCTACTGTGTAGTGGCGGTGTAAGTATATGCGTTACCCTATAGCCGACAGAGGGAAACACATCTAGAGATAGTCAGCAGCGTCTTTCTAATAACGACTAAAAATAACAATGTATTGCTACTGTGTAGTGGCGGTGTAATATATGCGTTACCCTATAGCCGACAGAGGGAAACACATCTAGAGATAGTCAGCAGCGTCTTTCTAATAACGAGTAAAAATAACAATGTATTGCTACTGTGTAGTGGCGGTGTAAGTATATGCGTTACCCTATAGCCGACAGAGGGAAACACATCTAGAGATAGTCAGCAGCGTCTTTCTAATAACGAGTAAAAATAACAATGTATTGCTACTGTGTAGTGGCGGTGTAAGTATATGCGTTACCCTATAGCCGACAGAGGGAAACACATCTAGAGATAGTCAGCAGCGTCTTTCTAATAACGAGTAAAAATAACAATGTATTGCTACTGTGTAGTGGCGGTGTAAGTATATGCGTTACCCTATAGCCGACAGAGGGAAACACATCTAGAGATAGTCAGCAGCGTCTTTCTAATAACGAGTAAAAATAACAATGTATTGCTACTGTGTAGTGGCGGTGTAAGTATATGCGTTACCCTATAGCCGACAGAGGGAAACACATCTAGAGATAGTCAGCAGCGTCTTTCTAATAACGAGTAAAAATAACAATGTATTGCTACTGTGTAGTGGCGGTGTTAGTATATGCGTTACCCTATAGCCGACAGAGGGAAACACATCTAGAGATAGTCAGCAGCGTCTTTCTAATAACGAGTAAAAATAACAATGTATTGCTACTGTGTAGTGGCGGTGTAAGTATATGCGTTACCCTATAGCCGACAGAGGGAAACACATCTAGAGATAGTCAGCAGCGTCTTTCTAATAACGAGTAAACAATGTATTGCTACTGTGTAGTGGCGGTGTAAGTATATGCGTTACCCTATAGCCGACAGAGGGAAACACATCTAGAGATGGTCAGCAGCGTCTTTCTAATAACGACTAAAAATAACAATGTATTGCTACTGTGTAGTGGCGGTGTAAGTATATGCGTTACCCTATAGCCGACAGAGGGAAACACATCTAGAGATAGTCAGCAGCGTCTTTCTAATAACGACTAAAAATAACAATGTATTGCTACTGTGTAGTGGCGGTGTAAGTATATGCGTTACCCTATAGCCGACAGAGGGAAACACATCTAGAGATGGTCAGCAGCGTCTTTCTAATAACGAGTAAAAATAACAATGTATTGCTACTGTGTAGTGGCGGTGTAAGTATATGCGTTACCCTACAGCCGACAGAGGGAAACACATCTAGAGATAGTCAGCAGCGTCTTTCTAATAACGACTAAAAATAACAATGTATTGCTACTGTGTAGTGGCGGTGTAAGTATATGCGTTACCCTATAGCCGACAGAGGGAAACACATCTAGAGATGGTCAGCAGCGTCTTTCTAATAACGAGTAAAAATAACAATGTATTGCTACTGTGTAGTGGCGGTGTAAGTATATGCGTTACCCTATAGCCGACAGAGGGAAACACATCTAGAGATAGTCAGCAGCGTCTTTCTAATAACGACTAAAAATAACAATGTATTGCTACTGTGTAGTGGCGGTGTAAGTATATGCGTTACCCTATAGCCGGCAGAGGGAAACACATCTAGAGATAGTCAGCAGCGTCTTTCTAATAACGACTAAAAATAACAATGTATTGCTACTGTGTAGTGGCGGTGTAAGTATATGCGTTACCCTATAGCCGACAGAGGGAAACACATCTAGAGATAGTCAGCAGCGTCTTTCTAATAACGACTAAAAATAACAATGTATTGCTACTGTGTAGTGGCGGTGTAAGTATATGCGTTACCCTATAGCCGACAGAGGGAAACACATCTAGAGATAGTCAGCAGCGTCTTTCTAATAACGAGTAAAAATAACAATGTATTGCTACTGTGTAGTGGCGGTGTAAGTATATGCGTTACCCTATAGCCGACAGAGGGAAACACATCTAGAGATAGTCAGCAGCGTCTTTCTAATAACGACTAAAAATAACAATGTATTGCTACTGTGTAGTGGCGGTGTAAGTATATGCGTTACCCTATAGCCGACAGAGGGAAACACATCTAGAGATAGTCAGCAGCGTCTTTCTAATAACGAGTAAAAATAACAATGTATTGCTACTGTGTAGTGGCGGTGTAAGTATATGCGTTACCCTATAGCCGACAGAGGGAAACACATCTAGAGATAGTCAGCAGCGTCTTTCTAATAACGACTAAAAATAACAATGTATTGCTACTGTGTAGTGGCGGTGTAAGTATATGCGTTACCCTATAGCCGACAGAGGGAAACACATCTAGAGATAGTCAGCAGCGTCTTTCTAATAACGAGTAAAAATAACAATGTATTGCTACTGTGTAGTGGCGGTGTAAGTATATGCGTTACCCTATAGCCGACAGAGGGAAACACATCTAGAGATAGTCAGCAGCGTCTTTCTAATAACGAGTCAAAATAACAATGTATTGCTACTGTGTAGTGGCGGTGTAAGTATATGCGTTACCCTATAGCCGACAGAGGGAAACACATCTAGAGATAGTCAGCAGCGTCTTTCTAATAACGAGTAAAAATAACAATGTATTGCTACTGTGTAGTGGCGGTGTAAGTATATGCGTTACCCTATAGCCGACAGAGGGAAACACATCTAGAGATAGTCAGCAGCGTCTTTCTAATAACGAGTAAAAATAACAATGTATTGCTACTGTGTAGTGGCGGTGTAAGTATATGCGTTACCCTATAGCCGACAGAGGGAAACACATCTAGAGATAGTCAGCAGCGTGTTTCTAATAACGACTAAATATAAACGACATAAACTGTGGTCGCCAACCCGCATGTCAAGCATGGTAACTAGGGCAAATGCCTATATTCAGCTGTGGACTTTAATGTGGAGAAGATATAACGGTAACTTAGTTATATTATTATTAAGCATTAGTAGTATAAATTATTATTATTTTGTTTGTACCCTGGTATTAGTAATAAGTGGTAACATAGTATATAAACATAATATGTGATACAATTAATTTCATTGTACTTAGGTGATATTAGCGGAATGTACTTAGATAGTATTTGATTATTTAACTTTTTGCTAGCATCCTAATATTGGGGATATGGCGCTGACAGCTGATGCACAGGTCTCCTAGTTCGGCTGCAGATGCTATGTTTTCAAGTATATGTACTAATGTAGCTTTATTAAATAATGTTATGCAAATATCGTGATGTACAACCTCTTGGAAATAAAGGAACTTATTATTTTATTATAGCTGAATGAGGATAACCGTTTTTTCAGATTTCTTAAAATGTTTACTTCCGTAATTTTTAATCTTAACCCTTCAACTGTTAAACAAAAATTTCGCAAATTTTCGCAATATGGCCGATACTGTTGACGATACTGTTGATGGTTTCACGGTCGTTCAACAGACGCAGGCTTGGTTTTGGCCAAAAGACTAAACTGCAGTCTTCAATCTAAATATGGCAACGTCTAAAAGTTTATATTTTTCTTTACGAAATAAAACGAATAAGATATTTGGTCTTTATTTTTATTTTTATTTACAGCTTATAATATAATAAACTAATTAAATGCATAAAATTTACAAGTGCCATACAATATTTTTGCACAACACATATTTTCAAACTTAGGTACAAAGTACTATCGCTCTGTGAGTCATAAAATGGGTCTCATATTACAGAGCTCTACAGTTTATATATGTATAGTTCTGTCCATCTTGCTATCCACACCCCCTTCAGAGAGTTTATTAAGGTCTGCATGTACGTGGACGTAACGTTGTTTTAACGTTGTTAGTATTAACGTCGTTTGCATTAGTTAAAATAAAAACAATGTTATGATCAAACTTACTTGGTTCTTATTTTGATGGTCTGGTTCCACGAGGGATAGCAGCCGATGCCAGGTGCAGTCTGAGCTGAAGTACCATGATAACTCAGTTTCACAAATGGCCTTAATGGGCGCAATTTGAAGCCTAAAAGTTTAAATTCAGATCTAAATGAAAATCTGGTTTACGAGAAGTGAATCCAGAACCCTCATCTCGTACGGTGCTTAATACAACAGTTCACTTTAGAAAATATATTCAGTATTTTTTTTAAGAAAAGGGGGCAAATGAGCATGCGTTTCACCTGATGGTAAGTGTTGACCGTCGCCCGTAAATAACTGCAACACCAGGGAATTGCAGGTGCGTTGCCGGAATCTTAAAAAGGACGGAGTTATTTTCTTGAGGGCCCCTAAGTCGCTAAGTCGTATTAGTCCGGAAAAATCGGCCGGTGGTAGCCGATTCCACAAAGTCATCCGAGGAAGAATATGCCTTGTAAATCGTACAGTAGTAGACCACCAAGCATTTAGATAGTACGAGGGCGACACTGAAAGTTTTTAGAACTGGCCACTTGTAAACGATATAATAAAAAAATAATTTAAAATTTTGGTAAAATCGAACTCTGCCAATATTATTGTGTATGTATTTTATTAATTTGTCATTTGTTTACAATTTGGCGGCAAATTGAAAATTGTCTGTGTCACGTCAGCACGAATTTAACGCGAGAAAATTTTCGTACAATGATTTTTTATGACTTTCCATGCCATTTAAGTCAACAAGATAGTTATGATAAACTTCGATTAGCCTTTCACGAAGAAGCCCCATCTCGTGCCACTGTTTACAACTGGTTTAATGAGTTTAAACGTGGTCGCAATAATCTCACCGATGATCTGCGTGAGGGACGGTCTTCTACGTCGACGACTGAAGATAACATCTGTGTTGTGCGGCGTATGATAGAGACAGACAAAAAGTTACTTATCAGCAGATTCAGACAAGCTTAGGCATCGGTGTGAGTCAAGTACACAAAATCCTCCATGATCATTTAGCGGTCAGGAAGCTTTATGCCCGGAGGATACCTCATAATTTGACAGAGGCCCAAAAAGTCCGTCGCGATGATTGGTGTCGTGAAATGGTTCAAAGATTTAACGGAGGTGACTCAAATACTGTGTTCGACATACTTACGGGTAACGAAAGCTGGATTTATGATTATGATCCTGAAACTAAGAGGCAATCTGCTGTCTAGGTTTTTCGAGGAGTTGCCAACTAAAGTGAAGAGAGGTCGAAGCGTGGGAAAAAAGGTGGTGGCCTCGTTCTTCGAAGGGACAGATCATTACGCAATAATTGTTCTAGAGGATCGAAAAACAGTTACTGCAGATTGGTACACTAACAATTATTTGCCACTCGTCTTCGAAAAAGTTCGGGAGAAAAGACCTCGCGGTATGATCCTCCTTCACCGCGACAACGCCTCGTCGCACACCGCTAAGGAAACAATCGACTACTTGGCGACGTCAGGCGTGGAATTACTGGGTCACCCGCACTATAGCCCTGACCACGCACCTTGCGATTTTTATTTATTTCCGAAAATAAAAGAAAAACTTCGAGGAAAGTGCTTTATGGACGACGAGGAAGCAGTGGCTGCGTTTCAAAATGCCGTCGAAGAGACCCCTAAGGACGAGTGGGCAAAGTGTTTTTCTCAGTGGTTCCATCGGATGCAGCGATGTTTTCATGTAAATGGACACTATTTTAAAAAGATATAATAAACTAATAACTTGTTAGTTTGTTCAGTTTTTTTTTTCTAAGAACTTACAGTGTCACCCTTGTATGGATGGTATCGTGAGAGTAGTATATGAGCAGTAGGTACCTAATACCTAACGCGTTAATTAAGTATGGACTGAATCTAAATGACGGAGTGAGAAATTGTGTGATAAGAGAAAAGTGTGATTCGCAAGATGCTTTTGTGACCAGGATTAAAAAAGGTATGAGGAAAGAGTGACACAGCAAATTTATGTATGCAGAAGTGAACGGCAAAGCCAGGAAGGGAAGTCTTAGACGGAAGTTTATAGACCAGATTGGCGATATACTGAAGATGGGACAAATTGAGAGTACCTACCTTTAATCACCAAGCATGAGTGCGTTGGTATAGGAGTGTAAAGGAGGCGAGAGAAGTGTGTAAGGATCGTGCTAGATGGAAGTTTGTAGTCTCTAGCTACCACTTTGCGTGACAGTCGTGTTTATTTATGTATGCTTATGTAGTAGGTACTTAATACTTGTATGTTAGATAATCAACCCGGTGAGGTAGAGAACCGTAAGAGGTAGTTACAAGACGTCCCTTACTACAATCGCTTTTCCGCTTGTCAGGCGTGACGATTATAGCTAACCTTTCTTTACTGTGAAATAAGACATTCCTTCGGTACTATTTGGGAGATACTAGTATTAATCTTGCGGGTGGTAATTTGGGTAGTTAGGACTTATTTTATAGAATAAGGATGACTAACCAGCACACACCACGTCCATCTGATGGTAAATGGATACTGTGGCCCATAGACATTTACATTTATCCTCGATTAAGAATCAAAATGCAGATATATCATCCCTGATGATTAAGATGGAAAGTCTCGTATCTAGGAAAAAGGTTCTCCGGTTCTCTATACTCACCATACTGTTACGAGCTTACTGTTCGTGACAATAAAAAATGCCGATTGAATTACCAAAATTGACATTTTAATTACCGAACACCAATTAAAACTTAAAACACATTAATAATTATTCACACTTTAGATGAAATAATGAAAGCAATGAAAAGCATGAAAGCAGGTAGGCAGTGGATTATAGAGTATTACTCGAGATGCTAAGGGCTGGAGGGGGAGTGGTGGCAGGCCTGCTGTACACCTTGTTTAATTTATGTTGGGAATTAAAACGGGTACCGGATGACTGGTGTAAAGCAGTTATAGTACCAATATATAAAGGAAAAAGGTCACAGCAGGACTGCAAAAACTACCGTGGTATCAGCTTGCTTAGTATTGTGGGTAAACTGTATGCTAAGGTGTTAATTGAAAGAGTTATGAAAGAAACTGATGGAAAAATTTGGGATGTGCAAGCGGGTTTTAGAAAGGGAATGGGGTGTACAGATCAAGTCTTTTCTATGCGCACGATTGCGGAGAGGTTTTTGGCCAAAAACCAAAAAGTTTTCTGTGCGTTCATGCACTTGGAAAAGGCTTATGACAGAGTGGACAGGAATATGTTATGGCAAACACTGAACTCATATGGGTTGAGCGCTGGTTTGATACGTGCATTAAGGTCTCTTTATAGGGACTCTAGTGCTTGTGTCAGGATCAATGGGGTCTATTCGGACTGGTTTGGCATCCAAAAAGGAGTCAGACAGGGCTGTGTAGCTGTGTCGCTCTTGGCTGTTCATCCTATTTATGGACAGTTGTTTGCAAACTTTGAAAGATGAAGAATGTGGGTTAAGAATCGGCGAGTTAACCGTCAAATGCCTTTTGTATGCCGATGATCAAGTCATATTTTCGTCATCGGCGGCTGAGTTGCAAATGATGGTTACATTAATGAACTGGGCATTAAAAGAAAGGGGAATGAAAGTGAACGCAAGTAAGACGAAAGTGATGGTTTTTGAAAGAGAAGAAAGCAAAACGGTATGTTAAATAAGAATAGAAGGAGAGTTAATTGAGCAAGTGGATGAGTTTGTGTATTTGGGATGTGTATTTAGCAGGGATGGTAGATATGATAAGGATATAGAACGACGAGTAAATGCAGGGAATAGAGTGAATGGGGCACTACACTCTATTATGAAGAATCAGAATGTGTCAAAAAAGGCACGTATGGTAATTCATAATGCTGTGTTAGTCCCTACTTTAATGTATGGTAGTGAAAGCTGGGTGTGGCCGAAGAAGCACGAAAGTAGAATAAATGCTATAGAAATGCGGTCTTTAAGGAGTATCCTAGGGTTGAATCTGAATGACAGGGTGAGAAATTGCGTGATAAGAGATAAATGTGGTATGCAAGATGATGTGACGAGGACGAAGAATGAATGAGGAAAGAGTGACAAAGCAAATTTATATGGCAGATGTGAACGGCCGGTGAGTCGGGAAGGGACGCCCTAGAAAAGTTTATCGACCAAATTGGCGATATTTCGAAAATGGGCCACGTTAGAAGTACCCTTAACCGACGAGCATGTATGCGTAGATATATGCATGTAAAGGAGGCGAAAGAGGTATGTCAGGATCGTGCCAAATAGAAGTCCGTAGTCTCTGCCTACCCCTCTGGGTGACAGGCGTGAGTGTTTATGTATGTACTTTACACTTTAGTTCACTTTATTTCGCTCCGAAGTCTTCGCTCATATCGCCAATTTAATACTGCCTCGGTCACGGCTCTAAACGGCTTTATATAGGGCCATTTCTACTGAAACATCTAGAATGTCGAAAGTTCAAACATCGAATTTTCAAGAAAGCACACCTAGTTCTGCTACTCCATACTAGATGGCGCTAGTGAATTTTCGAGAAAGATCTTGACGCTCCTATCTCTATTACTTGATTTTGGATGGCGCTAGTGAATTTTCAAGAAAGATCTTGACGCTCCTATTTCTCCTTCTTGATACCAGATGGCGCTAATAATCACCTGTCATGTACCCGGCATCAACTATGGCGCGCAACAATACGAAACATTAAGCTGTTATTTTACGCTGGTTCTCTGTAAGAACGTGATTCTTCCACGGTTGAGCCGACCCATTCGTGTTGCATTCATAATATAGCTGCAGAGTGACTCTGCCACGGATATTTTAGTGCAAGGGAAGATTACTCGCCAAGGTTAAGCACGGTTTTCAAACTAATCAGATGCCCTATTTTCAGTTACGCTAACCATAGCGACCGCAGTTCACAACACCACGACGCACACGAGTTGATAAGGCAATAGCAATCTAGAAACGCTTGTTGAGAAGACGTGCGTATGGCTGTCATAAGAAGCACTACACTTTGAACAGCGCCAAGCTGGATTAATTTTATGGTGAGGAAAAAGGACAATTTACCCGCAATCCGTTCATTCTCATCGTCATCCTTTTCCGTCAGCATACTTGTGCTTCGGTCAGGCAAATTGAAAGCTCTAAGAACCGTCACTTGGATTTCCTGCTCCTTGATCGAACATTCCTGGAGTAGCTGTTGTTTTATTATAGACGATGAAGCCGATAGTGTCAAAATTTTTGCTTGGTTTGTTAACAGTCCTCTGAAAATAATAGTGTTATTTAGTACATGTATTAAACGGTTTTACAATAAAAATATTAACAAATTTTTACATTTTATATTTTTTTTATGTCGATGAATGCAGGTGGCTCAGGACCGTGCATTGTTGCACTCCTTGGGGAAGGCTTATATTCAGCAATGGACTTACGAAAGGGCTGTAATGATGATGATGATGATGTTATTACCAATCCCATCACTGACTATCTGTAGTAATTGTGTTAAAAAGCGTTATCCCTGCACTAGAATTTTCTCCTGTATCGTGGAGGCAGTTTAGAAACATAAATTGCACAGGTTATTAGTGTGTTTTAGGTTTTGAAACTTCCAGATCCAGAACAATTATTTGTAGACCATACTTGCTCCGTGTGAGATTCGAGCCCGCGGTCCACAGCGCTGTAACTCATTGGTATGCCACTGCCACACACTACTGTATAATGTCTAGTGTTTACATAAACTTAAACTTATAGGTCGAGAAGTGAGTTTTCTGCGAAAAATCGTTCCGATTCTCCTAAAAATATGAACTATTAAATATGGGGGTTTTAGGGTAAGGAAGTGTACGCTGCTCTGCCTGAATGCGTGTTGGCTAACTTCGTATGTCTTCGAAATATTTTTTTCTTATTTTACAGACATCTCTTAATAGACTGGTCGTAAAGTGAGTTTTCTGCGAAAAATCGGTCCAATTCTCCTGACTCTCACAAAATACCAGCGCCAAATAGCAGTTTAATGCTGCTTTCGTCCGTATATTAAGAGTAGAGAACCGAAGGCTTTTATACTGAATGCTTTCCATCTTAGTCCTCGAGGATGAGAACGTTTCTGTATTTTGATTCTTAATAGATGGTTAAATGTGTATGTCTTTGGGCCACAGTATTCATTAACTATCAAGTGGACTGTATGCTCGTATGTCATCCTAGTTCTTTATAAAAAACTTTACTTTACTGTGACATCAGGCCGTCAAACGCCTTAGCACTTGGCTTCAAATTCAAATTCAAATTCATTTATTTGCCAGAATGTATGTGTACAATAAAGTATGATCTTAAATTATGAATAATGGCCCATTTACATTCTACCATTTTATATGGTGTGCAAATATTTAATTAGTATACATGCAAAAAAAAATTTACAAGTGGGAATTCAATTAAAATGTCACATTGTTTAATGGTTGTTCTTAAGTGTTAATGTCCATACTTTCATTTTGTTTGTAATTAATTAATTATTAAATATGTATCAATATTACTGCCTTCGGATTTATTTTCCACTAAAAGACATAAATTCGTTTAGATCGTAAAAACATTTTTCTTTTAACCATTGTATTATCTTTTTTTTAAACGTGGTTAAAGATAACTCTTTAAAGTCGTTGGGTATTTTGTTATACAACTTTATAGCATTTACGTAAGAGTTCCTTTCATACAATTTGAGCCAGCATTGAGGTAAGTATAATTTATGTTTATTTCTAGGAGCTACATTTCGTTCAGTTACATCTATTTGCCTTTCAAAGTGTTCAGGATGCTGTTTTACAAATATGCATATTTCTTTAATGTACAAGCACGTTAATGTTAAGATATTGTACTTTTTAAACAAGGGCTTACAGCTATCCGTATACCCTGCTCCATAGATTGCACGCACACATTTTTTTTGTACTCTAAATACTTTTATTATATCTACTGAATTGCCCCACAATAAAAGACCATATGATAGTACTGACGAAACATATCCGTGATATGCACATAGAGCAGCATCAGTTGATACCGTGACTCGTAATCTCTTTATTGTGTAGACAAATCTGTCGAGTTTGTCACAAACATAATCGACATGTGTTTTCCAGTCGCAATTTTGATCCAACATTATACCCAGAAATTTAGTACTTGCTACTTGTTCGATGATCTTATCATTATATTTAATATTAATATTCAATAGTTTCTTCTGGCATGCCTGAAATTGGATCATTTTAGTTTTTTCCATACTAATCTGTAAATTATTACAATAAAGCCAGTCTATTATGTTTTTGATTGCTTTATTTATCTCTGTTTCATATGTATCTGCATTTTCGCATTTCACGATAAGGGTTGTGTCATCAGCAAACAAGATTGTGTTATGGCGAGTGATATTAGGGAGATCATTAATATACATGAGGAATAAGAATGGTCCCAATACACTGCCTTGTGGCACGCCAAAGTCATTTATCTGATTTTCGCTTCTGTAAAACACTTTTTAAATTAATAAATCCACGCCATAGATCGCGGATAACATATAAAAGCAGTAACACTATCATCGTCATCTCTCATCATCATCACCATAGCAATCCACCAAACCCACTGTTAAACACAAGCTGCTCTATTTCCTTTACTTAAACAATTTTTAATTGTTTAAATGAGAACGAGGCCGTATTTTAACAAGTAAGGAAGAATGAAATGGAACAAATATGGTGGACCACAATTTACTGAATATAGTTAATTTTCTTATTGCTGAAAAAATTACGTACCTTAAACTTAAATCTTTAAAATCTTTTACAACATCTTTGTGAGTTTTCTGTAAGAGAAATTCATTCAAAGTTCGTTGCAAATTTTCGTTTAATTTTTGAACGTATTTCATGCCAATGTATCTCTGCAAATCAATGGGATCCACGTCTTTGTCACTATCTATATTCTGTATATCAATTACATTGTCATTAACATTTTGTAAACAATTCACTTGTTCCGTAGACATTTCACTAGCAACTAAGGGCACTAACTTATTTTCAATGTTAACGAATCCTCCATTATTTCTTAAGTATAGCAGTTTAAGTCTTAACTTATTACCATTTTCGTTATCAAACGGGAAGGTATCATCATTATTTATTGTTATTTTGCAGACCTCTTGTAAAGCCCTTATTATCTTATCATTATTTTCAACATTTCTTACATACAACTTATTAATAATATCAATAAAGGTATTAATATTCGGTTTATCGACACCATGTAAAAGTCGTTTGAGTTTTCTTTCTATTTCAATTAAAGACAAAATATTTGCGTGAGAATATTCATCAAACTTTTCATTCCAACCAATTTTTATATTAACTTCACAAGCTGTAACTAAATTGCTCTTAAATATATTACTGCTTTTTAGTCTTACTTTGCTTTCTGTTGCAATTTCTTTAATACCGTAACCACTTCCAACATATTTCGGATTTGGATAAACAATGTAATCTCTGTAAACAAAATTAACCTTTTTAAACTCAGCGAGAGGAAAGTTGGTTTTAATTTCATCTATACACATTAATAAAGACGAAACTTGTATATCATTCTCATATAAGGCAATGTGAAGTGTCTTATTTCTTGGTAATATCTGTACCGAAAGTGATTCTGAGACTTCTAGGGTATGTAAATAGTCTTTGCAAGTAAATAATTCCGATTCACAAACAAAAATATCATCAACGAAAACTTTAAAATAATAGTTACATGCAAACAAAACATGTACAGCCTTTAACAAATCTTTCTTATTATGTTTATTGCTCTTTAAAACTAAATCAATTTTATCTTTCGGAAAAATTTTGTTAACTATCGATTCAGTTTCAATTTTTAATTTTGCTTCGTCAACATGAAGTTTTGGTTTACTTATTTTTTTCTTCTCATCACCATTCACACTTAATCTGTTCTTAGTTTCTTTATAGTCCGTATACGCTTTGGCATATTCGTATTCGATTTTGTCGAGCATATCTATATATTCCGTCTCAAATACAAGGTTCCATTCTTTCTCATAATCGTTGATGGGGGTTTTATTGACTTCTAGATGGTAATTTACTTCCACTCGACCAGTTTTCTCCCTAACTATTTGAATATCAGCCCATAAAGAAAGTAATTTGTGGATAACATCTTTTTGTTTCTTCAACATATCTATATGCAAATCTTTAAAGTAAAATAGTCTTGCAGTGTATTTAAGAAGAGTTTTATCAAATTTTACGTTTTCATTTGTACCATTTGTTATTTTAAGCAGCTGTTCCTTAAGGTTATTCTTAGTCTCCCTACTTATTTTAATGTTTCTACATATTTCTCTTAATAACTTCAGATTATTTAAATATTCATAATAATGCTCAATCAATTTCATAAACAATAATACCTCCAAAGAAAATTTGTGATGATGCGTGAATTTCATATTTTGTATTTGAATATCGAGAAATTTTTGATTTTGAATATTGTTATCAGAATCTTTACAGCTTGATTCTAAATCCTTAAATATGAGCGGTTCAACGTAATGAACACTTACAGGAAAATCAACTGTTACAGTATTTTCAAGAACTTTCGGGAAAAAGGGACTGAGTTTCACGTGACGAGCGTTCAAACTCCATCTGCAAGGAAAGTAATAATATTTTATTAGCATTTATAAACTGGTCAGTCAAATATTAAGTGATTGAGTAACTCTACAGCTGTACTAAGGTTGCAGCACAAATTGGTCGGCTGAACCGTGGAAGGAATACGTTCTCGGAGAATACCAGCGTATAACACTAATAAACAGCATAATGCCAACTGTGTTTTGTAAAAGAAGTGATAAGAACAGGAGACCCTATTTTACTAATACCGAAGCATTCCAACTTAATAAATCTCAAGGGATCTATTATGTGCAGTAACGTATCTGCATTCAATTCTTAATTGAGGATAGATAGTTACTACAACAACTATAACTTACCACCACGTAGGTCATTTTGGTCGCCAACTTGTCTAACAAAAACAATATCTTTATTTTTTGTTAAGAATGACCTATACCACCGCCTTACGTAATCTTTTTTGTGCCGTGCTATAAACAGTCTACTGCAGGAAGTTAAACTCTCCAATCATCATCATCAACGGCCTATCAGATTCCACAAGTGAACATAAGATTCTCCCACAGATTGCTTCACAGGTAGGTTGCTATAGACAGTGGCGAAGCCTCCATAGAAGCCGAAAAGCCGGGCTTGCCTTATGACCTGAATCAATCAATAATATCAATCAATATCAACTAATAAAATAACTCGTAAACTGTTTCAAACTATTTCAAATTTCCCGCGCACTACACTGTTAGACACAGATCGACCGATGACCTCGTATTGCCTTAGCGATACTGCTGCTGTCATAAAAAATGAGTTTAATAGAGCGATTTGTTGTCTCTCTCGCTCGCATGGGTGTTTTACGGGGCTTTCGAGAAGACGATCGTTCTCTTTCTAACCTATGGCAAAATATTCTATAATGAAATATAACTACGATTGTACATATAGCAATTAGTATAAAGATTTAAAGCCAGGCTTTAGGAATGAAGTTGTCAAAAGCGGAGGCGCGCGGGAAATACGTTTGCAAGTTCATTTCACACTTCAATGTTTGTTTACTCTGTGTGTTTAGCTTAAGCGATTTATAAAATATATATAATTTATGCTTTTTTAAAGATTTTTAGTGAAAATGGAGGATAATAGTGTTCCTTGTGATGAATTGAAGTGTGTTAAATTGCTAATCGGAAAGGAAAAGGTAAAAAAAGAGAAAAGAAAAAAATCTTTAAACTTTGTTGAGATAATAACACAAGGTAAAGAGTGTATTTCAGACTTATCAATTATCGCAATTAAAAAACAGTTATTGGTACAATTAAAACGTTCACCAACATTTTACGTGGACGTAATTAAATCTTTCCAGAAAGAGAGACGATTCCATTTAGAATTTATATAATTTTTTTTTAATTTTATACATAGTTTGTTTGTACTGTGTTCATGTTTTACTTTTGTTCATGTATTGTAGTGTATGTAAATTTTCTTTCTTTTCTTTCACTCAAAGAAACCCAAACGGCTTTCTTCAAAGCCACCGAAGCTAAGCAATTGCTGATATGTAATACAATCTACGAGTATCTAGCAGTAGTATGCGTTCCGTGTGCTTTGTTAAACACGTCCTTGAGAGCACTGAATATGAAACTGAAGAGTGGTGACCGATCAAGATTAGTGTATTTTTATAAAACTGCTAAAAACAACAATCTATATTTTTATCAATTTATATCTTGGGCTTGCCCTAGTTTGGAGCTCTAGCTTCGCCACTTGCTATAGATGTTATGACCGCAACTATTTAAAAATTTGTTTATTATATTGCAGTTAGCCCCTTGCAGCGCCACCGTTCAGCTTTATCTTTTTGCCCTAATTTATAAGTATTATTTTATATATTTTTCTTTTCTTATTCCTGTTGGTAAGTAATTAATAATTATTTATTAAGAAAATATAATATGGATTAGTTAAGTAATGAAATTTTTTTCCAAGGAAATATTAGAATTACAGACACAACTTTTCTACAGATTTATTAAATGCATAGATTGTTTATGTCTAGCATTCCGTAATGGACTATAGGAGCCATATATTTCAATAAGACGAATTGCTGTTTCGCTATACAGTTTACTTAATAAAACACGTCCAAGTACACACAACCACCAGGGAACCAACAGCCAACACTAATCGTTCGGCGTCCACCGCGCGCGGTAGGTAGCTCGCGGCTGCCGCGCGCGACCATCATCCAATTAAAGCGCCGCTAGCCGCGCGCGGCTGGCCGCGCTGTATTTGGACACACCTTAATGCCTGCGGTACACTACTCGCAAAGTTGAACGAAGTTGGGCAAAGACGAGTGTGTGTGCAACCTCGCCTCGCCTCGGGTGACTTCCGATCGTTGTCGGTTTTTTCCGCCCGAGTCAAAGGACCGAAGTTTCGAGCACGAAGTGACCCTGTACACCTACCTGTACATTACTCGGCTTACTTTTATAAAGTTAACGTTGTGCTCTATAATTTAAAAACGTTTTAATTCGATCCAAATTGCTTAAGCCAAAAATGAATTGGTCACCAGAGCAAATACTATTGTTTTTGGAGTTGCTCCAGGTTGAAATAGTAATATGGGACCCCGGGAATAATAATAAAAAATATTTTTTTTGCATACAATTATGCACATAGTTAAAATACGCAACAGTGAACAAAGCAAACGCATCTGCCATTTGTTCGTCCTCCATCTCGCCTAGCGTGTGAACGACAAGTTCCTCACGAAGTTAAGCGAGTGTGTACAGAGGCTCCCCGTACCTCGTCTGAACTAGGCGAATACTTCGGGCGCGGAACTTCGCGAGTAGTGTACTGCAGTACCAAGCGCGGCATACCGTGCCGTCAACCTCGTACCGGTACTGCAGCGGTGCCTGTATGCGCCCGTAACTTATTACCTCGCACTTCGACGTGTTAAAATATAACTTATTAATTGCGCTCTACTTCACGACCCTATCTATATCCCGCTGAAACTGTTCACAATCCGAAACCTCCGCTACCGACAAAAACAATTTTAGGTCGTCTGCAAACAGGAAACATTTCGAGACCTTAACGACCTTTGGGAGATAATTTATCAATAATATGAACTCTAAGGGACCCAAATTACTCCCCTGGCATACATCTGAGAATGTGAAGTAAGGTTCGGGTTCATATCCCGTAAACTTCCCCAAGGTAACTCGCGAAATTTATTTAAAGATGCGATGTAAAACCCGCCGCCGCAAATTTTTCTAAAAGCAGTAAACAAGTAAACTTGTGTCTTTTGAGGATTGAATTGAACTAAATTTAGTCGCCCCCAATCCGGGACTTTGTTCAACAACGTCTCGACTTCCGACTCAAGTTTGTTCCAGTACTCGGTGACGTTTTCCCGAGAAATATTAGCATGGCCGGGGTATAAAGCATCACTAGTGCTGTTGTTCGCACAGCAATGAATGTTACCGGTTTCCAACATGTCATTGATATGCAGAAGAAACAGCGTTGGTGATAGCATGCAGCGTTTTGAAACACCAGCGCTAATGGGCTTGTGATAGGACGTCTACTAATGATAAATACTCCGATCAGCCAGAAAATTGGTTATCTAATTGCACAATTTCACGGGAAGTCTTTGTGCCAAACCCGACCGAGGGCCTTCGCTATGTCCAAACTAACTGCCAATGTATCCCCTTTGGACTCGGTTGCCTGCACCCATCGACGTGTTAGATAAACAAGATCACCAGCAGAGCGACCTAATCAGTCAGAAAATTGGTGATCTAATTGCACAATTTCTCGGGAAGCCTTTGTGCCAAACCCGACCGAGGGCCTTCACTATGCCTAAACTAACTGCCAAAGTCTCCTCCTTGGACTCGTTCGCCAGCACCCATCGATGTGTTAGATAAACAAAAAGATGCTGAGCGACCCCGACGGAAATCGTACTGGCAGTCACTAATCAGCTGATTTCCCTCAAGGTACCGCATGAGCTGTGTGTTATATAATTTTACAGTAAAATTATTCTTAGAGGATATTTAGGGCACAGAAATGTCCATTGTGCTTCCCCTTAATTGTCATGCGTCTAGCAAACTTTACATGCCTTCGAAAATATATTTTTTAGCAAATTTGTATTCGGTAAGTATTAATGTCGGCTAAGAGGCACTGGATATGCGCAGCGAACTAATAAGTCTCTCAGAATTGCAATAGTACAGTGGCGTGGCAAGAGGAGGCCGGGACCATGGCCCTGGGCGGCTGATGTTAGGGGGCGGCAATTGAGAATAAGACGTGGTAGAGCCACGCTGCGGACATATTATAGTAGTAGCACGAAAGGATCGGCTCGATCAGGGAAGAACCACGCTCTCACATAATACCAGCGTAAAAGCGTTAGTACTGCTGTGTTTCGTATGGTGAGTGTATAGATTTTCCTTCCTTTTTTACCGGAAACGAGGCAATCCATCTTAGTCCTCAGGGTGACAACGCATGTACGTTTTTATTCTTAATCGAGGTTAAATGTAGATGTCTAGGCCACAGCATCCACTTACCATCAGGTGGACTGAGTACTCGTTTGTTACCCTTATTCTATAAAAAAAACACAAAAAATGTTTCTGTTATAGACTTCGAAATCATCCAACCGATTTTGATATAAGTTTTTATGTGTTTGGACATTCACATTTGGACCCAGTAGGTGGCGCTGTTGTCGAGATCCAGAAATCACCCGTGTGAAGCCGGGGCGGATCGCTATTTGAGAATAAAATTCAGTTCCTCTTATCTTTCAAATTATGCCAGTAATATTCTCAATATATATATATATATATTTTTTTTTTTTTTTTTTTTTTTTTTTAGGAGGCTTACGAGCATGCGGCTCATCTGATAGTTTGTGACAGCCGCTGAGCATGAACAAACACCATATAGTGTAACACTAAATAGTGTTTTGTGAGCTTGTAGCTATGCAGAAATGAAAGGAGGCCTGTGCTTGGCGTATTAAGCTATGGTATATATTACTATACCTTGACTTTTTTATACACCACTACATTAGTATATAATAAAATATTATATACCTACCCACGCTCTGCATCGTTATGGTGTTTTTGCAATAAGTTTCTTATAGAAGAGGGTTGATATGAGACAAATTTGTGTTCCTCGTCAAGTTTTAATATTTCAATTACATTTTTTAATATTGGAGGCATTGTTGATGTAAGTTCTGAATTTATAATATCCATTATTTTCCCGTAGTCCTTGCTTTTCTCTTTTTTTGTCTTTTTCTTACGTTTTTCTTTAACTTGCACATTATGTTGAGTGAAAAATTCGTATTCATTTATATTAAGTTTTTTAGGTGGTGCTATAGTAAACGTGGTTTCTTCTATGATTGCATTTTGATCAATTTCATGGTACTGCTCTGAATCACTTTCAGTGGCAGTTTTAATGCCATATAATTTTAATTTTACTTTTTCGTTCATTATTATAGGTCGTAGATACGTGAATATTAAATACACAACCTTTATTTGTTAAGATGTTGTTGTCATGGCAACGAAGCTATCAAATAAACATGTTAATTAAACGTAGTGATTATATTCTCCTTGGTGATTTATATTTTCTTTGATGCTTAGAGCATGGAGGGAGAATGATCGTTGTTGTCTGATTCTTTCCACTTGAAACAGTGACAGTGACTGTGTCAGGTTTTCTCCGTGCTCCTCCTGTAATGTATGCTCTAAGTTTGCTCTATATATACAGCGTACTTGTATATATAGAGGTCAGTGTGTTGATCACATTACCATGCTCTACATAATATAAAAAAAATAATTTATGCTATTTATCAATGAGTACGAATGTGTACCTACGTTTGTAAAAGAAAAAAGAGTACACAATTACTACGTTTGCGCTCATAGATCTAGTAATCTAATAAAAATCTATATTTGCGCTAGCACTTCTTATTAGTTTGTGACTACGTTTCGTACACGATGTATATATATACATATTTTATATATATATATATATACTGGGTGACTACTTTTACCGACTGGAAAATAATGTGGAGTTTTACGTGAGTGCAATAGAAACTATCCTCGAAAGTATTTGTGCATTACACTTTACAAATTATAAATAGATAGGCAAAAGTTCAAAAAAAAATACATAAAAACAATTCATCTTACGGCGTTTGCATAAAACTAAAAATAGGCTACGATCGCTAGCAAATGAAAGTTGTAAGAGCGAGCGACACGCATGCACATCTTTTAAATATTATATTATAGTAAATGTAGACGCCGACGCGACTAGTGAGAGGGGAGCGGCCACACACCGTGGCAGATAACATTTTTAGCCAACACTTAAAAAAAAGAACAAATTTAAGCTATGCATAACATGTATGCACATACAAATATCCATACGTGAATACATAAAATACATTGTATGTATGTATTAAATACCTACGTGCACACACCTATTACACAAAAATACATATTTTACGTTTGGCGGAACAAGATAGTTATAGTTACGGAGTTTCTTATTTTTTATATCCCCGATCGCCATTTATCGCAAGTCGTAAGACTTTTGTAGCACTATTCTCAGCCACAGTCACCTCTACTCTTCTTACTATCACACCCACGGTATGAAATGGGAGTGATGGATACAAACTACCATTTTACTTATACCTATTTCTGCCGAAAAGCAGCACAGGAAATGTTGTGTTTGCATTTAAAGGGTGAAAAGCCATTATAATTACAGTGCTCATACAATACAAATTCAAAATATTTTGTGTAAGTTACGTCTTACATTAAATAGTAAATAGTTGTTTTACCACAGGAATTCAATTCGAGACTCAATTCTCTATTTCAGGAAACTCTGTCCTCTGTTTTGAGGAAGCACCAACAGCTCCCTTTGTTAATTATTCAATGCATGGGTGTCATTTGATTTAAATGTCATGTGTTTATTTTCGGATTATATACTCTTTGGCGCCCATCAGACGTCCAATGTCTCAAACATCAAAAGTCAAAACAAAGCATGTCTGTCATGTCAAACCACAGAAACAATCAAAATAATAATCGAAAGTAGTGAAAACCTAAAACGACAATATTATAAGTGTATGTGAAAGTTAAGCAATTTATAAAACAATAACAATATGGTTAAATTTTCACTAAAAGATAGTGATGTCTACTATTTATCACTTTCGGAGCAACCAAAAAGATTTGACGCTGACAGTCCTGTTACAAATGTGTTTTTTGATGATACAAATGGACAAGTATGAAATTTTCGGATACTTAATTATTATTCCATTCCATTATAGCCCTTCACAAGTCCACCGCTGGGAAACCTCCCCAAGGAATCCTACAAAACGGTTCTGAGCCACTTGAATCCATTGTCTTTCTGCATGTCTTCTAGGTCGTATATTCAACTATTGGAGAAGAGATAATATATATTATATTTTTACCTGTGTTCTATTATATATAAAATCGGCCTAAAGGTAGACTAAAAAACGCAATACCTATGTTTGACATGAATTAGATGTTAGTGCAACAACTTTTATAACTTTGGTGCATTTGTCTGTTAAAATGTGCATCATGTAAACAGCTTATATTATAAGGTCACCCGGGGCTATTGTAGCTACTAAAACTTACGTAAAACTTTTAACTTTAATTTTTTCTACTCATCAGTACTGCATTGTTAAATTTTAGGATTTTTTTTTCATAAAACATGTATTAAGGATTTTATAAAATTAATTAGATTGAGCTTAAATCAATAAGTTATTTTTAAATTCAACGAATTCCACGTAGAGGCAGTGAATAGTCACGTTTACCCCCAGTTGGGGTAAATGTAGCCACTCTTTATAAAACCTTTGTTTTTGAATGTATAAAAGTCAAAGTAAGTGGAGAAGTTTGCTGCTAAGTAAAGTCAACTGATTTTGTATCTTGGTACTTTGTACTAGCGTTAAATTTCATTTAAAATTACTAAAACTATTACTTGGGGGTAAATGTAGCTATCCTTCATAACGTTAGTGTTGGGATAGAATCTCGATAATATTGATGATTAATTTATTTTATATTCAAATTCAAATGAATAGTAGGTAATTAACAGAGAAATGGAATAACAATTCTCATGGTCTGATAATATTCAGAATTGCTGATTTTATTAGCTTGTCAGTATCTCTACTCCGATTAATGTCATTAGAAACTTTTTTTTTTCATATAACACGTCATTTTGAAATAAACTTCGACTTCCCATACAAAATCGGCGTATCGGAAATAAAAAGTCGAGAAAGAAAATGGATATCCGATCTGATCAACCATATAAAAAGTTACTGGTGTTTTATGATTTACGATTTATTCATTCATTTTACAAATGACCCTGTATTCAGTGGTCACACATCAAGTGTCAGTTGCATTTCAAAAACTCGCTATCTTTTACTTATGACCAAGAATAAACTATTATATATGTGTGTTTACCACCTTGCATGGTTATTTTTTATTTGTAGGTATCGACATTAACAATACTTAGATCGACACAGGGACATCATTAGTATTTGCCATATTTCATATAAAACAAAGGGGGCCATTGTAGCTGCCAAAACAGCTACAATTACCCATGGTTCCAATTTTGATGAGGCAAAAGTAGCTAGCCTTCAAATCATGACTTAGCTTTCACGTAAGATGAAACAAACACATTGAAAATGACTTACCGTAAATAATTACTCGAATCACATCAAAACACTTTTCAATTTCATCCAAAAACTATATTTTTGAGAGATTTTCTCTCAGCGGACACTTAGCACTGAGTAAGTTCAAAATGGTGGAATAAAAAAGCGGTTGGAAACTGACAATCTATAAATGCCACTTACACCATCTATTGATATGTAGGGTAACTTGAATTTCTCTACAAAGTCACAGATGTCACTTGCTTCAAAAGCTTTACTGGAATGAGGTTAATTCAGTTAGCTACATTTTCCCCCTAGCTACAATAGCCCCGAGTGACCTTATTTATATTTCTTGTTTACATAACACTAAAACATTAAGTTTTAGTGTTATGTATAAACATAGCCAAATTTTATCTCATTTAGTGAATAGATCCAAGGCTAATACTGATTGAGTCATAACATTGATACAATTTCTAAGTAAATTAAGTATCGTGCATAAGTCATGGGCATTTAGTAGTATTTAGTAAAAGTATTCTTTTTTCTATTCATATAATTTTTTTACAAATTTTTGATATCAAAAATAGTAAAATCTAATAAAAATTTCAAAACTAAGTATGCATTAGTATTTAAAATTAAGTGTTCAATGTTACACACACTATATTAAAATAGATTATCTCTATTAATTTATCATTCTTTTAGGTATTTACAGTTAGATCCGGTGGGGTCACTGGTGTCACTGTTAATAGTATGGATGAATCAAAATGCACATCCTTTCGAATGGAGGATAAAGGTCCAATTATTTCAATAAAATTTTCTTTAGACCAGAAAGTGTTGGCAATACAACGCAACCATGATGGTCAGACTGCAATTGTGGAGTTTGTAAACTTTAAAGACCTAACACCTACTAACATAGAATACTCACACACATGTAAGTGGAAGAGTGCTAGGATTCTAGGGTTTGTTTGGCCAAAAGCAAATGAGATTGCCTTTATAACTGATCATGGAATAGAGTTGCTGCAAGTACTGCCAGAAAAGAAACAATTGAAAACATTGAAGAGTGTATCATTCAGGTAATTTTTTTTAATGTAAATTATGGAAGTATTTATCAAATTCCCTTTAACTTGGTTTTTACCAGCAATTTTTAATTCCACCACTCGAAGGATTCACCAGAGGAGGGTAAGAATTATTTTATGCTTTTTTTGGCCAAGGCCCTAGCAGTAAGCTTATGCTCAGTCCAACCTTAAAGTTGCAGTGTAAGGATCTGCACTTACAGATGGCATGGCATGGCACGGCATGTCAAAGGATTTTTTTTTGTTGAAAAAAAGATTTTCGACATTATTTTAATGATCTTCACACTGATATTCCTTTATTTCAACATAAATACACTGGTGTGCCATTGCATGTCACGGCATTCCATGGGATGCCGCGGGACACTGCTGCGCATGTGATATGCATAAGTTACTTTAGGTTGTTAAAGGAATGTGAGTGCTAAGTAATTTAAACAAGGTATCTAGCTCGTTGAAGCGGCGATCTCAGTGACATGTGCGAATGCCCGATACACAAGCGCGTTTTGACTTGCTTCACGTGCCACGGGATGCTACAGGATCCTTCGGCATGCCACGAGGTGCCAAAGGATCCACGGCATGCAATGAAATATGCCCTGTTACGCTGTGCCGTGCCATGTCGTCTGTGAACGCAAGCCCTAATATGATGGCACATTATTGTTAATAATAAATAATTATTATTTTCTACATAGTCATCTAAAAATATCTTAATCTAATATTTTAAACAATTAAAATGCATTAATAAGCGTAAAGTTAATACATATTAATTACAAAACAAAATTTACAAATTTTTTTTTAAAGCTTTGGGTGACAAACGGGCACACAGTCCACTTGATGGTAACTGGATGCTGTTGCCCATAGACATTTACCCTAAATTAAAAGTCAAAATGCAAATGTCACCCCTGAGGACTAAGATGGAATGCTTTGATTCCAGTAAAACGGGTCTCCGGTTCTCTACATTCACCATACGAAACAGAGCAGCATAACGCTGCTAATTTACGCTGGTATTCTGTGAGAGCATTGTCCTGCCCAGGTCGAGCCGACCCATTCGTGCTACATCTAATATAGCTGCAGCTTTGCTCTAGTAAGAAAATAAATGCTTAAAAACTGCTTAAAATATTCAAAATATATTAAATAACAGAAATACAAGTCGATTACATTACAGTAAGAATGCCCACTACCCCATATCATCCTGTGGGTGTCGTAAGAGGCAATAGAGGTAAATTAAAACAGAAGATGAGCAGCAGCATCTACCTGATAACAGCTGATTAAAAATAATAAACTGCGGTTGCCAACCCGCCTGTCAAGCATGGCAACTATGGCAAAATCTGACCTATAGGGCAATCTAAGGGGGAGGCCTATGATCAGCAGTGGACTTTTATAGGCTGTAATAGATAAATAGAAAAGATATGATGTATAGGTGACTGTTTCATTACTGTAGTCCAGTATTACCAAAATGTTTTATTTATGTTGATTTTATTGAGTAATATATTGAGTAATTGTTGTGGCCACAAATAAATTTTATTTTCTTGCTTTTATTGCTTTCATTACTTGGGATATTCACAATGTAAATGGATTAATAAGTGCTGAGTTCATAACTCTTCCATGTCCTGGAAAATCCTTTTTCCCAACACTAGTTTAGGAAATTTAAAGCTAATTTGGATGATTATCAGCCATCAGTCGGTGTCCAGGATCTCATCTATAAGCATTGGCAGATGCCCCTGTATAAAATTATTATTATTATAAAATATAAATCATTTGGCTGCCTTGTTGGTCTAGTGGTCGTCAATGCAACTAAATTATAATATGGTCCTAGGTTTGAATCCCGGGTCAGGTCAAAACCAGTCATTGGATTTTTCTGTCAAGAATTTCTCAGTAGCGGACGGAGTCAGGAAGTTGCTTTCACCTCTGTGTCTCGGAAAGGGTGTAAAGCCATTGGTCCTGTGCCAGATTTCTCTCCCGTTGTGTCTGATGGCAGGTGCATCTGATTATAAAAGTGGTGTAATAGAAAGTGCACTTGTGCTTACACACAAACTTGTTCTTTTATTTTTATTTTTTATTTATTAACACAATATAGTTTACAGTTGTAGAGATAAAAGTTTCTTAAAAATTCTTAATGTTGATAAAAGTTTCTGAAAAAAGTGAACCGTGTTCCATCGGTCAAGGAAAATTCCTGAACTGAGTGATTAGTTAAAAAGTATACAGAGGGGCAAACTGATTTCATTTTCGCAGATTATGAAAAAACGAGGTATTGTATCCGGCCCAGCTCCCTTAGAAGAGTCAATGCTTTTAATTACATTAATTATTTCCTCAACAGTAACTGAGACAGAATCTAGGGTATTGTTGACGGAGACATCAATAGAGTTAGTGGAGGAGTCCTGAGCTGAACTATTAGTCTCAAAAACAGAACTAAAATAAATTGAAAATAAGTCACAAATCCCCTTATGATCAAAATCTTCAAGGCTGTTATATTTCATCGAATGTGGTATCGAGTTACTCTCTTTACGTTTGCTATTAACAAAAGACCAAAATGGCTTTTTATTTTTACGTAACTCGGTCTCAGTATAGGCCACATAGTTTTTATAACATTGAAACATAAACTTTTTGCTATGGGCACGAAGTAGACAGAAAACATCATAATCTGGAGGATTTTTAGTTTTTTTTATATAATTTGTGGAATTTTTGTTTCTCGGAAATACACTTTTTAAAACTCTAGTTAAGCCAAACAGGGTAATTATCCGTCATTTTATGTGGATAAGGGGTGTGTTTCCTGATAATATTAAGCAAAGCGTCATAAAATACATCAACATTTTCATTTATGTCGGAGGAAGACAACAGGGATGACCAATGTATGTCATGAGTTCAATTTTTACCCTATCACAATAATTTTTTTTATAATTTAACCGTTTGTAAGGATTAAGTGTAACTCTGTTGGTAGTCAGGCGAGATATTACAATAGTTAGAGCTGGGTGATGTGTATCTAAATGACTTAAATGAGAGCATTCATTAACAATGAAATCCTCGAAAGGTACAAAACACGAAGTCTAAAACCGACCATTCCTGTTGGGCACTCCATTAAACTGATATAGACCGCATAATGAAGCAGTTTCTAGCATGAGGCTCGACTTGCGGTCAGTGGATGGGGAGAGTGCCAAGTAGGATAGACTTGCGATATCTCTCCACTGTATACCAGGGTTATTGTCTCCGACGCATATAAATTTATTATTTTCGTTCGCCTCTAAAGCGATATTGTGGTAGTTATTGTAAAATATAATAAGATCATCTACGGTGACGTAGGAAGGTAAGTAATTAACGCAGATATTCAAATTCCAGTGATTAGAAGAGTTCGACCGAATAATGATCCAAATGTCTTCCAGGGGAGTTTCCCATAACTGTTGACGAATAACATTAATTTTTTTTAAAATAGCAATTGCAACTCCGCCTTCATCCTTTTTTATATTACTTGTAGTTTGTCTATCCCTACGGAAAACGTAATATCTAGAATCAAAGATTTCGCTGTTACAAATCATCAGTTTCAACAAGACAGATGACGTCATAGTTGCTATTTAGTGTATGGATTTGATGCAATTTTGACCTTATTCTATTGACGTTCTGACAAAATATTTCCATTTATATAAAAAAAAAAAAAATAAAAAAGTACAGAATGTTGGCTAAATATTATGTTGTGGCATAAATTAAGTTAGTATTTAGTAGTTTTTATGTAATATATTTTATTTCCGCATAGGTTTTGTTAGCTTAGTTAAACAGTTATAATTTGTAATCAGAATTGCGCTGAAAGAATCGTCTTGACGTGTCTCTTCTTACCATATCGCACCCATGTGTATTTATAATTTTTCAATCTGCGGCAAATCGACGAGTTCCGGCGTATAACGTCTTCATCCCCGGTGACAAATGCTCAGCGACATAAATTCTGTTCACCTTAAGATGTCTCGAGTTCAGCAGGGCATCCGAATGACTTTTATTGTAGCGGGTGACGGCCGACATGACAAGGTCAAGCTGTCGGGACGACGCTAGGGTGACTAAGATGTTACGGGGCCGGAAGGCCTTGGGGTCCATTTTAATGATCATTCCTCTATGTTAGCACCGACGACGTCGCATAGTTTGCGAAAAAGTACTAGTAAATTTTCTTTTTTATTTTCTGGAACGGCATGAATTTCTAAGTTAAGACTGCAAGTCATGTGGTCTAAACTCGATAACTTAGTACTCATTATGCTAATTTGCTGCTTCAGGGCGCAGTTCTCTTCTTCCAAGCTCTTAACTACATATTTTTTGTCTTCTATTTGTTTTTTAATATCTAGCTGCTCATTGTGCAGAAAATCGGTAGTAGCTGTAAATTCCTGTTTTAACCCATCAATGCGATCACGAATCATATTGTCTATGTCTGTTTTCATGGAGGAGCGCAGGTTATTCAAGAAAATAATTCAATTTATAATTAATAACTTGCGAAATTTTCTCCGTAGTTATTGGCTCGGCCGCCGATTGAGATGCGTCTCTAGACGTAGTTGCAGGATTTTTCAAATCATTAGCAAAATCCGATTTATTTGCGCCGATTGCGTCTTGATCAAATGACATGTTCATCGCGTCATCCGCTGTCGGCACCTGATTGAGGCGAACTGGGGCTGTTACAAGTGATCCTATTTTTACGTTTCGTTATATTAGTGCAGGCGGGGCATATGCAAGACTAAAAGAATTCCTATTGCTCTTGAATTTCCTTGTGCTCTATAATCATCTCCTTTGGGAGAGATTGGCTGCCATAATAGAAAAAAATATTGAATTATTTTTAAGCATTTTAATAATTTATAATTTTATCTTATTTTCAGTGGTGCTTGGTTTTCCTGGTGTTCAAGAAGCAACATCGTAGTACTGGCTAGTAACAATGGAGCGCTCCTCCAGCCTTTCTTTTTCAACAATTCCACAATCATCAAACTGCAAAAGTTGGAGTGTTAGTGATTTCTTTTACATACTTTGTAATGTGAAAAATTCAATCATTAGGGTTTATTTTATGATTTTCAATATTTTGTTGTGACGTACTTCAAATACGGTACGCTCGTCATAAATCACAAAGTTCTAATTCTAGTTAAGCATAATATTCAAAGACGAATTGTGGTGGTAACTGAAATTGGTAATTGTAATTTTAAGTGTTGAATAACCATGGATTTGGTGGTAAAGGGATATGAAGAAGCCTCAAAGAATTTAAAAATATTACGAATACATGATTTCTGCCACTAGCAGCTGTGCCCTTCCTCTATAACCCTCATGAATTTAACAAAACCTGCCCATCAGTGGGACGTAAATGTAGGCTGTAACTTTACTTATTTTTTATTAGCGACCTACCCCAGTTTTGCAGTGGTGACACCAAGTATCTCCTGTTGGATGATCTATTGATGATCAATTATTAACATATTAAACGCTCGGTTATCATGAGCAACGTAGGTACATCGAGTTTGAGTATGTCATCTCGGTGGGGAAAAACACTTATAAAACTAAACTATTTGTCTACCAGTCTAACTATTTGTTGTTTTACTTTGTGCATTTTAAAATATTTATATCTATGTTATACTATTATATATTATATATATATATGTATATATACAGAATGGGTCCCACATATATGCAATAAATGAAACCACAAGTAATACTAGTCCGTAGAAGTGTAGAAAAATTAAATATTAAATTAAAACCCGTAAAATAAAAAAGTGAAATTTTCAAACAAAATAAATATTAAAATAAATTCAGTAAAAGTGAACACTCTGTTTAGACAACGTACCTTGACCCCTTGGAAGAGTGACAACGTTGCACGCGGGTGGCACGCTGACAAAAGACACCGCTGTCGATATGTCGCAATACCAACAGTTTGCACTGCGTGGCAACGTCGCTTTTTAATGTTCAAGGATTCAAGTTCATTGAATCATTGACTTAGTGACCCAATTCTATAGAGTGTTCAAATTTGCTTAAAATTAAAACTCTACTTTTTGACCTAATTACTGGACCGATTACGTTCATTTTTTGTATATCGTCAGCAAAGGCGATAACAAGTATATAGTTTCATTTATTGCATATATGTGGGACCCATTCTGTATGTATATATATATATATATATATATATATATATATATATATATATATATATATATATATACTTGAATATAGCGTCGCAGACTTTTCTATAAGGTCTTTAAGAAGAACAATTCCACCATACATTATTTTGACACAGCTTTATTCATTCACAAGCTACACCATAGAAGCTCTCAAGGAGGCACAATTATTTGAGATCTAATTTACAAATATGATCATAACATTATCTAATTTGCACAAACTATTCACAAATTATAAATTATGTAACCTAAGAGGTGACAACGCAGCTTTTTTTGTAGTATAAGGGTGACAAACGAGCATCGTCCACCTGATGGTAAGTAGTTGCTATGGCCCATAGACATCTACATGAATCCTCGATTACGAATCAAAATGCAGATGCGTTGTCACCTGTGAAGACTAAGATGGAATGTCTCCTTTCCGATAAAAAGGGTCTCCGGTTCTCTACACTCATCACGCGTTAAGCTCATTAGCAAGCCAACCCATTCGGTGCTAAAACTATATTACTAATACAGCTGCAGCATGGCCCTACCACGTACAAAAGCTGTTGCCTTTTTATAGAATAAGGGTGACAAACAAGTACACAGTCCATCTAATAGTATGTGGATGAAATGGACCATTGACATCTTCATTTGTCCTCCCATCTCTATGTGTAAAAATCAATTGCTGACCATCGCTAAACCTCATAAACGGCTCTATCGATTTTGATGAAAATTTTTCTGTGTATTTGAAAGGGTCGATAGATGGTTTTTTGGATTTAGATCCGGTTGGTGGTGCTGCTGTCGTGATCCAGAAATCACCCGTGCGAGGCCGGGGTGGATCGCTATTTAACAATAAAAATGTAGATGCAATGTCACGTCTGAGGACTGAGATAAAATGGGATTCGTTACTAGAAAAAAGGTCTCCAGTTGTCTGCATTAACGATATGATACACAACATCATTAAGCTGCTTTTTCACGCTAGTATTCTGTGAGAGCGTGGTACTTCTCCAGTCGAGCTGAGCCATTCGTGCTGCAGCTATTAATTTATTATCTTAAATTCCTTAACTTGGAATTATATTTTTTTAATTTATATTCATCGCACCCAACGAAGTTTCACTTCAAATATTATTTTCCTTTAATACTTAGTAGCGTTATAACATATTGCATTCCGGTGTGGGGTGGAGCTGCAAAGACCAAATTTCTTAACTTTGAAAGAGCCCAAAGAACCCCTTGTTAAGGCCAGTATTTTAAAAAAAGACGTTTTTCCACTGAACAACTGTATAGAATAAGTGGTCTACTCTCAGTTAGACAATTATATGTTATTATGACAATCCTCAAAGCACACAAATCCCTGCCCTTTGACCTATGCATCTTGAAAAAGCGGCGAAAAGATATTGTGATTGTGCCTTCTGGTACCAAAACAGTTTTTGCTAGTAGGCAATTGAGCTCATGTTCTGCATTCCTATATAATATATAATACAATATAATACATAAATAGAGAATTGAACATATACGACAAAACGTGCAGGGAGTATAAAAACCTGATAATAAAGTGGGTGCAGCCGAAAGCCTATGAAGATATCGAATTTCTGCTATACCGTATTTCGTAATTCGCTGTTATGTACAATATAATATAACAAAATAATTCTTTCTCTACACACACACGCACGCACGCACGCACGCACGCACGCACGCACGCACGCTCACACGCACGCACGCACACGTATATACTTTTGTAAATTTTGGCTGTTAAAATAGAGTAATTAGTTTTTGTCATTTTTGGTTTTTTTAAATTAAAAAAATGTATGTTTAGATAAGGAAGAGCGGGGTTTCCAAACACAGGCATTGCTTGCTTAAATGGAGAGCCCCATCAACTATGTAATTAATTTAAGTTTTGTGAAGAAAAATAAATTATTTTATTTTATTATTTATTATATCAGTACGTAACGATGCAATTGCAGTGGATTCGTCTAGACCAGTTGGGGAGCGAGATGTATTCATCCTTCAGCTTTGCGATGCAACTTGGTGTGCTATATTCAGACATGGTATCACGGCCAATATCTCAGCACCTGGACCCACAGAAGTGAGTTGACAATGTTACTGTCACTTTATTTTTCTTTGGTAATGGACTCATATTGTTATACTTTCGCCAATGCCAAGTGTTACGAAATAATAATATAAAATGTTTCAAAACTACAATATGTTTATTTTTTATTATTTAAAGTAAATCAAATACAAAGCTTAAATTATTTTATAATGGTGTCGCAAAAACCTAAGAAGGTTTATCTGTACACCATGCTTCATCGACGGCACTCGATGCTCAACCTACGTACAGACATCATCTATTATATATTACGGTAGATATAATATGCTTTAAAATCGTAGCGAAGATCTACACGTAAAATTGTCATTACTGAGACGCACAAAACCGGTTAGCCAATGAACGTACACAGGTGTTCACAAGCGATAGAATTTAACAGTATTACGGTTGGTAAGTAATCTCTGTCTTATAATTAAGTATTAGAACACATAGAAAATCATCGATATTTGTGTATAAATATACACACACATATTTTTATTTATTATTCTATATATTATTTTTATACATGTTACGCAGCCCTAATCTGCAGCTTTGTATCAGTTTATGACAATCACGAGGCGCCGCGTCAGCATAACGTGTGTACTGTGTTATATTACGCGGTTCTGATATTTTACCGTCTGAATTCATTCTAGGCTCAAACTTCGAATTAGAGTCACCTCTCTTAGTTGTAATAATTAATTGTAATAATTATTGTAAATTAAATATATTTTAAATAAAGATTGCTTTTTTTGCAACCTCTGGCTGGAGCCCACATAATTGGCGCAGTCGGTAGGATCTTCTAAAGTAGAGTCAGTGAATCAAGAGTGACTAAGAAGATACAGAACCTACGGGAGCACCAGTCCAGAGGCGAATCCAGGCATTGATTCCGCAAGAAGAAGTAATGCTGTAAGTGCTTGCATCTTTCAATCCTTACCCTTCCTAGTTCCATAATTAAAATTTTACTCTGTCCTAATTTTAAATACATATTTTTATTGCATTTTATATTTTTATCGTTTATAGTGTGTTAGTTTAAAGCTTCCAAAATTTTCCAATCAAGGGGAACACGGAACGTTAGGATAGATAGTAGTAGTACTTCTAACCTTAGCATTATAGACGAAAATAGAGGTTTAGAAACCGACAGTATGGCTCAATCAAATGAGATTGATTTAATTTATAAGTCGCTTAGAGTTTTGGCTGAATTTGACGGTAACCCGTACATCCTTACGCGCTTTATTAATCTGTGCGACCAACTGGTAATAGCTCACGTAAGAAATGAGCTCGGATACGAATTAGTCAATTTATCTCTTATAAACGGAATTTTAAATAAAATAACCGGGCCCGCGGCTAGGCTAATAAATTCAAACGGAATACCCGAAACCTGGGCCGGCATTAAAAGCGCTCTTATAAATAACTTCGTCGACCATCGCGACGAAACTGCATTATACAGCGATTTATCATTACAAACCCAAGGGTCCAGTACCCCACAAGAATTTTAGGAGCGAGTTCAAAGCTTATTTAGTACAATAATGACGTGTCACCCTACATGAAACGATCGGTACGACCATCGAAGCTAAACGCGCACTCTACAAAAAACTGACCTTACAAGCTTATTTACGCGGACTAAAAGACCCTCTAGGATCTAGAATAAGATGTATGCGACCCGAAAGTATGGAGAAAGCACTTGAATTCGTGCAAGAAGAGTTAAACATCCTCTATCTCCAACAACGAAATGAAGGCGGTCAGAACAGGAGAGAATGGACTCCACCTACTCCTAGCTCTAATTTACCATTAAATAATTTCCTTCCAAAACCTACCGCGTTTAACATGCCGTCACTACCTAGACCACAGATTAATAACACACTGAACTCATTTAGACAGCCACCTATGCAACCGCACGCTGCACAGGGTTGGAGACCCAGTCCACCGCCCCAGATGCATGCACCACGTGGTCCCACGCGTACGCAACAGATGATGCGTGCTCCACCACCAAATTATAATCCACACAGCAATGTGTTTAAGCTCCCTAACAGACCTCAGCAACCATCAGCAGCAACAGGGTTTCAATTTAAATAATAACTTGCGTCCTTCTCATATGAGCGGTGTCACTCCATTTGTTTCGAAACCCTTACCACCGACTGGACATGACTGGAGACGATTTGGCAACCCACCGCCGAGCAATTACTTTAAAACTCGTGAGGTAAACTTTAACGAGACGGGTTTTGACTACGACTATAGCACCGACGCGTACTATGAATATGACTATCCTGACTATAATTATAATCAAGAGTACTATACTTACGAACAATATCCTAATTATAGCTACGAGTAATCGTATAACCACGCGGAAACTCCCGTCGTAGAGGAAGTAGATTCTAGTTTTACTCCGGCTAATGATGAGGATTTTCAGAAGTGTCCCAAATCCGAAAAACCAAAATAGAAGTAAATTTCCATATACAAAGGCAACTCGGGTACATTCAGACAAGTAATCCCTCATTGAAATTCTTAATAGACACCGGCGCTAATCAATCATTTATTAGTCCCGAAGCCGTAAGAAAATATTTTAGCCACATCCCACTGAATTATGACCCATTCGAGGTCACTAGTGTTCATGCGACGAGTAAGAACGATTATTCCATAACTCTTCCGTGCCCTTTAGAGCTTAATGAGCAAGATAATATAGAAGAAAGAACTTTTTTCATTCAATTTAGATTATAAAAATACTTATGTGAAAGTCACTTTTTTAATTTACCACTGGTTCGCAAAAAAAACCTTTGTCCTGGGAATAACCAGCAAGAAACCCAGTGGGACTATTTTTTTTTAATAATAGCTTACAATCATGTTTACAATTAACAACAAAAGACAAATTAGAAATAGCTTGGTAGCGATCACCCTTCCCAGGGGTTATTATCATCCATAAATTCCTTAATATTATAATAACCCTTTTTATACAAACTTAGTTTAATAACATTTTTGAACTTTGTGTATGACAAATTTTGTATATTTTCTGGGATTTTGTTGTAAACATGCGTATACATCGCCCCAAGAATGAATTACTGACTCGGTGGAGTCGAGTAACTGGTACTACCAGCTATAACTTTGTTCATTCATAAATTTCATAATTACTTCGATGGACTGATAGGTTTTGATTTACTTGGCGCATGGGATTCTAATATTGATCTTAGAAATAAATTACTTATTACTCGTAACGCAAAAATTCCCATCGAAATGTATGACTCACATAACGCAAATTTATATGAAGAAATTATACCCGCGCAGTCATCAAAGTTAGTTAGGTTGCCTATAAATTCAAAGGACGGTGACGTAGTAGTTGAAAATCAAACAATTTACAACTGCATAATTTCAGATTGTTTGACAAAAGTAATTAATAATCGTGGTTGGGTCGAAATTACTAATAACAGCTCAAATGGCGTAATTTTTTCAATGGACCGTCCGGTAGAAGCCGAAATATTTAATGTCTAGTGCCAGTTTACCGAAACGTTATCGGATCGCGCTAAAAATGTTTTATCCCGTCTTCGCACCGATCATCTTAATCTCGAAGAGCTAGCAAACCTACAACGGCTATGCGCCACATATGCCGACGTGTTTTACCTTGATGGTGAACCCTTAACATTCACCAACAAGATCAAACATAGGATTAGAACACACGACGAAATTCCCGTACATACCAGAGTTACAGATACCCGTATGTCCACCGACAAAAAGTCCGGGGCCAAATTAATAAGATGCTCGAGCAAAATATAATTAGACCATCTGATTCTGCCTGGAGCTCTCCTATTTGGATTGTACCCAAAAAGGCGGACGCTTCCGGCAAAATACAATGGCCTCTTGTTGTAGACTTCAGGAAGGTGAACGAAAAGACTATCGACGACAAATATCCTATTCCTAATATAACCGATGTGCTAGATAAACTGGGCAAGTGTCAGTACTTTACCACGCTCGATTTAGCTAGTGGATTTTATCAGGTGGAGATGGATTCCGCGGATATTCACAAAACTGCTTTTAATGTAGAGAATGGGCATTACGAATTTCTTAGGATGCCAATGGGTTTGAAAAATAGTCCATCAACCTTTCAGAGGGTGATGGACAACGTATTAAAGAACCTGCAGAACGAAATATGCTTCGTGTATCTCGATGACATAATTGTGTTAGGTACATCCTTACAAGAACACATGACTAATCTGGAAAAGGTATTCAAAAGGCTGCGGGAATCCAACTTCAAAATTTAGATGGATAAATCGGAGTTTTTGAAGCTGGAAACCGAGTTTCTAGGCCATGTTATTTGCAAAGACGGGGTTAAACTCAACCCAGACAACATTTAAGCCATCGAGAAACACCCACTACCAAAAGCTACAACCGAAATTAAGCGTTTTCTAGGACTTCTAGGATACTATAGTAAATTTATACCAAACTTCGCACGTCTCACAAAATCACTCACTCAATGTCTTTAAAACGGATAAAAGATAACATTAGATCAAAATTACATTAACTGCTTTGAACACTGTAAAACTCTTTTAACAAATGATCCAATTTTACAGTATCCAGACTTCAGTAGAGATTTTATTTTGACAACCGATGCTTCAAACGTGGCGATTGGTGCAGTTTTATCACAGGGGACAGTCGGTTCAGACAAACCCATTGCATATGCTTCTCGCACACTTAACTCCAGCGAAAGTAACTATAGCACGATAGAAAAGGAACTTTTAGCTATCGTATGGGTGACTAAGTATTTCCGTCCCTATTTATTCGGCCGTAAATTCAAAATTACTACAGACCATAAACCCTTACAATGGATCATGAACTTAAAAGAGCCCAATTCGCGTCTAACCAGATGGCGTCTTAAGTTGAGCGAGTACGATTTTAGTGTCGTATATAAGCAAGGCAAGTGTAACACGAATGCCGACGTATTATCGCGCATCGAACTTCACAATGACGAGCTAAGGCCCATAATAGACGAATTGCTTTCCATTTTACCTAATTCCTTCGAACCTGCGTGCTCTGTGCGTACCCCACTTTAGATGACTCTCGGACTATAACGGCTACCGAAGTCGCAGACGATTCCCGAACCATCACCGTTCATACAGATAAAGAAAACCCCATCCTCGAAGTTCCGAATTCTGACGAACCGCTAAATAAATTTACTAAGTAGATAATTTTGAATATAATAGGGGACATAAAAGCTAGACCAGTTGTCACTAAGCCATTCGAAACACACACTCGCATTACTATTCAAACAGCTCAATCGAACATAGAGGAGGTGATCGTTAACGCAATTAAAGAATACGTCCATCCAAAAATTAGGACAGGATTACTTATCAATCCAACCTCTGCAATGTACACTGTCATACCAATTATACAAAAGACTTTTAAAAGTTCATCTCTTAACCTCTTTCTAACAAAAAGTGAATTGGAAAACGTTAAGGAATATCTAAGACAGCAAGAAATCGTTCATAAATATCACGACGGAAAAACGAACCACCGAGGCATTAACGAGTGTCTTTGTCCCGTAAATATTACTGGCCGAAAATGAGAGAGCATATTACTAAATTTATTAATGGCTGTACAGTATGCGGACAAGCTAAGTACGACCGCAATCCTGTTAAACAGAAATTCCAAATTGTACCACCAGCTTCTAAGCCTTTGAATTAGTTCATGTAGATTTACTAACCATTCAAGGGGAAAAATATTTAACAATAGTAGATTCTTTTTCTAAATATGCTCAAGCTTACTACCTGCGAGACGGCACTGCTGTCAGTGTAGTACAAGCTTTGCTGATTTTCTGCACACATCATGGCATTCCGATTACCATAGTTTCCGATAATAGGCTTGTTGTAGGTGGTTTACCAACCACCTTATTGCAGAATTCGTTAAACTTCATAAAATTCAGCTCCATAGAGTAGCCCCACATGCTCCCAATGAAAATGGTATTGTTGAAGTATTTTAAAGATAAATCAAAAGAATGAATCCGCTATTAACCTTATACCCTATGCCCTATTAGCTTACAATCATAGTATACACAGCATCACAAAATGCAAACCAATAGAAGTAATCACAGGACACTTTGACCCTCGCGATCCTTTTGATATAGATCTGTCCGCCCATTTACTTCAACAGTATGTAGTAAACCACAAAGACAGAATGACTGTGACCTATAAGACTATTCACCTTTTAAACCTATTCGCAATAAAAATCGCGAACCGGAAGCTGAGTATTCCCCGGAACAACAAATCTTTATAAAGAATCCATTCGCATCCCGTCAGAAATTAGCTCCTCGATACACACACGACACAGTAATGGCAAATCTCCCAATTCACATCTATACAAAGAAAAAACGAGGCCCCACAGCAAAAACCCGATTGACGAGAATACCTAAAACGAACCAATTGTTACAGGACTCTCCTGGTACTTCATCTCCCTCTGGGACCAGCTCTAATGCAGGAGATAAGACTTGAAAGTCTTAGTGACGGACCTGGTACATTACCCTTCAATTTAGGCCCCACTCGAATCCTACCCCACTACCATGCATTTCTAAAATATGTAGATCATCAAGAAAAAGGAGACAAAGTAAATTCTGTTAAAATACCGTCAATTAGTATTACTCCTAACCTTAACAATATAACTAATTCCTTATTTCAGCCTAATATTGATTATCTTAAAAATAATCTTGAAAGCGTCACCATACAGTTGAAAAGCTTTAAGACGAACCGTGAGAAAAGAGGACTTGTAGATGGTCTCAGTTCTATCATAAAAAGTATAACCGGTAACCTTGATTATACAGATGCAGATCATTTTAATCACGCAATAAAATCCATCCGCGAAGACGAAAATAAAATGATAACGGAATTTAATAACCACGTAAGCTTAACTAAAGATTTGACAAATCAACACTCCAAAATAATAGATAGCATTGTGGATAATCAAAATAAATTGGAAATATTAATAGGTAAAATAAATCATTCCGAGGCTACTAGAGACTACGATTTAATTAAATATGCCCATTTTGCACAAGTACTAATGATCCTTGGTGATAACGTTGATTCCATCTCATAGGAATTAATTAAATTACAGAATAACTTATCATTTATAAGAGCTAACACTATGCACCACTCTATAGTCAATTTAGAATCTATCCGAATAATGATTAACCGGGCAACCGAACTTTATGGAGGTAAAAGGTGGAGGTTTATTTTTATGACATTATTAGATCAGGCTCATATTATGTAGGAAATAGTTATAGTATTTAAGTTCCCGATTCTATTACCCCATATATATGATATGTATAAGTTATCTATTGTTCCTAACAAGAAAAACGAAATCCTTACACCACCCCATCCATTCCTAGCCATTTATCAGAAAGGTTTTCAGTACATAGAGGCAGAATGCCCGAAGACCAGTAAATGGTACATCTGTAAGGATAAGCGGAGCCTGAGAAGTCAAACATCTCCTGATTGCATCCATCATCTCATCACAAAACAAAAGACGAATGCAGTATGTAACCCGCTCACAGTCACCTTAGATAAACCAGCTTACGAAGAACTGGCCGACAAGCACTACACCATCACATTCCCTACGCCAACGAAAGTACATCTATCGTGTGGCCAAGATCTCTACAAAATACTTCAAGGTAGTTATCTCGTTGTTGTCCCTCTGAAATGCTACAAAGAAACGCCACTATTCTCGATCTCAAATACTAAAGACCGATTGAAGGTACAAGCCTTAAAAATAATGGACATACCTGAGGAAAACACCAGCATCCTATCTCCTATTTCGGCATATAAACTAAATTCAATAAACCTTCAACACCTTCATGCAACGAACACCAAAATGTCCCAGCAATCGCCAGTAAATCTAAGCAGGAACGATGGCCACAGTCTATACCACACTACAATACTATTTTACGCATTAATAATAAGTGCAGGTGCACTGATTCTATGTATACTATGTAGAAAGTACAGGCTGAAGCCAACTGAAAGTACGCAGAGGAATACAGAAGAAGAACATCCTGAATCATTAAGGATATACGCAGTTCCAAGCGCTGAGAAGGTTAACCCCGATCAACTACCAGCTCAATTCACGACCAAGGTCTTCCATAGTCGCTGTTCTTCGGGGGGAGGTGTTACGCAGTTCTAATCTAGGCAATCTGCAGCGTTGCATCAGTTTACGAGAATCATGAGGCGCCGCGTCATCATAATGGGTGCGTTTGCAGAATTCTTTGCTACTTCAGGACAGATGTACGGGGAACCTAACCTAATTTAAATATATTTATTTGTAAAGTATTCATATTAAAACATGAATATAACATGTATAGTTTATTCATTCATTGTATTAATTAATACTATATGCACAAAACAACTTATAAACTCTACTTCAAAACAAACAAATTAAATAGCGCGGAGTATGACTTTGCTTGTGTGTATGTGTTTTACTGTTCTGATATTTTATTGTCTGAATTCATTCTAGATTCAAACTTCGAATTAGAGTCACCTCTCTTAGTTGTAATAATTAATTGTAATAATTATTGTAAATTAAATATATTTTAAATAAAGATTGCTTTTTTTTGCAACCTCTGGCTGGAGCCCACATAATTTACGCACATATATACATATATAACAATAATATATACATATTCATAGGGGCATACTATATGATTCATTTTTTTATTTTATTTTTTATTTATTTTTGTATAATATGTACATTTATTACGTACGTAATAAAGTATTATATGAGATATGTAGCTTTAGTTTTCTTTTTACATTTTGCGTAGTATATGTTGATGTGTCATATTGTGAAGTTTTGGGATATTTTGACGGCAGCAGACAGTCGATGACGACAGTATCTCAAGGGGCTCTTTTTTCATACTTTCCACTTATAGTTCACATGCGTAAACATTTAATACACAAAATCACACCACTTTTCTTGTGAAAGTCTACTTGAAACCATTATTTTTATACAATAAAACAAGTGCAACAATCCTCTGGCTCAGTTCTCTACCTCACTCTAGCTATCTTTCTTTATTTTATAAAAAAAAACTTTAATAAACAAATACTTTCCTTGTGTCTAGGTCTTAGCTTACATTATGTTACTATTTGTATGTCATGATTAAGACAAATCCCCCCTACAACCGTAGAAGTCCACATCTAGCGATAGACTTTCACAAACTACCATTACCGTTACAGCTTATCTAACCACCGCAGAACATGGGGCCTTCCCTATAGATTGCCCCATGGAGTGGGTATTTGCCATGGTTGCTACGCTTGGCAAGCAGGTTGGCAATTATTTTTTTTATTCAACTGTTATCAGGAAGATGCTGCTGCCCATCTCCTGGTTCAGTTTCCCTCAGTCGCCTTTTACGACACCCACGGGATGTTACGGGGTAGTTAATATTCTTACACCGCCACTATACGGTTATTTAATGACTTATGAAAAAGAATCTTATGAGATTTTTAAATATAGAATAGAGGTGATAAATGAGCAACACAGTGCACCTGATGGTAAGTAGATGCTATGGCTCATAGACATCTTCATCTATCCTCGATCAAGAATCAAAATGCAGATGCGTTGTCACCCGTAACGAATAAGATAGAACGTCTCGTTTCCAGTAAAAAGGGTCTCCAGTTCTCTACGTTCACTGTAAGAAACACAGCAGCATTAAGCTGATATTTTACGCTGATATTCTGTAAGACCGTGATCCTACTCCGGTCGAGTCGACCCATTTGTGCTACATGTACTTACAGCATGTCTCTACCACGGATGAAATATAGACTTCATAGTAATAAACAAATTTCTTGATTCACAGATTTGGCTAATGCCAATTTCAGGCGCCAACGGCGTGCAACATACTCACATATTGAAAACTGGGCTCATTGGAAGGTTTGCGCTCAGTGTTGTTGATGATCTGGTAGCGGTTCATCATCAGGTCAGTTGATCATTTAAATTAATAGATTAACTGTTTTTATATAAACAATAATACTTTCAAATGTTCCATGCCAAATTCAGCAGAATGAAGGGTATGTTCCGAAACGATTCCAGTATACTGCCGAATAAAAATAACGTCATCAATTGGCGCCATATTGTATTGGCGTGCCGCCGACATATTGAGAATCAAGCGCTTATAAGCGCTAAAATTTTTGAGTACATCGCGTTTTTAATTTGTTTTGAAGTAGAGTTTATAAGTTGTTTTGTGCAATATTAGTTTTAAGTAATATAATGACATGAATAAACATATATGCTATTACTCTGATTGGTAAGTTTTTATATGAATACTTTACACTTATTTAATTAGGTTAGATCGTTAAAATATTAATATTTTTTGCTGTTTTTTTGTCTGATATCCGGCCATATTAAAACAATTTTCAATTGTATGCACGCTGAATGAAGCATGCCAGAATGTGTTTTTATTTATTCACATACAAAAAATTTAGAACAATTGCTAGTATCTCCATTAGGAGGATATAATGGTTTTTGGAGCACAAAGTGACAAAATAATCGCCAACACTTTTCCAATATGGCGCAAATGTATGACGTCATATATTGTCCTATGTTTTGGAACGAATCACCAGTATCGCGTCGATTCCTGACGTCATTTGCATTGGCCAGTACACTGGGTTCTATTTTGAAACATACCCGAAATCACCTCATCTGTCACATTCCGATCACGAATTACGTTATTTCCAGTGCGTTTTTGTTTGAATGTTTTTCTTCTTGCTTATGAATTGCTGTAGCTAAAAAACTAAAACATGTTTAATTCTACTAAACACTATGTTTTAGCACCGACTTCTGAAGCTATTATGTAAACATTAAATTATTCTTTTTAGTCTAGTAGCATTAAATTATTCGTAGTATTAAATTATTCGTTTTAGTTTAGTAGCTTTTACTTTTTATTGAAAGCTTAATTTTTTTAGTTAAAAACCCAGGATTATTAAAACAAACAAGTATTATTTTTCCAGTCAAGTCAAACATCACAGCTCTTTGACATAATGGAGGAGTTGAAGGTGGACAACAACACGATGGTCCATCTACCGATTGTCCCAGGACACTCGATCAAACCCGCGGTGGTTGATGATCAATTCTGTCCCATGTGTATCCTTTAAAGAAAGTCTCTATATCATAAAAATTCAAATCTTATCACTTTGGCTCCTTATAGGATTGCATCAAGTGAATTTTATTAATAAATGATTAAATATGTCAAATGAGCACACACTCCGCCTGATAGTAGTTGGATGCTGTGGCCCATAGACATCTGTAGTATATTGCGGGTAGATTAATACTGTGATGTGATGTGTGTCGAGAGTCGAGACTGTACCTTCAAAAAATAAACAATAAAAGCATTGTTGAACCAGCTAGCGTTTAATTTTATATATGGTGACAGCGGTGTTGAAAATAAATTAGACAGCCGATATAAAAGTACTTTGTTGATAAGGGAATTTAGTTTTAAAGTAAATTGTGTACTTTCTGTAAAAGTAAGTGATAGAATACGCGCGACCTCCCGTAGAATTAGTGTTCGAAGGCGGTCCAGCTGCGCGAGCAGACTCATGGCGGAAATGGCGGAAAGAGTTTGAGGTGTTTCTTAAAGCCTCGGGAGTGGCTAAAGAGGAAAGTTCAGTGCAGGCGAGTTTACTGGTCAACCTCATTGGATGGCGGGTTACGAAATCTATTCGACCTTTACATATATTTTTATTTTTGAGTATAAAAAGAAATATTACATCATATTAGTAGACTATTTTTCTAATTATGTTGAAGTTCAAGCAGTAAATAATATAAACAGTAGAACAATTATCCACTTCATGAATGAACAATTTTCGAGGCATGGCATCCCTAGCGTGCTTGTTACTGATAATGGACCGGCGTATAGTTTGCAAGAATTCAAAAAAATTCTAAGAGTATGGGAGGTTAAGCATGTGACTTCATCACCTCATTACCCTCAGTCAAATGGGAAAAGCGAACGCACAGTACGAACTATAAAAATCTACTCAAAAATGCGTTGATTCTGGAGATGATTTCTTTATAACTTTATTGAACTATAGAAGTACGCCCAGGTTTGGAATGGATTCTTCGGCTCAAATTCTGATGGGAAGACGTTTGTGTACACTACCGATTAGTGAATTTCTATTAAATGAAACGGTTGATAAAAATAGAAATTATAAAAAGTTAATGCAACAGAGATTACATTATGATAAGTCGGCCAAACCGTTGCAGACTTTATTATCAGGAAATAAAGCAGTTTTAATTGATAACGGAAATAGGAAACCCGTTTCTATTATAAGACCGTCGGAGGAACCACGTTCGTTCACAGTACGGGATTCGTGTGGACGGCGATTGAGGCGCAATCGCCGTCACCTAATAGCACGATATGCAGACAGCGATGCAAAGCGCCCTGCCGCCTGCGCTGCCGGTGCAAGTAACGCTAAGGCAACTGAGTTAACAGCCAAGGCCGTAGCTTCAAATATAGAACAGTTTGGCAATTTGTCTTCGACAAATAGTAAAACGAATATTGGCGGTCATAGCCGATATATTAATCCTCCCTTAACAAGGTCAAAAGCACGACTTATGTCTAAGATGAAAGATCCGATGAAAGAAAAAATATAATAAATATTTTATATAAAAGTTATTTACAAACAAGTTTCTACATATTAAGTGTATATTTTTAAGTCTTTATTCTGTAGATATTGACTTAATTTCATTTATTTTTATGTTTGCTATTATTTTGTAACTTCAATTAAACACAAAAAAAGTAATATAAAATGTGTTTATGTTACGGCTAGGTAGCTTCGTTATTATGATAGATATATTAATGTTGTATGAGTTTGTATTTGGTGTACGGTCCATTTCTACAGTTAGAGTTTTTTATCAATCAATTTTGTACTTGTGTTCATTATTCGTTAAAGAGGACGGATGTAGTATATTGTGAGTAGATTTATACTGTGATATGATGTGTGTCGAGACTGGACCTTCAAAAAGTAAACAATAAAATTTATTTTATTACAATATCTATGTGTATCCTCGATTAAGATTTTATTAAAATAAAATAAAGCAGTAAAGAAAAACCAATGAACACTCTTTCATACTTTTCAGGCTTACGACTGTCTATATAATCGATGTAAATGTTATTTTAACCTTAATGTAAATTTTAAATCAAATAAAGGCGTATTTAAAAGTTTATTGATTGTATAAACGAAAAAAAAACATCTTTTTACATACACTATTATATACACTTTTGTATCTATATTTTATTTACATTTAAAACATTAGTCAGGCTACTTTTGTAGCAGACAACCGTGTCCTTCAATCACTTATAAATATACAGTATCCACTAACTAAACAAGTCGTACAATAAATTAGGTCTAGATATTAATAGCGCCCAAGCGCCATGGCGTCTACTTACATAGCATGCGCTATGCGCTATGGAGAGAAAGCTCGCTATAGTATGGCGCTATGCGCTATATTAACCACCATTAGGGAAGACAGTTGATCGAGCAAGTAGATGAGTTTGTATATCTGGGTTGCGTATTTAGCAGGGATGAGAGATGTGATAAGGATATAGAACGACGAGTGAATGCAGGAAATAGAATAAATGGGGCCCTATTGTGAAGAGTCAAAATGTGTCGAAAAAGGCTCGTATGGCAATTCACAATGCTATGTTGGTCCCTACTTTAACGTATGGTAGTGAAAGTTGGGTGTGGCAGAAGAAGCACGATAGTAGAATGAACGCAGAAGAAGTGCGGTCGTTAAGGAGTGTGTTAGGGCTGAATCTGAATGACAGGGTAAGAAATTGTGTGATAAGACAAGAGTGTGGTTTGCAAGATGATGTTGTGACCAGGATTAAGAAAGGAATGCTTCGGTGGTTTGGTCATGTAAAAAGAATGAATGAGGAAAGAGTGACAAAGAAAATTTATGTTGCAGAAGTGAATGGCAGAGTCGGAAAGAGACGTCCTAGGCGAAAATTTATCGACCAGTTTGGCGATTTATTGAAAACGGGCCAAATTAGGAGTACCCTTAACCGACGAGCATGTATGCGTAGGTACCTATATGGATGTGAAGGAGGCGAGAGAGGTGTGTCAGGATCGTGTCAAATGGAAGTCTGTAGTCTCTGCCTACCCCTCTGGGTGACAGGCGTGCGTGTTTATGTATATGTATGTAGGGAAGACACGCTTTTCTTTACCGACTCAAAACAACGGTTAGATACCTAAATCTTTATTCGAATGCGAAGACTGGGCGCCACCGACTACTTATCATTGCTTTCGAATTCAACACTCCTCTACAAATGTTGCCGTGCGTAGTAAAATAGTAGACGTTACATATTTATGAATGACAATTATTTAAAATAATGCATTTCCACTCTATTTGAATTTAAAAAGTACAACATGTTTGAGTTTTTTTTTTCACTATTCGCTTACATAACCTATTCTGAACCTCCCTGCAAAGGGAACACATTGCAAAATAATCCGGTATATGTACTATTGTACTGTTGTTAATTTATATATACATATGATGTATATGAACTATTAATCAATCAGCATTATATATAGCCTTACAATAGAAACTTAAGTTTTTTTTCACCTCTATTCCCACAAAATATTTTCTAAGCCATGGTAATAGACTCTGGCAATTGGGTGGTGTTCCAACCAGACTACATTATCGATGCGAGGCTTGGCTGCCTTTGGCGAGTGAATCTCATACCAGAGGGTCTAGCGCATTCTGTAAGTGGTTTCACATTAATATTAGAGTATTCTCACAAGTAACATGATATATTTATATTGCTGTGTCACACACTCACACTAACAAATTCAATATACAAAGTGTCCCTGAACGTAACGATCAAACGAATGGGGGTTCCAGACCAGTTCAATATGCCAACATGTATTTTATTCATATTTCATCTATATACTTTAGGCATATCATTAGGCTATACAAAACAGAAAATGAAATAAAATCGGTTCTCATTTGTAACTGCAGCATCAAAAGTATTGACGAAAAGGTTTTTCTGGAAAATTTATAAATCACCTTTTATCTTTTAAACCGCACTTGTGTATAGGACTTAGTTTTTTTTAAGTCTTGCCATGGTCTACAACCCCTTTTCGTTTGATCATTACGTATAGGACGACCTGTATAACGTTCTATTTAATTTTATAATTAGGATCCAAAACCATTAAAGACGAGAACAAATTTTAAATCCGGCTCGAAGGACCAAATTTTGTATCCTACTTTCACTTTCAAAATATTAACAAAAGTTATATATCTATATGCTCACTCTTTCGTCAACTTTTTAATCAAAATTCTACTTAAAAATTTAATAAAGTTATAAAAACAGTATGGAATCCAAAGAAAATATTGTTACAGGTTCAAAAGGACGATATTCCAAAGATCATTGCGGTTTTGCTCAGGCGAAAGGATGGTGTAGAGACCATCTATAGGATACTAAACCAATTAGTGTTAGAAGTGAACACATACTTGGTAGAGTTGACAAAATCTTTTGATGAAATTAATTCAGTTTACAGGTGAGGGAATATAATGTTTACATTATGTTTGCTGTGATTTAAATTAAATGGGGTAGTCGACTCCACTATTAACCAAAAAGTACATTATATTATTTGTATTTGCTACTGTTATTGTGTCTTTAAACTTTGTCGGTTTTTAATGTATAATGTAAATAATATATAAATAAGGCGACCATTTGACAATAAAACGTTAAGTGGTCATGAAATTGATCATGAATATTTTTTGGTATAAATTCTCTTGAAAATTGGTATTTAGCTAGTAATATGTGATACCTACAACTTGCCAAAGTTAACTTGAGAATGAAAACTGTTCTATGAGTAATTGTTTTTAATGTAGTGTACTAAGTGTGTCCAGACTTTATACATATTTGATATAATATTGTATGATAACGTTTGATATATTCTTTTGGCTAAAAGCCTTGTAGCCAATGCTACAAAAAATGTGTTTACGGTGGGTAGGAAGTGGGTGGATTCGGAGGTGGCCCGGAACACGGCAGGGGTTGCGGGGGCGGGGGTTGCGGTGGAGGCGTGGCGCGGGCGCGCCGTGCTTACGCAGAGCGACGTGTGCACGCGCCTGCTGCAGCCGCACGCCGACCACGACCGCATCGTGCAGGTATAAGCACACGAATACCCACACGCATACTTTTTTCTTTCTAACATAAGTTGCATTCAAATCAAATGAAATTTAGATGCATGTAAACATATCGGATAAAGACGTATCCCCGATTTTGTTATCTTCAGTTTTTTAAATTGCCTCCCATTATGGAAGTAAATCTTAAGACGTGTTCACGCTAAGAAGCGGTGTGGGGTCTGGCAGGTAGTGAGCGCGTACGTGTGGTCGCTGTGCGCGCGCGGGCTGGCGGCGGGCGCGGGGCTGGCGGCGCTGTGCGTACGCGCGCTGGTGACGCGCGGCGCGCGCGGGCGGCTGCGCGCACTGTTGCGGCGCGGTGCGCTGGCGGACGCGCGCCCGCTTGCCTGCCAGCTGCTGTCGCTCGGCCACCTCGACCCCGCCGCCGCGCAGCTCGCGCTCGATATGATGTGGCGGCTGCGAGCACGAGAGGTATGTGTACGGACCGCTCGAAACTTCACGTTTTTTTTTTGTTGTTGTTGACTCGTACTGTTGTACTTTTGCCATTCATCTACAAAAAGCCTATAAAAGTCACTGCTGAACATAGATCTCCCTCATAGATTTCCCCATAAGGGGATTTTTTCATAGTTACCAAGCTTGGCAAACGATTTCTTATATTTACGCGAACACTACACATCGATTAACATGATATATTTATTTTGCTGTGTCACACACTCACACTAACAAATTCAATATACAAAGTGTCCCAGAACGTAACGATCAAACGAATGGGGGTTCTAGACCAGTTCAATATGCCAACATGCATTTTATTCATATCTTTCATTCATATACTTTAGGCATATCATTAGGCTATACAAAACAGAAAATGAAATAAAATAGGTTCTCATTTGCAGCTGCACGCGAACACTACACATTGATTAAAACTACTTTTACGGATTTTATCGCGTTTAATTTACTTTTAATTATTTTTATTTTTAATTCCCGACGTTTCGTGCTTTCAGACGGCGGGGGAATAAAATGACTGACGTCTCGATGTCATTGTTAAAGTCGGAGTACTTTCTGCTTTTTTATTTATTCTTTATGGTCCGATCTATGCATAATGAAATATGTCTTGACTATGACTGCAAGACCTTAAGACATAGTCAGTTCATTTTGCATAGATCGGACGGAAACTGGACAGCCTTGGAGAGAGACCAGAATGCACGGGTTCCAGAAGGAAATCGTACTAGTTTCTCGACAATTCTGCCTATGTGCTCTGACTTTGCCTTGGCAATGACTCTTTTGACGGACCAGGAGGCGGAATACTTCTTTTTTAGAGCGCTGGTGTTTACATCCCGGGACATTGATGCGTCAGCCCAGGCTTGGTAGCACTCCTGCTTATAGCATGATGCTATTTTAGGAGCTGACTCCATAGGGGTACCTATTGGTGACCATAATATGAGATGAAATCTTTTGCTAATATTTATTATAGCGGAACGTGCAATACAGTTGGCGGGCAGCTAGTGACTAACAGAAAAATCTTATTCACTAAGTATATAGATACAATATTGCAAAGTATACATGCGTGTATGTGTGTGCGCAGCACAACAACAATACTTCCCCATTTATAAAAAAATAAAAAACTTAAAAACTATACAATGAATATAAACCAAAACTTAAAACTAACGACAAAAACTTGCTAATGCGCTTGGGCGCAGGGCTGTACGGAGACCCCCGCAAAAGGGGCGGCTGCCGCGGCGGGCGCGGGCGCGTGCTGCAGACTGATGCTAGAAGCACCTATCATCTGACCCATAATCTGGCCCGATATTGGAACGCCTGCCATTAACACTTGACGGCGAAGCCAGCTTTTTGAACTTCTTATCAAACTTTACCCAAATAGTGTACAGGATTATCGTCCCCATAAAACTGGCTATCACATATAACCATATTTGAAAATTATCCACTTTATTCTCTACAGTATTTTGAGCCTGAGAAACAATAACTGGTTTTTCTTGATAATTACCCATAGTAAAAATCGTAAAACTTTTCGCACTAATGCTTTCGTAAAGGAAGTATTTCGAATGAAATGAAATTAAATACATTATAACTAAACTAACTACCTAGAACCTTAGTGAAATTGCAGTATACGCAAAATACTGAACACAATACCTCTACAATTACATTCAACTTAAATAATGTAACTTGAATATCCTGAATGAAAATATTAAGCACCTAACAATGCAAATAATACTTTGACATCCATAGTAACTAAACCTGATTATCATTTATACATGTAATTGTATTATATACATTTTATATTAACATTAGCTTATCAATCGTGAAGGTAACTTAACAATGCGACCACTTCGCGTTGTTTTCACGGTTATCGGGTTGCTCGGGCCGGGTAACGACGACGTCACCGGTGTGGGCGGTGGTAACGCGAACCGTACATGCGCAGGTACCACATCCGCTGCGTTATCAGCGTTACTGTAGCGTGGCGTTGCTTCGTTACCATCACATTCCTTTAATACATATGCAGGCTTTAATATGTCGATAGAAATATGTACCTGTCTATCCGGTAATTGAATTAGGTAAACCTTTGAGCCCCTTTTTATCACGCGGTATGGACCGTCGTAGGGTGGTTTCAAAGGTTTACGTATTGAATCGTCCCTAATAAAGACATATTCACAGTTACGTAAGTCCTTGTGCACAAAAAAACTTTGACAGTTACGTGAATCGTCGGATGTAGGCTTATAACTACGAATAGTATCTCTAATCTTATCAACTAAACAATAGTCGTTGACGTTACGGTTGTTCGAAGAGCTGTCATAAAAGTCTCCCGGTAGACGTAAGTTTCGTCCGAACGTTAACTCGGCGGCGCTAACCCCTGAGTCGCTGTGGGCGGCCGCGCGGAGCCCAAGTAATACTGTGGGTAGCTCTTTCACCCAGGACCCATGTGACAGGCGAGCTGAAAGTGCTGTTTTTAAAGAACGATGCCAACGTTCAACTGCGCCATTGCTTTGCGGATGATAAGGAGTAGTTCGAATTCTATTAACCTCCAACATTTTTAACAGCTGTTCAACGCAGTTGGCATAGTCACGGCTTCGATGCGCGATAAGGTGTCAGCTACAATGTTATTCGTACCGGTTATATGTTTTATATTTGTAGTGAATTCACTTATGAAAGCTAAATGTCTCGTTCTCCGAGGCGTTTCGCTTTCATCGCGTCCTATCTTTTGAAATGCAAAAGTTAGAGGTTTATGGTCCGTATACACGGTTATTTCTTGACCTTCAAATAATTTCCGAAAATGTTTTATAGCTAAATATATAGCGAGCAACTCGCGATCGTATGTGCTATATCGCTGTTGGGTGGTGGTCAATTTTGTTTGAGAAATAGCCCAATGGTTTCCAGCTATCTCTTTCTTTTTGTTGCAAGACTGCTCCCACGCATGTGTTAGATGCATCAGTCATTATAGCAAGTGCGGAACCCACTCTAGGGTACGTCAATGTAGCGGCCTGTGTGAGACCTGCCTTACATTGCGTAAATGCTTCGTTCGCACTATCCGTCCAGACGATGGGAGTCTTATCATTTTTCTTTGAGCTTTTAAGACATTTATTTAATTCTGTTAGATGTAAAGTAGCGTTGGGAAAATGAGCTCGATAAAAATTGACCATACCGAGAAAACGTCTTAGCTCTGCAACAGTTTTCGGCTTCGGAAATTCCACAATTGCCTGAACCTTATCTTGCAACGGCCTGACGCCGTTGGTACTAATCTCGTGTCCCAAAAATTCTAGTTTAGTTTGTCCGAAACGACATTTTGCCAAATTAATTGAAATTCCATATTTATTAAGCCTTTTAAAAATAATTTCTAAATGTTGCCTGTGTTGAACTTCGTTGTCACTAGCTATAAGTAAGTCGTCTAAATAACAAAAGACAAAATCAAGCCCTTGTAAAATGGAATTCGTAAAACACTGGAAGATTTGTGCTGCACCACGCAAACGGAAGGTCATTCGAGGAAACACGAAAAGTCCGAATGTTGTTATGATAGCGGTTTTCTCCACGTCACCTGGTGTGGCAGGTATAAAATGATAACTTCTATTGATGTCTAATTTTGAAAATATACTTTTATCCGGAAGAATAAAAGTAAAATCATTGACGCGAGGAATCGGGTATCTGTCGGGCTTTGTTATCGCATTCAGCTGGCGATAGTCCCCATAAGGTCTTATATCTCCATTCTTTTTAGGAACTACATGGAGTGGACTAGCCCACGCGCTCTTTGAAGGACGACAGATGCCCAGTTCCTGCATGATGCGAAATTCTTCTTTAACTTTTTTATACCTGTCAGGTGGCAACGGGCGCGCTTTCGCGTGCACGGGCGGGCCAGATATAGTGGACGACATCGTGTTTCGCGGTTTCTCGGAATGACGCTGGTTTAGTGATGTCCGGGTACTTTAACAATAAATCCTGATACGGATGATTTACATCAATAGTTTTACCACTAGGTTGAGATACATTGACAACAGATGCCGAAACATTCAATTCTGTAATTTATCTATTAATTTACGCGCGTTTAAATCAACTAATAATTTGTGGTACGCTAAAAATCGGCCCAAAATTGGTTGTTTGACATCTGCCACAACGAATTTCCAACGATAAGGTCGACGTAAGTTTAAGTTTAACACTAGTGTCTTGGTACCGTAAGTTGCGATTTCACTACCGTTAGCTGCGCATAATTTATATTCACTACACTGATTTACACGATCTTTTCTCACGACTGGTAAAACAGACACATTGGCACCGTTGTCGACTAAAAATCTAAGCCCAGAGTTACCGTCTGACACACAAACGATTGAATGAAAAAAAGGTACGGACCTGAATATCCTCAGACTGTACCTCGCCGTTCAGTTTTCCGGCTGTGTTGGTTTCCACGCGCAAGGCTTCGTACACTTGTTGGCCTTTTCTCGGAACCGGTAATGGTAGAAGCATAAGTAGTTCTCCTTCCGGGGCCGGCGGGAACCGCTACGGCGCCTGGACTGCGAATGACGCCGGTTGCGATCAGGGGCGCGAGACCGCGACCTCTGCTGATCGATCTGGTCCACGGTAGCCTTTATTTTAGCCACTTCAGCCCTCAAAAGGGCCAAGTCAAGGGCGGCCGTAGCTGTTGGCGCTGGCACGGCATAGGTAGCGGTGGCGGCATAGAAAGGCCGCACAGCCTCCATGACGTTATCTGCGACTGCTGCTAGGTTGTCCAGGTCCTTGGAGTCAGACACAGTGAGCACGGCTCGCACTTGTGTCGGAAGACGTCTCTGCCACAGCACGCGCCCACTACTGAATTAACATCACGTCGGGCACGTTATCACGTCGGGCACGTTTATCACGTCGGGGTCACCAGTTTAGGAGCTGACTCCATAGGGGTACCTATTGGTGACCATAATAAAAGATGAAATCTTTTGCTAATATTTGTTATAGCGGAACGTGCACTACAGTTGGCGGGCAGCTAGTGACTAACTGAAAAATCTTATTCACTAAGTATATAGGTACAATATTGCAAAGTATACATGCGTGTATGTGTGCGCGCGGCACACCTACAATATTTTACAGGAGCGACCAAACCATTGCTGAGATTTGCTTCCGATGGGCACCACAGAGGAAGGAATAAAAAGTTCCATACCCTGAAGTAACACATCAGCGACAGAATCCGCAACAATGGGATCGTCCGGCGAGTAGCAAAGACAAACTTGTGTCTGAAATTGAGTCTTTGCTGAACAAAGTCTCGGATTGGGGGCGACTAAATCTAGTCCAGTTTAACCCCCAGAAGACACAAGTTTGCGCGTTAACCGCTAAAAAGAACACCTTTGTCGTATCTCCTCAGTTTCAAGGCACTCCCCTTGTTGCCTCAGCCAGTATCGGAATCCTCGGCGTCGACATATCGAGTGACGTGCAGTTTCGTGGTCACTTGGAAGAGAAGGCTAAATTGGCCTCTAAAAAGCTTGGCGTGCTCAGCAGAGCGGGACAGTATTCCAAGCCGGCACACCGTCTGTAACTTTACTAGGTGCAGGTTCGGCCGCACATGGAATACTGTCCCCCCCCCCCCCAGGGACCTTCAAGAAAAGAGTTTACTCCTTTCTAAAGGGCCGGCAACGCACCTGCAATTCCTGTGGTGTTGCGGTTGATCATGGGCGGCGGCAGTCGCTTGGCGGCATTAGGTAAGTGATATGCTCGTTTGCCCCCTCTTCTAAAAAAAAAGGAAATAAAAATAATTAATGGGTAGAGTGCACTATAAATAATATTATAATCTACAAATGTAAAAGTAAATTAATAAACATGCCAGAATTTACTTAATTGGCGGACTAGTGATCATAAAACGACAGGGAGAGATGAAAGGACGAGGGAGAATTTAAAAGGAAAGTTAATGTCTTTTAACTTGGTTTTTAAAGGAGTCTATGCTTTGAGCACGTTTTATAGTTGATGGTAAGGAATTCAAAAGCTTCACTCCATGAACTGAAAAAGATTTACTGTAAAATGTAGAAGAGTGCAAGGGACATAGAAGGGAAAGGTTTTCTAAGGACCGAAGGGAAAGTTTATGAGAGGAGCTGAGAAATTGGAAACGTTCTTTATGGTAGGGAGGACTTAATATATTAAATAAAACGCAGTAGAGAGCAAAAAGAATATGATTATTCTGACGAAGACGGATTAGATGCCACTTTAGCTTAGCGCGGTATTCTGATACATGGTCATATGTATTTACGAAGTCCAAATATGAACCTTATAAATACATTTTGGAGTCGCTCAAGTTTGTTAAGTTGCTCTTCGGTGATGTCTAGATAGCTTATGTCAGCATAATCGAGGATAGGGAGTCGTAAAGATTGGGCAAGCATAATTTTGGTGGATATAGGTAAGAAGTAGTTCATTCTTCGGAGTGAACCATAAGCTGCAAATATTTTACGAGATACTGCGTTGATCTGAGGAGACCAAGAAAGGCTAGAATCTATTTTTTCTATTTATTTATTCACAAATTGCGTTGCATGTGACTTAGAGACTAAACAAAACATGCAAGTTCTAACAATCACGTGCACCTCGAAAGACATAGCAATGAACAGGAGAGGGGCAGACACTTAAAAATTCTTTTCCTCAATGTATTCATTAATTGAATAATAACTTTTTTTTAATAAGTATCTCTTTTAAAGATCTTATGAATTTATTAATATATGTTTTTGTCGGCTTTTATGTATTCCGGCAATTTATTATAATTTTTTATTGCCATCGAGTAAGGACCTGTACTGTGTAATTTTAATTTAGATTTTGGTCGCAAAAGGTTATTCTTATAGCGAGGTACGTTGTGTCAGGGCGCGTCTATGATTTCAATCTATTAAGATTCTCAAGTTTTTCACTACGTCCTTTTAAGAAATTTGAACACAATTAAATGTTATGGGGTTTAACTGAGTTTTATTTAATTTGGAGATTATTCTTGAACTACCAATAATTATAGCTTGGGATTTTATCGGATTAACAGTTAACCCATAACATGACTCCAGTCAAGAATACACGCTAGGTCTTTGTTTATATCACATATTGCTTTTGGCAGATTCTCTACGGTGGTTTGTAGATATATCTGGAGATCATCAGCATACAAGTGGTAGAGAGAAGATATTCTTTCCTACTTTCATGCTTTTCATTATTTCATCTATACTTACCTCCCTATCTCTTTCATCTTTCGGAATTTCTATTTTATTTAGTTCACACGTCTCCTCACTCATAAATACGCTTTCAAAATATTCCTTTCATCTCTTTAGCTCAACACTTCATCATTTAGAATACAGCCATTCTCGTCTCGTATATCATTTAAACTAGGTTGTTTTGAATGTTAGTTCTTACGAGTTTCCACAACATTTTAATATTTGCCTTGAAGTTATCCGATATTCTTCTAACGTTCTTATCCGTTCTTTCTTGCTTTTTCCTATCAACTAACTCTTTTACTTATTTAGACGTTTAAACTTTCTTTTTTTTTTCAATTTCATTCAATTTCATCATTCATACCGCCTAAATTAGCTCTGGTTCCTACTAAATCTAGCCATGCTCTCTTCTTTGCTTCAACTTCCATACGTATCTCATCATCCCACCATAACGTATTATTTTTCCTTTCATTCGTTCTCTTACTAACACCACATACTTCGGTAGCTGCATCCACTAAACCTTTCTTAACATTATGCCACACATTCTCCAAGTCTAACTCATTCACTCATCAACACACACAATTCATCCAGATCACTTATATTTTCTCTCAGTTTACATTTATACTTGTCTTTCACATCCATCTTGTAACCTCTCTATTCTTATACGCTGTAACGTAGTGGTAGACACAGATGTCCGATGCCGCCAACGTCTGAATAAACCCTTAATTCGGCCTAAGACCTGGTAGTGGTCCGTCCCTACGTTGGACCCCCGGTAAACCCTTGTATCCACCACTGCGCTCTTCATTCTTTCATCCACAGTTATGAAATCTATCATGCTTCTATCGTCACCTTTTTCCTACTTATACATGTGAATCATTTTATGACGAAAGAAAGTGTTCGTCACAAAAAGATTCTTTTCCGCACATACGGTGAGGATACTTTCACCATTCACATTTATACTTTCATCGCCAAACGATCCCAATATCCTTTCATAGCCAAGGCTCTTCACACCAACCCTTCATTAAAATCTAACATAACTATATTTTCATTTTCCTTAAATTTCATTAACACCATCCATGCCATCTCCCAAAACTGCTTTCGGATATAAGTGGGCTTAGACATGTCTGGGCCGTAGACCCCTAGAACAAACAACTTCTTTACCATCACTTTCATTCGTATCCATAGCAGTCTCGGACTTACACATTCATACTCTTTCACACATTGAAAGAATGATACCGACTCCCTGGCATGCCCGCTCGGTCTCGTCTACTCCGGACCAGTACACGGTATATATGCCATGTGTAGTAGTGACGTCTGATCACTTCGTCTCATTTAAACATAACACATCTATTCCTCTATCATAAATCTTATCGCATACTACATCCATCTTAGTGGGCCTCCGCAACCCTCTTTTCGCCACTCCGGAAAACAGAACGTGACGGGTGGCGAACCTCGTCGGTTTTCCTCCCGGAGATTCTTCGCACCCCTGGCCCATTAAAGGGACCGGGAAATCGGCGCCATTTTGAGCGGTTGACATGACCCTCATCTACATCTAACCTCGATTAAGATTAAAAATGCCGACTCGTTTTTACCCCTGAGGACTAAGATAGAATACCTCGTTTTTATTAAAAAGGGTCTTCGTTTCTCTACATTAAACATACGAAACACAACAGTAATAAGTTGCTGTCTTACGCTGGTATTCTGTAAGAGAACGATCCTTTACCTCTCGAGCTGACTCATTCGTGCTACAACTATATAATGCTACGGCATGGCTCTACAATAAGAAATGAATCAAAATAATATTTTACAGGAAATAGTGGAAGTGCTGCTTAGCTCAAACGAGCCCATCAGTGCAGTCGGCGCTGCGAAACAGATGGACGAAGCCACGTGGTTGGGTTTATCGCCACGAAAACTTTTAGAGGCAGCAAAAACTTTTGCAGAAGAAAACGGTCAACCGGGCGCCTTCGTTGCCGTCTACCATGCATTGTTGACCAGGAATGAGAGATTGAGGGGATCGCCACACTTTCTAAAAGGTATTAAGGATTTAAAAATATTTTTTATATATTTTATTTAAGTTTGGGAAACAGCGACATCTTGTCCCGTATACAGTGTAATCTCAAAACAAAAATTGCTATGGGCTCAACGAGAGAGTTGAAAGTTATTCAACGAGGTATGGGAGAGCTATGTCACTAGAGATTTCTCTGTGCGATAAACTCCGTAATGTTTATGTCTGCAACAGAACTATGGTAACTTGGTAACTGACATAGCCCAGTGGATCAGCAAGGTGAAATGGCCGGTCATGTCAACCGATAACCGTTGGGGAAAAAAGGTTTCCGATCTCCAGTATCTTAAAAAGGCAAGACTCTCAAGAAGAGCTTCAGAAAACAGGTGTAAAACCAATAAGCTCTTTAATTCCGTCCTTCATGGTCGGACTACTCCGGAGGCATAGAACAAAAGTGCGGTAGTCTTGTTCTTCAAGAAAGACGACAAAGCTCTTCTTGACGAACTACAGAACGATTTCTTTTCTGAGCCGCGCCTACGTGCTGTTTTCGAAAGTCATTACGAATCTGCACGTAGACTTCCAGGCTTCCAATCGTACAGATTACCAAAAACTTTAAAAGCCGAAAGCTTTACCACATATTCGTACATGCCCTTCAGCAAATTGTACAGAAGGCTGAAGAGTACAATGTGCCACTTTGTCTTGCGTATGTGGATTATGAGAAAGATGATTCCGTCGAAGATTGTGTGGTGTTAAAGTCTCTTCAGCAATGTCAAGCTGACTGCCGGTATACCGAAGTGCTGAAAGTTTGTACCGTAGAGCTACGGGGACTGTCCGAGTACAGAACCAGGGTACGAGATCTATCCAACTGGAGAGAGCCTCTACATCACTCCTCACCTTTGATTTGCTGATATATTCCTTATGGAAGAATCAACCTAAAATTATCCCAATCAAAAACAAAGATCATGTGTAGCATCGAAGTCACACTTATGCCGGTAGTTGTTGGGAGCACTAAGCTCGATGTTGTTGACGGGTACGTTTACCTGAGACAAATAGTCCAACTAGGTAAGTCCAGCTTCGACCGAGAGGTCAATCGACGGATACTACGCTGGGTGGTGTTCGGCAAATTACGACACATCTTCTCGTCAGGTATACCTGAAAACTTGAGAAAAAGATTGTACAACCATTGTGAATTGCCAGTGATGACTAATGTATCACGTATCACGTGGTCCTTCACTGCAGGCCGTATGAAGGAGCTTAAAGTCGCTCAGTGAGCTATGGAGAAATAACTCGGGGCTTTTCGGCGTGATAAACTTAGAAATGAGATTGACATTAGAAACAAAGTAACTGACATGGCCCAAGGAATTAAGTTGAAGTGGCAATGATCTACAACCGATGGGAAAGAAAGGTTCTCGAGTGGCAGCCTCGTACCTGTAGGGGAAGTGTAGGGTGACCCCCACTAGAATGAGTGACGACCCGGTAAGACATGCCGGAAGTCGATTGATTCAGGGGCTCAGGATCGTGCTCTGTGGTATTCTTTGGGGAGGCTTATGTTCAGCAGTGGGCTTGTAAAGGGCTGTAATTAGGGTTGCAGATGGTCGGGATTCGTCTGGATACTCCAGACATTTTAAATGATCTCCTGAATCCCGATAAAACTAAAATCTCAGACAAACAGCTTCTCTTCACATCACAACTGCCTTTGATTTAATTAAAGCTGAGTTAGTAATTAGACTGAACTATGAAGTGCATTGTTTGAATTTTGAATCTTTACTGTATACTACTAAAAGATCTAAATTGGTGGACTCAGTAAAGTCAAATGCAATACATGTGGCAACCTAAACATTAAGTGTACTTAAATTATTTATGTGTCAACAATTTTTATTATTTTTCTAGTCTATTCATTTAAAAATAAACTTTTTATTTTACTTTTTTTAAATATTTATTTCTTATGACAACAAGCCCAAAATACCGACATTTTCAAATTTTGTCCAGATATTTTGGTCTTCCGATTTGGCAGTCCTAGCTGTGATGATGATGATTGTGAATCTTACAACTACCAGTTTTTTTACTTTGTTTGCTGACTGATCGTCATATTAATCCCGACAATTTGTGAAAAATGACAAGTGACATATATTTCGTATAACATGGAATATAGGATAGATATAGAATATAATATATATATATATATATATATATATATATATATATATATGAGGTAAGGAGGACAATTTCCCATAGGAGAATAGTTGGAAATGTGTCCATCTGTAAGCAGTAAATATAAAACAGTTCAAAACTCTCCACAACAGCCCTCGAGTACCTGGGTATGTTCCTCGAGTAGCTACAGGGTATGATAAATCGCCATAAAATACGTTGAGAGTGGTTTTAAAAAAAATTTTGAAAGCAATAAAATAATTCTTGTAAAAAGAATTATGGTGTAAGTAGTGCAATAAAAAAATTATAAAAAGTTCTTTAAAATTTAGACTGTAGCTACAGTGGCGCCACACTTATTCAGCGCTTTCCTACGGACACTTTTTATACAAAGTCTGTACTCCTTACTTCTACACTCCATACCTATAAATTTTGTGTACAATCCGTAAAACCTGTATTGGACTGCCAACAAGACCTGAACTCTCAATACTAGCTGAAATTAAATGAAATGATGGGTCTCTTATACCGCAATAAAAACTACACGATTACTGATTAAAGATTACTATTATTTTTAATGATATAATGACGTGGTTTATAGATAGAATGAAGATAACAATAATTTACGTTTTCGATAATAATATGTGATATAATTTAATCAAAATCCAAAGGTGACAAGTTATCTTATCGATACGCGAAATTAAAATTCATGGCACATCGCGACATGTAAAATGAACTGGCGTGATGCTGATATTATTTTACTTTGGCACAGAGTATAGTCTAACACCATAGAGTACATCGAGTACAGATGATCGTCTTTGAATCAAAACAGTGTTGATAACTTAGTGACATTCATTGCCATGATCATGGTGGTTTATAGATTTATATATATTGAAACATGCGTACAGACATACATATTTGCTGAATCTTATTTCAGCAAATAACTAGGTATGCATAACTGAAAGACATGGAGCTGTTATTAATATTAAAATAATAGTATGTTTGCGACTACTCCACGACTAAATTTACAAGTTCATTAGATTTATAACCAATCTCACAAAATACCTAAGTTGTACGTGACATGACGTCATTAACATATCAAAATGGAGCTTATAATAAGAGAAAAATTAGTTTAAAACTAGTAAGACTACTCAGAATTTTTCTCTACTTGGTACTTTTTACTACTTGGTAAGACTCAGTCAGTAGTCAGAAATACCCCAAAAATATATAATATTATCTTATCAAAAGTACACTGTTGAGTATAGAGATATATACCCTTCTCTAAATTGCCTCACAAAGGTGATATAAGCAGGTATTTATTATTTTGAGTTGTTATCAGGAAGATGCTGTTGTCCATTTCGTGGTTAAGTTTCCCTCTGTCGCCTCATATAATACCTACGGAATGATGTGTGGCAGTAAATATTCTTACGCCACCTTGCAACACATTATTGAGATTAGAAATATCTTCTTTTTTTTATAGGACAGGGTGACAAACGACCACACAGTCCACCTGATGGTAAGCGGTTGCTGTGGCCCATAGACATCTACATCTATCCTCGATTACGAATCAAAATGCAGATGCGTTGTCACCCGTGAGGACTAAGATGGAATGCCTCTTTTACAGTTAAAAGGGTCGCCGGTTCTCTACACTCACCATGCGAAACACAGCAGCATTACGCTACTGTTTTACGCTGGTATTCTGTGAGAGCATGGTCCTTCCCCGGTCGATCCGACCCATTCGTACTTCAACTATACTACTAATATAACTGCAGCATGGCTCTACCATCTGTGTCAACATTAATCTGTATAACCTACAAAAATGTCTTAAGGTTACCACGAGGTGTCGCTGCGTTGTATTCAAAACATATAAAGCTTATATAATTTATTATTGTTATGCTAGTGATAAAATTTTAAGTTATGCAAGCGTTGAATTTTATTAAAGAACGGCATTTGGTTACTGGTCAAAGGTCATCGCGCATTTATCTAGTCGACACCCGATTGTATCGCACCAACTCGTGTAGTTGCGTAATCTTTTAACGCCGGTTCTCTACACTCACTATGCGAAACACAGCAGCATTACGCTACTGTTTTATGCTGGTATTCTGTGAGAGCGTGGTCCTTCCCCGGTCGAGCCGACCCATTCGTGCTACAACTATACTACTAATATAACTGCAGCATGGCTCTACCACGTATAAATGTGGCGTTTTTTACATTTAAGATAAAATGTTCGTCCTTTTTTTATGAAAATGTTTAAGATATTCAGATAAAATATAATAATAGCCTAGACCCTAGATCATTCCTCGCATCGTTTTCTTTCGTGGTGTTCGTGGAGTTTCAGAAATGTTAACAGACAGACAGACATATGTTTCAAAAATGGCCATACATGACTCAGTTCAATATAAGGCAGCTAGTTCGATATCACATACAGAAACTTCAGTTTTATTTATATGTATGTATAGATGTGAGAATAAATTAACTAAATGTTTTGCTGTGTCTACGAAGCAATCGAGAGAACCGGAGACCCTTTTCACTGGAAAGAGGCATTCCATCTTAGTCCTCACGGGTGACAACGCATCTGCATTTTGATTTGTAATCGAGGATAGATGAAGATGTCTATGGGCCACAGCAACCACTTACAATCAGGTGGACTGTGTGCTCTCTTGTCACCCTTTTCCTATAAAAAAAACCTAAGACTATGAATACAGCTGTTTACTGAAGAACGTATTTTAGATAATCTTGGCAACTATTATACTGGTGACCTTTTTTACCTATGGCGCTGATATTTTACAAAATATAAAAACGAAAACTTTTAATTCAATATTTTAATTTTTCTTGGAACAAATGCTTTGCCCTTTTCCCTTGAGCCTGTGACCCTGCGAAGTGACAAGGTCAAAGATGCCTACTAAATTTATTGTTTTATTGCCGTTCGTAAAGTAGGGTGGATATAGTTGGAACTTCGATAGATGTTATTTAATTCAAAGTATTTGTTTTTATTTATTTTTTAATATTATTGCCATAGGCTTCTACTCCGTTCACATGTTACAACACCCTATTAATTTCCAGACGGTAAAAACGGTCATCCAGTATTAATCTGTGGTTTTGCATTCAAATTATGGTTTCAGAGTCTCACACGAAAAAATTGTCTTGTACACGGCGCTGTAGTTTGCGAAAATTGACATTTTTTGCTATTACTTTACATTTTAGATGATTACGTTATCTACAGGATTTCTTTATGTAGAAACAGGCTCTAAACCTGAGACTCATTACAAAATACTTTTTGTAACAGCACAATGAATTATTTTTTATCGATGACACTCTCAGGCTTAAACTTTGGCTTAGGTAGATTTTGAAAGAATTATAAATAAATCGTTTTCTGTTACATAAAGAAATCGTCAACTCGTTTGTTAGAATAAGAACCAAGCTTGTAAGTAATATAATATATCGTTACAGGTGAACAATGCGAGAGTTACATCGAATATTACAATAAAGTAACCTCAGAACGATAGGGTGCAATTGTCCTAAGAAACTCTGTGATCGTCCGCAGTATTGTACAGATCTATCAGATATCTGTTGTCTGTTTTATAACACTTTTATTGTTAATCAAATAATTATGTATTGTTTGTTAAAACATATAACATGAGTTGTAATATAATATATTTTGTTATGAATAAAATGATTTATTCATTCAATTCATCGCATATTCATATACCTAGAAATCACAAAATCTACACCCGCTTTTCTGACCCCAGCGGTGGATATGGTCTCTGGCTCCACCGCCGACCAAGTTTCAGCCGAAAGGTAGGTAGGGAGAGCGGTGCCTCGCAATACCGTCACTCCGTGGCCCCACCACCTATGGCTCTGCGTACTCCTCACCCATGATTCCACCTCGGCTTTGACAGGAATGTGGAGAGAACACCCCTCTCGCCACAGTCCACCAACGCGCGTCCAAAGTGGTTTAGGCAAGCCCATTCAGAGCGACGACCTCGGGCCAGCCAAGTGAGTTCCTCTTTGTTCACTACTTTGTTACTAGGCCCCCGCCACGACAAAGCGGGAACCCGGGGAGATGCTATCGACTCTTATCTCAACAACTCACCTGCACTCCGTGTATGATCCCCGGTAACCCAGTATATTACTCTCTTTTATTTCTTATCCTTTATTAAATCACAATGGTTATTGATTAATTCAACCACGATATCTGTGAATTCAACTGTATATGCTAAACACTGAGTGCTGATTATATTAAAATAGTTAAGGGAACGTACCTGTACTACGTAACCCGTAAAAATGACGCTGATGTACATACGCCGAGACGTCAGCTGATTGAAAACAGACACTATTTATCAGTCAGTTTGTAATTATAAGTATGCATGCAATCTTATGCAATAAAGACGACTATGAGCAAAATTATTCTATTTTCGCTTTTATCTGCGAAATGATTAAAAATCACTTTTATAAATTACTACGTGAAAACTAGGGGGAGGGGGTGCCTTGACTGGTCACCGAGGTGAGGGAGGGGTCGAAAAATCCTGAAAAATAATTCACGTAGTATGGTATGTTCCCTAACCTTCAAAATATAAATGTAGTGGTTGGCAAATTCCTGGCTGTTTCAATTAAAAAAATAATAAAGCTATGATTGTATGGTGATGATCTGTTAGGTATAGACTTATGTAATTTAAACTCAACTAAAGCATGATAACCTCGTTTGTTAAAAGAACTTTTATTAATATTTCCTGTATAGTCCTTTGAGATACTAAGTACATAATATTACGTATTTATACTTCAATAATTTATGCATAGCTCGCGTCTACGACAGAAATAAATAATACCATACTTCGGCATAGATGGCAAAATTAAAAAAATCTCCCTTCAAGATTTAACTCTAGTATTTAGGTAGGTACATGAAAAATGAAAAAATCTAATTCCATCATTTTCATCATTACAGCTCATCAAGTCCACTGCTGAACATAGGCCTTCCCAAAGAAATGAATCATGGGGGAATGCTTGCCATAAGTTTCAAGCTTGGCAGGTGGGTTAGCTACTCGTTTTATTTTTCTTGTCTTTAGTAGGAGTAAGCTGCAAGCCATCTCCTAGTTCATATCTCTGATGCCACATAGGCCAGCCACGGGATATATATGTGATACGTCATTTTTTTATCAGCTCAGAAAAATCCACTGCTAGACATGGGCTTCTCGTATTGTAGTCACTAATTGCCTTGTTGTTCACGTTTGCAAGGAGGATTGCAGATCACAATATCGGACATCTCGCACTTTTGACACTGTTCCCCATTGTCAGTCTGGATTTTTTATAAGATAAATAAGTGGATGCTGTGCCCCATAGACATCTACATTCCTCGATTAAGAATCAAAATGCAGATACATTGCCACCCCTGAAGACTAAGATGGTATACTTCGAGTCCAGTAAAAAAGGTCTCCGGTTCACAGACCGTAGCAAAACCTGGATTAAAACGTAATAAGACGATAATGTGTGTATGATGACATTTTATGAGCATCGTTTATTATGAGCTTTTACCGCCGGGCAAAACCATCGACTCGAGTCTCTACTGCCAACAACTTAATGACACTCAAGCAAGAAATTGTGAAAAAACGGCCGGAATTGTCAACAGAAAGAGGTGGTCATTCATCATGATCACGCCAGACCACACACATCTTTGGCCACTCGACAAAAATTGAGAGAGCTTAGTTGGGAGTTTTAATGTATCCTTTATATAGTCCTGACCTTGCACCCTCAGATTTTCGCTTGTTTCGTTCTCTTCAGAATTCTTTGGGTAGTGTTGGGTTAACATCAAGAGAGGACTGTCAAAACTATTTATTTGTCGTTCTTTGATCATAAATCCGAGATTTCTACAGCAACGGGTTTATGGCACTACCTACAAGATGGCAACAAATAATCAAAGAAAATGGCACATTTATATTATAATTAAATTTAATTAAACTCTGAAAGTCTTGAATTTGTATTTAAAATACGAATAAACTTTTTCCTCAATCTTATATTAAGTATTTATACATAATTTAGGTAATTTCTTCTTAAATTTATTTATGTTCATAATAAAGATTAGAAATAAGGAAAGTAAACAATCAATTTCATTGATAGTAATACATAAATAATGAATATATCTTATTGTTCCAATTGATTTTTTTGTAGTATTCGGTGACAAACAAGCACACAGTCCACCGGATGATAAGTGAATACTGTGGCCCATAGACATTCACATTTATCTTCAACTAAGGATCAAAATGCAAATGCATTGTCACCCCTGAGGACCAAGATAGAATGCCTCAATTCCAGTAGAAAGTGTCACCATTTCTCTACACTCACTGTACGAAACACACCAGCACTACGCTGCTATTTTATGCTGGTGTTCTGTGAGTGTGGTCCTGCCCTGGTACAATTATAATAGCTGTAGCTTGGCTCTACCATGTAAAAATCATCAAATTTTTATTGATAAAATTTATATAACAAAATTATCACAGTATATAAATATAAATTAATTAATATGTAGTAGGTAATGGATTAAATAAAACAATTTTAGTTTTGTAACACTTATATATTGAAATCCATATACAAAGAAGTAAATGTTAACACCTCAAATAAATTTGTAAATGCATATGAGTGTAGTTGGTTTATTAGTAGATTTTTTACTTAAAAATGTACAACTGTTCTAATAGATTTTCCCGAGTGCATCAAATGGAACGCTTCATTAATTTCTGCCAGTGGTACATTGTGCGTAACAAATTCATCCAATGGCAACTTCTTGCTAATATATTCATCAACCAACTTAGGTACACTATCACGGCTCTTATATCCTCCAAAAGCTGTGCCTTTCCATGTGCGGCCCGTTACTAGCTGGAAAGGGCGAGTACTGATTTCCTCTCCTGCTGCAGCAACACCAATAATAACCGATACTCCCCAACCCTTGTGGCAGGCTTCCAAAGCTGCACGCATTGTGTTGACATTTCCAATACATTCAAAAGTGTAGTCCAAACCTCCATCTGTCAAGTCAACTAAAACTTGCTGGATTGGTTTATCATAATCTTTAGGATTGACAAATTCATTAACACCAAACTTTTTAGCCACCTCAAACTTATCAGGATTTATGTCCACTCCAATAATGCGTTTAGCACCAGCTGCCTTGCAACCCAATGCAACAGCCAAGCCAACTGCACCAAGACCAAAGATTGCACAATTGGATCCCGGTTCTACTTTCGCCGTGTTCAAAGCGGCGCCGTATCCAGTAGGAATACCACAACCTAGCAGACAGACTTTGTCCAATGGAGCAGAGTCAGCCACTTTGCACAAAGATATTTCTAGCACAACTGTGTATTCACTAAATGTTGAGCATCCCATAAAATGATACAGCTCCTTGCCCTTACAACGGAATCTTCTTGTACCGTCAGGCATAACACCTTGGCCTTGAGTCACACGCACTTTCTGGCAAAGATTTGTCTTAGGATTTAAACAAAATTTACATGTATTGCATTGCGGTACATACAATGGAACAACATGATCACCAGGCTTAAATGACGTAACGCCTTCTCCGACACTTTCTACAATACCACCACCCTCATGGCCAAGGATAACAGGGAACACACCTTCAGGATCTTTACCAGACAAAGTGTACGAGTCGGTATGACAGACACCGGTAGCCAGAATTTTAACACGTACTTCGCCAGCTTTCGGTGGATCCACTTCAATTTCTTCAATAGCAAGAGGTTTTCCAGCTTCCCAAGCAACTGCCGCCTTACATTTTATAACTGTTCCAGCCGTCGACATTTTATGCAATCTATGAATTACTGCTTACCGCGAATGAATAAATCAAAATGTAATGTACCTACTTTGCAACCACACACTAATTAGGAACACACGCGCTTTGCAACCTTGACACTGTGAAGTGAGAATGAAAATAATAACGTTATCAATAAAGAAAAAAAAAGAGTAATGGCAAATCTAATTATCACCCCTTTTTTATTTAACTGGCTTTACGGCTTTGGGTTCTAGCCCTTCTGAGCCTATCATTTCTTTCGGGATCTTCATTTAGAGCATTAAATCCAATGGACTTGCCTCGCATGATTATTCCCCTCTGCTCAAGTATTGGATTTAAAAATCTTGTGCGTTTATAAAAACTTTTAACGGAATCGGTTTCATCATTATAAGAATCGTTTCCGTCGTTGTAGGTGCTCTTTAAAAATACCGATTTGTGCGGTTAACGTGTGCAAAAAGAAGTCTAATACTTCAAATTTACAAAAGATGGAGTTACATTCCATATTATTTTTATTGTGATATATGCTTTCTTTCTAGTATACTCATTTAAAATAATATCGTAAATAATATTCGAGAACTATACCGTTAAGATAATTTACTATATAATATTTCATAAAAATCGTAGTGACAATTGAAATGTGACAAGCACACTCCCTACGAGACTAGTTATATTATATTTTTTCCTAAGCCAACCCTCAGTGTAATAAATTAGGTTTAAAATTGAACACGCAAGTACAACCGCACTTCTTACGAGACCAATTTATATTTGCAACATATAAACAATAAAATTGTAACGAGGTTACTTAACCCTGAAATGGTGGCGCCTTATAAAATAACGTAAATAAATGCTTGGATTACGTATGCAGTCAAATTTGAAATAAGAACAAGCCTTAAAATATAAACTAAATATATTTTAAATATGTAACAGGGTAACATTTAGTCAACGGTTAATCATATAAAAAAAAAACCATTAAACCATACGTCCTTTTTATTCAAATTATAATATTTAAAAAAACTTTTACATATTAATAAATTAAAATATCACATTAATTTCAAAGTTAGATCACAAAACAGTTTTCATATATTTTTTTTTTCTAATCATTTGGTTCCAGAAATATCTAAATTTCATATTATTTTACAGTGATTTACTATTGTAATACACGCGACCACTGTAGAATTAAGTGTTTAATTGAAAATGGCGTCATATTGATATGTGATGTGCGGATCGATATAGCATTTCCGACCGGGAGACCGTATGGAAGGAGAAGGAGCTCCACGGGAGGTTCTACAAGGCTCTATATGAGCCTTTCGTAGACACAGTAGCCTCCCTCCACTGGCTACGCTTTGGTGATCTCTTCGGGGAAACCGAGGTTTTTGTCTGTGCAATACAGGATCAGGTTATTAAGATCAACAACTATCGGAGATACATCCTAAAGGATGGCACCGTCGACATCTGTCGAGCTTGTCGCCATCCCGGTGAGTCACTTAGGCATGTCATCTCCGGTTGTTCGGCGCTTTCTAACTCTGAGTACTTGCACAGGCACGACCTAGTAGCCAGAATTCTTCACCAGGAGCTCGCTTATACGGTCTAGTGGATCGGAAATTGCCGTATTACAAGTACTTGCCGGAAGCCGTGCTCGAAAATGATCGCGCCAGGCTCTATTGGGACCGGGCCATAATCACAGACAGGACTATTCTTGCGAATAAGCCTGATATTGTGCTGATGGACCGGGCACAGTCAAGGATATTTTTGGTCGACATTACCATTCTGTATGACGAGAACCTCGTGAAAGCCGAAACAGATAAGCAAACAAAATATCTAGACCTGGCTCACGAGGTGACCGACATGTGGGGTGGTCTACCGACCGAAATTATTCCCGTAGTCGTCTCTGCAAACGGGCTAATCCCAGTCAGCCTCTCGGATCATCTGAGGCGGCTGGGACTACGTGGCGGATCGCTCTAAGCTCAAATGCAGAAGGCGGAGCTCCTCGATACCGCCCGCATCGTCCGCCGGTTTCTTTCCCTTTCCCCCTAACCCTCGGCCGTTTGGTCTCCCCTGCCGATGGCCTCCATCTGGTTGGGCTTTTATCTATATATGTATTTTTATATTTATTTCATGTTATTGATATTTATGTATATATATCTTTTCATTTTCATTTATAATCATATATTCATAGAACCCAACCAGATGAGAAAACTATATTTATACCCCCCATAATAAAAATGGATGATGGAATTAAATAGAACGCGCAAAGGGCCGTTGCCTGGAGGTCGCCAGTGCGCGTCTGGAGCTGGCGCTGGACGCGACAGCATGCGAACCGCCAGCCGAGTGCGAGGTGCTGCACGACCACCTAGCAGCCCCTCGCATCCATCATCCCCACCAGCTGGCTTGGTGACGGCATGGTCTTCGCGGGCCCAGCAATCGGCACCCGCCACTGGTGGAGTACGCCGCATGCGTTGGACAATCTCAGATGAACAGCAACGCATTGCGGGCGTATTTTGGGGCGAAAGGGGGAGAAACTGGAGGTTTTGCGTATCGGGCAAGGATGCATCGACTTTTTGCTGAGCTGGAGCCATCTGTAACCGTCACCGAGCAAAACCTGGCAGACCGAGTTCGGTATATCTTGCGCTCAAATACATTTGATGTCACCGAACTCGAACGTCTACGACGTAGGCTGTTTCTATCATCGGGTGAAAATGCTGCGGCTGAGGATGCGGCGCCACAACTTGCTGAGCAAACGGTAAATGTGGATGCCGCCGTGAATACGCCAGTTGTGGTTGATTCAAACGATGATGGAGCAGTCGCCCAGGAACTGGAACTAGAGCAGATGAAGAGTACATTGGAAGAGGCGATTATGGAAACGCGCAGTACGCTTCTCGAAAATCGACCGCGACTTCCCCGCTTAGCCCTAAGCAAGCGGAATCGGGCTGTCGTGAGGGCTCTGAACCCAATGCTGGTTACCTATTTAGAAGCCAGCCGGGACCTTTGCGAGACGGACTCAATTTTTTTTGCCGCGGCACTGGCAGTCTGCCGTATTATAGGCGCCAAACTTTCCACGGCTGGACGCGCTACTAGGCAAAGTAGTGCTATCCCAGCCTGGAGAATAAGAATTGAAGAACGTATCGCAAAGGCTAGGGCCCTCATCGGCAGACTGATATGCTTCAGTTCAGGCAATACCAGGCCAAGGATTGTGCGCACCGTCAGGATGGCGTTTGCTGGGACAAATGTTAGTTTGTCCCAGCCGGATATAATGCAAAAACTGACGGAGCGCATAGACGACCTGAAGCAAAGAATCGCTGCTTGGGGAAAGCGGATTTGGCGATATACCGAGAGGTCGACACGGTTCAACCAGAATCGTCTCTTCCAGAGTGATCAGAAGAGGCTCTATAAATCATTGGAGCGATCAATAGTAAGTGGAACGGGCCCAGCACCAAATCAGGCCGACACGGTCGCGTTCTGGCGCAGCCTGTGGTCCAGGAAACGCCATTCTAACGGTGCGCACAACTCTCGGTCTATTATTACCCGACCTGAAGCTTGTCAGTCTGCCGATAAGGGCCCTTGCCTTTGCGATACGGTCCTCGATTCTTTTTCTCCAGGCTGGGATGGCGCTACTTTGTTGAGTAGCACGTCCAGCCATGGGAAGTTTGGCGTCAATAATACGGCATACGGCCAGCGCGGCGCCAAAAAGAATTGAGTCCGTCTCGCAAAGGTCCCGGCTGGCTTCCAAATAGGTCACCAGCATTGGGTTAAGAGCCCGCACGACAGCCCGATTTCGCTTGCTAAGGGGAATGCGGGGAAGTCGCGGTCGATTTTCGAGAGGCATGCTGCGCGTTTCCAGCATCGACTCTTCGAATATGCTCCTCATTTTCTCTAGTTCGTGGGAGACTATTCTATCATCATCTGAATTAACCACAAATGGAATATTGACGGCAGCATCCACATATGCAGTTTGCTGCGCATCTAGTGGCGCCGCATTCCCAGCCGTAGCATTTCCATTCGATGAGGGAACAGTCTCACGTCGTAGTCGTTCGAGTTCGGCGTCACGAAATATGTTGGAGCGCAGGATGTACCGAACTCGGTCTGCCAGGTTTTGCTCAGTGACGGATAGAAATGGCTCCAGCTCTGCAAAAAAGCGATGCATCCTAGCCCGATACGCCAAACCTCTGACTTCTCCCCCCTTCGCCCTAAAATACGTCCGCAATGCGTTAGTATTCATTTTGATTGTCCATCGCATGCGGCGTACTCCACCAGTGGCGGGTGCCGATTGTTGGGCCCGCGAAGACCCTGCCGACACCAAGCCAGCTGGTGGGGATGATGGATGCGGGGGGCTGATGGATGGTCGTGCAGCACCTCTCACTCGGCTGGCGGTTCGCATGCTGTCGCGTCCAGCGCCAGCTCCGGACGCGCCCTGGCGACCTCCAGGCAGCGGCCCTTTGTGCGTTCTTCCGTATTCCATCATCCCCATTTTTATTATTATTGTGGGGTATCTATACTGTTTTCTCATCTGGTTGGGTTCTATAAATATATAATTATAAATGAAAATGAAAAGATAAATATCAATAACATAAAATAAATATAAAAATACATAAATAAATAAAAGCCCAACCAGATGGAGGCCCTCGGCAGGGGAGACCAAACGGACGAGGGTTAGGGGGAAAGGGAAAGAAACCGGCGGACGATGCGGGCGGTATCGAGGAGCACCGCCTTCTGCATTTGAGCCCGGAGCGGTCCGCCACGTAGTCCCAGTCGCCTCAGATGACCCGAGAGGCTGACTGGGATTAGCCCGTTTGCAGAGACGACTACAGGAATAATTTCGGTCGGCAGACCACCCCACATGTCAGTCACCTCGTGAGCCAGGTCCAGATATTTTGTTTGCTTGTCTGTTTCGGCTTTCACGAGGTTCTCGTTATACGGAATGGTAATGTCGACCAAAAATATCCTTGACTTATTATTATTATTATTACATGGAGATCACTGACCTCCATTTATTCTACAATAAGAAAACACTCATTTTTGCAAAATGACTAGGGTGTCAAAGGGTGTAGCAGGGGCGCGCGGTTGGGGCAACACAGCAAGTGCCTCGCGCATTATTTTTTTCTTCGAATTAGAGCTAGTGCTATACCGCGTTATACACGAATATTTTTTTTATTACATGATTCGTTTCGATACGGCTAAATGATCTTATCGGGTTATAGCCATTCCCACAGGTGGTGTATAGCGGGTAAGGCACTCCGGTGAGTCCCATATAACCAAGCAGCCAGCTGCGTGGTACGCATGAGCATTCACCACCTCCCTCCCCGTTTAGCGGAGGGTGGCCCTTATTTGCTACTGGGCGAAAAAAAAAGTCGCGCGCCATTCCGCAAGTGATCGTGCCAGTCAATTGAGCTCCGACAAAATGCCTAATTTCAGTGTATTTTCATGCAAAAAACAATCAAAACCGTTAAATTTACAAGAGACAACGTGACTTTTCATCTGCGAAATTTTTAACATGACATTTTTTGATGGTTATGAATATTTTCGTAAAATAACAAGTGCTGCCATCATAGTTCACAAAGTGAGAAATAAGCTATTTTTAGATGAATATAATTTACTACACAAAATAAATATATTAACTAAAATTTATTTCCGATTAACTAAATCAGTTTGTGATGAATAATAATCATTACATTAAGATGTGTAGTGGATTTTGTCAAATTATTTAAATATTCATACTGTTTTCTGTCAATGTATCAAAAAGCGTTTGCATAGTCACAGAACATGTTGTAGTGAAATATATTTGACAGTTTATTGTACATTACATATTTAACTATATTATATCTTTATATCTACACAAACGAAATGTTTGAAAACAAATTTGTAAAAGTATTGTCATGTTGAGAGATAGGTTTGAATATCTGTTGAAAATTTTACACAGTTTTTGTGAGTGTGAACGCCACCAACAAAACATGTTGTGTTGTTTATTTTATGCGATTTGTTTCAAAACATTACGTGTTGGGTGTTCCTTAGTGCAAACGTAAAATAAACTGGTATCACTGCAACTGAAAGTACTGCAATGTAGTGATGTACCCCACAATTTTAGCTATCGGTAAGTTAATTAACCATTCGGGTTAGTCTGCCGAACAGGTTTTATTTTTTTGTTTTATTTTACAATAAATTATTATAAAAAGAAGTAAATTTTTCTATTATTGGTTTGATTTTACATATTTCCAAGAGATCCTCTTAGGATTAGTTTGCTGATACTGCTGTACCAACCTTGAACTTGTGGGAAGTAATGTTAAGCTGTAATTTTATCAATAGATTAAATATTTTTATTATTACACCAATAACATTAACACCAATATTATTCTTCTTGAAAATATTTTAGAATTTCGAGAAGTCTACAATAATGACTTCTTGTATTTACGCGAACACCACACATTATCTGAAACTAATCTCATTTTCTCAATTTATCGCATTTAATTTTGTCATTGGATTCTCGATATTTTGGATGCTTTACATGATGAACTGTAATGTCGCGCCTTTGACAAAATGCGGCACGTGCTGAGGCGGCGCAGAACAAAAGTGACCATATCTAAGCGAACAGACTGTACATCAAGGAAAATTAAACTAAAAAGACACCTTGAAATAAAAATTAATATCATAAAAAGACGTCAATCCCGGTAACGGTATTTAAAGAAAAAAGTTACAAGTTTTCCAGATACCAGATTCGCTGAAAGAGACATCTTTAATAAATAAAGAAACAGGTACTAGAAGAGATAGGAACTAATGAAAGCGAACTTTTAAACAGACAATTACTTAAAAATAAGATTGGAAAATTACTCAGAACTAAATATCACAGAGTAGTTTCGCCCTAACAGAAAGAAAGAAAGAAAAACTTGATTTGAAATCACAAAGAGAAACAAAAAACTCAAAATATTACAATAAAAAATAAAATGGATTTTTGTGAAGTCAAATTAGGTCCCTACTTCATCTAACTACTGCTGTACCAAATGACAGCAGCGCTGATTTTCAAATAGAGCCCAATATTCACTTCACGGACGGTCATACATTACTTAAAGCTAAAAAAAAATACAACCATTCTGAGAAGTGAGTGGGAAAGGAATCAGTATAAAAGAGGTATTATTTGGAACTAATAACACACTGTATAAGTGAACTGTACACTTGCATATCACATATATATCTATACATCAATACATACGTATATACATCAAACACATTTAAATGTACGTACATATACATTATAAAGTGCTCAACAGCTCAACATCATATAGTATATTATCTAATCTTAATAAACTAAAAAAAACTGAATTAATTGTAAAGACTTTACGATTTAACAACCATAAACATAAAGAAATAAAACAGTGAGTAAACTGAAAAATTTGTGACAGAATTAAAAAAAAAACAGTTTATCTTATCCAGCAATTTTTCCAGCGTTGATTAGAGGACCCCTTTATATTGTGCACGTAAAACAAAAAAAAATTAAAGTGAAAAAAAATTTTAAAATTACGAGGGATTATGGTCTTGTTTTAAAATTGCTGATAGTTTTTTTTTAAATGTTCCTATAGTTTTTAAAGCACGCATTGGTGGAGGCAGATCGTTCCAGCAGCGAGAAGCTGCGTACCTGAAGGACCCTCTAAATGCCATTGTTCTATGTTTTGGAATAACAAAGACGTTAGAACATTTACGTTTCGGATATTTTGACTGTTCGCTAACCCACACTAATTTGTCATATAAGTAACGAGGTGTTTTTGAAGAAATTATTCCAAATAATAAGGTAGCAAGGTGTAACCTTCGACGCAACGACATTTTTAATAGGCCTGCATTATTAAGAAAAGGAGTAACATGCGTACGTGGTGTTATGTGAAAGCAGAACCTCGCACATGCATTTTGTACACGCTGTATAAGTCTCTGAATCCTACTTAATAGACATGGTCCAAACACTACGTCACAGTAATTTAATTTGGACAAAATCAAAAACTCGCATAATCTTATCCTTGTTTTCTCTGTTAGAAATGGCCCGATTTTATATAAGATTTTTAATCTATAAAAACAGTTTCGTACACTTTCTGTGACATGTGCTTCGAAACGCAGATGGTTATCAAGCTTTAGGCCAAGGTTTCTAGTCTCGGAGATTTGATCAATTGGATTGTTTCCAATTTTTAAAACTATTGGGACATTTACAAGTTTAGCAATCATTTTTTGACCCTATTAACATAAACTTTGATTTATGAGGATTTAGAACCAAAGAATTTAATGTTGACCAACCAGAAATAGCCTCTAAATCGTAATTTATTTTATTAATAGCTTGAAGAAGGCCCATTGGCGATGGTATAAATGAAAAGTACATTTGCAGGTCATCAGCATATAGGTGATAGTGACAGTGATTAATGTTCTTAACGATATCTGCAGAATATAGCGTGTAAAGAACAGGCCCAAGTACCGAGCCCTGTGGGACGCCTCGTGTAACATTCTGGGGGGCTGATGGAATCCTAGTACCGTCACTTTTAATAATTTCTACACATTGTTGCCTTCCCGTGAGATAACTGTCAAACCATTTGACTGCATTAGCATCAAAGCCATAAAATGCCAACTTAGCCAGGAGTAATGACTGATCGATCGAATCAAATGCTCGTGAGAAGTCTAAGAGCACTAAAATTGAGCACATACCTCCATCTTGAGCCGCAAGTAGGTTATCGGTTACCTCAAGCAAAGCTGTAGTAGTGCTGTGGCCCTTGCGAAAACCAGATTGCATAACAGGCAGTACTTCATTAATTTCAAGATAATCTGTCATCTGCTTGCAAACTACTTTTTCTAGTATTTTGGTTATGCAGGGCAATATACTAATAGGTCGTGGGTCTTGAATCGAAAGAGGGTTGATCTTCTTTGGTAAAGGCTTGACAATTGCAAGTTTCCATAAATTTGGAAAAACCGCACACTGGATCGATTTATTAATGATAGCAGTTATTGTCGTTAATGATTGGGGTAGAGTCATTAAAAGCATCTGTAGGGAGATATTGTCTATACCTACGGCATTGGATTTTAGTTCTTTAATAGATTTTAATATTAATTCTTCTGCTACTGTAGACAAAGTAAAATTATTAAAATTGTGCCTATTTTGTTTATAGTAATCAATATGAGTAATTGGTACAGTGTGATCCTCAGGTATATTTAAAAAATGTCTATTTATCAAATCAGGGTCATTGAACTGATGAGGAAGTTCTTCAGCCTTATTTTTGAGATTTACTACGTTTTTCAAATTTTTCCACATAGTCTTGGAAACCTTACTACTTTTATTTATGTACTGTTCGAAATATGCTTTCTTTTCATTTATCATGGCTTCTGTTACTATCAGCTTCATGTTTTTATAACAATTTTTAAATGTGTTATTTTTCGATTTTTTGTATTTAGCATGGTAGTCGTCGCGAATTTTGATCATTTTGCGTATTGTATCAGTAATCCAAGGGTGAGGCGGTGATTTGAAATGAGTGGTTTTAAGTGGAGCATGCAAATCGAACAGAATGTTTGTAGCAGAACAAAAATAAGTAACCATGTCATTGACGTCATTAAAATTTGTACAAAGTGACCAATTTATGATCTTTCTAAATCACGAATAAATAATTCTGTAATAATATTATTTAGTGGCCTATATGTTATATAACGAGGACTAAGTTTTTCTTTTTTTATATTAAATTCAGCAGAAACAATGGCATGGCTTCCCAAATCGGGCAAGTATTTGACTATGGTGTTTCGTACTCGAGCATCTGAACAGATCAAATCTAGCAGTGTTTCGCTGTGGCTAGTGAAGTGTGTCGGAGTATTAACAACTTGTTTTAAGCTATGACATTCTAAGAATTGGTATAGCAATATAGTCTTGTTGTTTCCACTATCCAAAATATTAATATTGAAATCACCAACCAAGATAACCTTATCCGCGTTGGCAAAAGTGGAAACTGATTCAGCCAACGCATCCAAGAAAATATTAATATCTAGTCAAGGGGGTCTATATGCAAGTGCCAATGATAAGGTTGACTCCTGAAATATTCATTTTTATCCACATCTGTTCTACAGAGGGAGTAGAAGGATGTGGACAAAATTTAAATGCTGAATTTTTATGTATATAAAAGCCTACTCCTAAGCCTCTTCCTCTTTTAATTTGCTGAGGCCTAGGATTATGTCGCAAACGATATTCATCCAGTATGGGAGCTTTCGTCTCTTCTCCAGCTCTAAGCCATGTCTCATTAATGGCCATAATGTCTGGCTTTAGATCTTTCATGGCCACAATGAATTCCTCATGCCTAGAACCCTAGGAGCCTGCGTTTAACAAACTATCTTTTAAGTATTTCAAATTACCCATTCCAAATAGTATATGAATACTTTATTCTTTATTATAGAAGCTAGTAAATAACCAGTCTGTGCGTTATAAGTAGATATGGATGTTAAGGTCAGTAACAAACAAATAAATGGTATATAAATTCTTCCGCAAAGTAGTATGGTGTAGTCATAATTATAGATAAATAAATAATATAAATATATGAATTGATGATTGTTTAAGTTAATAGAGAATGAAAGAATATATATTATAATATAATACAATAAATAAAAATAATATTTATAATTTGATGGTTGTATAAATTGTTCCAAATAAATATTCCCCACATATTTGACGTAAAGAAGTATATAGTACACAATCTTACTAATACAATAATTTGGTATAAAATATACATTCAACTTTCTCTTTAAATCATGATAAGACGTTATTTCACACCTTATCGGAACCAAAAATACGAATAAAGTCTTCCTCCGTACGAATATAGTAGGCCGGCTTTCCTTCACCTTGGCGCGCGTAAATGCGACCTCTCTTTGTCCACGAGTAACGCCACGAGAATTTACGGCACGCCTCACGGACTTTGTAGAAAAGCTGCTTATTGTAACGGGTTAGTCGCTCGTTAACGTAAAGTCGGTGTGGCGGGGCGGCTGAGCCCAGTTCCGTGGTGGTGCCCCTAGGTGATTCTTGGCACTTTATGCGTTACGTGCATTTTGTGCCCAGTCGCGTTATAAAGTGCCACCTTCGCACTTCCCCCAACCCTTTTGTTTGCAAAAGGGGTAGGCACTGCCCAACAGTGATTACGCCAACGTATTTTAAACCTCACCATCCGCGTCGCGCATCGTGCCGAACGGCTGGTATTTTAGATAGGGCCAATTGATTACCTGACTGACTTTTAGGTAGGTTCTCAGCATGTCCGATAAGGACAAGAGGGAGCCCCCACCTAAACCAAGAAGACCACCGGACCGTCCTGGAGTACTGGATCGACCAATCGCGTATCGCGACATCTTCCATCCGGAACGGACTCGAGTAGTGTCCTCCTACTCGCAGATCCCAACACGGAAACCTTCGTCACCAGGCAAGGAGCCCGCACCGAGGACCGCGCTCTCGCCCACCGTACCTGAAGGTACGTCTGGGCGTGAACCGTTCCCCCAACTTCAGCGGATCAAGAAGTCGCTGAGAAGGCACACTCCACCCGAGACAGCAGCATCCCTACAGGAAAAGAGGCAATGCTTCGGATCTTCCAACTCCTCGGAATATTCATCATCCGAGGAAGAACATGACCAGCAACCGAACAGACCCGGACGGAGATCACCACCCAAATCGCCATCGCCGATCAAACCAACTCCTCCCAGAACACCGGAACACCATACCAGCATGAATGCTGTTGACCTGGAACAGGGAGGAGAAGGGTCATACGGGTGGAGTGCAACCACGTACGCGACCCTAGCGCCAAGTAGATCTGCCGGACACTCACCGTCCGCGCCTACTACCAACCCGTCAGGCCGGCCATCGGACGATGGCCAAAGGCCTTCGACCAGTTATGTCCAACTGGTAGCTGCCCCGGCAGTACCAAGGACAAAGACAGCTGAGGCACCTGAACCGCCATAAGAAACGGCCAAAAGATACCCACCTATAGTGGCTGAGTGCTTACCGGACTGGACGAAGCATTTCCAGGTACTCAACAAGAAGCTGGGTCACCCACCGAATGCTCGTCCGTTCGGTAAGGGGGTCAGATTAACCCCTCAGAGTCCGGAAGAATTCCGGACGGTGCAAAAATGTTTAATAGAGATGACCGATAAAGTACCAGCTATGTCCTGGTACTGTTACACCCCCGAGGAGGACAAGCCCACGAAAGTGGGCATACGGGGACTACCAGTGGGCACGGATCCATCCGCGATAGAGGGGGCTATCAGGGCCAAGGGGTTCCCGATCAAGTATGTAAAAGGGATCCCCCCCCCCGTAGAGGCAGACCGGGGTGCCGCTACTTCGCGCAGCTGGACCACCTGAGCCTGAAGCGCCTCAACGAACTCTACCAGATCGACGAGCTCCTCTTCATGAGAGGAGTCGTCATAGAGGCCTGGCAAGGAAGAGCGGACCCATCACAGTGCCACCGCTGCCAGGCCTTTGGCCATGCATCCACCAACTGCTTCAGGCCAGTGAAGTGTGTTCGCTGCGCCGGAGATCACATCGCCAGCAACTGCCCAAGGGGTAGGGATGAGAAAGTATGGCTAAAAACCATACCGCCAACGATCGCCGCTGCCCAGTCCTGAGGAGGATTCCAAGGAAGCAGGGGATTGCTCTACCGGGACTACTCCCAGAGGAGCCCAAGAGGGTCCTCCAGAGTCGTCCCAGGGCCGTGGTTCAGGAAGACGGGTGGACCACAATTAGAGGAAAGGGAAGGCAACCCGCCCCCCCTCCACCCGTCACAGCACCCATAGAAACGGTGGTGCCAACTACCACCACATCGAAGGCAACCACCGGGGCGACTCTCCAGCCCCCCGCTAACGACGCCATAGAGCGACAAACCTCTCAGAGGAGTAAGCGGGTGAGGAAGAAGAACTAGAAGGTGCAGCCTCCTCCTCAGGCAGCAACCTCTACCCCAACCCCAGCGGTAACGATAGCCCAGGCGCATGTTACCAAGGGGAAGAAAGCCAGAATGGGTAGAGTGCCAGAAAGGGCTCTATCAGAAAATAAAGCCCGCTCTACATATAGAGCGCGCTCTACCCATACACAAAGAGCAGTACACCAACTCCCGAGACCAGCGCCAACCCCTTCACAGTCATCGAGAACACGATCAGCCGGCTTCGAGACTGCTAACGCCATCCAACGTCTGGTTGGCATAGCAATCGAAGTCGGCAGTCAGGTCCTGGCAGACATCAGAGCCGGGACTGATCCCATCATAGCGGTTATGAAGGCGCTGGCAAACCTCCTGGATCGGCACTATGGAGGAATCTAACCTGCGCCTCCTCTACTGGAATCCAGATGGAATCCAGCAGAAGCTAAATGAACTCCGCACCGTCGCCCAACAACAAGACGTACAGGTCATCTTGCTGGGAGAGACAAAATTAAACCCGAGTACACGCATAAAGCTGCCTAATTACCACCTTTATAGGAGGGACGAGGTCACTTCTCAAGGGGCCGCCTACAGAGGGACGGCGGTTCTAGTGAGAAGGGACATCGTCCATCAAGAACTTGACTTACCGGAATACCAAACTATGCGCTCTATCGGCATAAAAATGGAGGCGGCGCGCGAGGAACTTTAGAAGGATCTACGCAGCATACCGCCCGCCAGGGACTCCATTTTGCTCCTCAGACGTCCGGACGGTAATGGAAGGCGAAACACCGACCATCATCGCCGGGGACCTAAACGCCAAACACCCGGCATGGGGATCTAGACTGATCAACCCGCCGGTGCACTTTTTGAAGACGCCGAAAGACATGGCTATGACGTTTTAGGTCCCGAAGAACCCACTCATGTTCCGACGGATCCACGAAGTCGTCCGGATGTATTGGACATCGTGCTCGCTAGGAACATCAACCACCCGATAGTGGTAGAGGTGCTGTACGACCTGGATTCACAGCACCTCCCGATCTTAATTACCCTTGGCCTAAAGGCGGTGACTACGCTGCCCAGAACAGTTAAGACACGTGTCGACTGGAGGCTCTACCACAAACATCTGCAGGAGAGACCTCCAGCACACCACCCCTTAAACACAGCGGACGACGTAGAGGCCGCAGCTACCAATATAACAAAGGCGATACAGGAGGCCCTCAACGCTGCCTCTACGATCGTCCCGATGTCAACAAGGAGAGACGTTCTGCCGCGACACATTAGCGTGCAGATCAGGAGAAAAAGGGCGCTAAGGAGACTCTGGGCGCGTAGTCGCTGCCCGAGAATCAAAACGCTACTCAACACCCTATCGGAGGAACTGTCGGTTGCAGTCCAGGCACACAGAGGAGATGCCTGGGAGCGACGTATATGGAAGGCGGAAGAGCACGATGCGTCGCTCTACAAACTGAACCGACAGTTAACTAAAGCCAAACCTCCCGTTTGCCCGCTGACCAACAACGCGGGCGAACGTCGTTACGATGCCAAGGGTAGAGCGGATATCCTAGTAGAGCACTTCGAGAAGCAATTTATGCCGAACCCAGCAAGTGCGGAGTTCATGAAGCTTCATGCCCAAAAGGAGAGTCGCGTACATGAGTTCCTGTCGTCGCCCGCGCCGCCTCTTGCAGGAAAGTGGTTCATCTCCCCCCGCTGAACTGCGGTGGACAGCAACCCGCCTGCAACCGAGGAAGGCAACAGGGCACGATGGGATTACCAACGCTGCACTCCGACAGCTGCCCCATAGAGTCCTAGTAGAGCTTGGTCGACTCTACAATGGGATATTGCGGACATCCCACTTCCCGGAGGAATGGAAGAAAGGCAAAGTGATCGTCTTGCCGAAACCCGGGAAGGACAGGCGTAGAGCTGCCAGCTACAGGCCGATCACGCTGCTACCACACATAGCTAAACTGCTTGAAAGATTGTTGCTAAGACGCCTCCGTCCGTGCATCCAACTTCGGGCGGAGCAGCATGGATTCAGGAGGGGACACTCTACAGCAACACAGCTGACCAGAGTGCTGCACCTGCTTGCGGCCGAATACAACCGTAGCCGCACTACGTTGGGCGTCTTTCTCGATATCGAGAAGGCGTTCGACAGGGTGTGGCATTCTGGACTACTTTATAAACTAGAAGAACAGACCAGTGTCCCTCCTGCTATGTTGCGGCTAGTGGCGTCCTTCCGGCAGACAGGAAGTTCTACGTCTGCGTAGAGAGCGCCGAGTCCGCAACCAGAACCATCAGAGCCGGCGTTCCTCAGGGCAGCTGTTTGTCTCCAGTCCTGTACGCGGCTTATACCAACGATATCCCTACCCTGGCAGGAAGGCTGCAAGAGTGGGAGGATGACGTGGATTGGCGTTATACGCGGACGATAGCGCTTATTTCACCTCGTCCAGAAGAGCCCACATTGCCACTGCCAGGATGCAACGTCTACTGGACCTGCTGCCACCATGGCTAGATGAGTGGAGGATGGTCGTCAACGTTGGTAAGACGACCGCTCTGCTCACTCGCCGCCTCAGGAACCTACCACCTCAGCTAACCCTCAATGGCCAGAAGATCGCGTACGAGAAGGCCGTGACCTACCTTGGGTGCCGGATCGACCGGGCGCTGCGCATGACTGCGCACGTCGACCTCGTCGTCCGCAGAGCACGATGTGCGCGGGCGACGCTCCGTCCGGTCCTGGCATCCAAGTTACCACTTAAAACCAAAGTGCGAGTCTATAAAACGTACATTAGATCCATCATTACGTATGCTGCTCCGGCCTGGTACGCGCTTCTGAGCGAGCCTCTGAGGCGGCGACTGCAGGCCCAGCAAAATCTGACGTTAAGAACCATCGTCGGTGCGGGTCGCTACGTCCGGAATGACGTCATAGCGGCCAACCTAAAGATTGACACCATCCAGGGGTTTGTGGCCCGGCTGGCGCGCGGACTGTTCGACCGTGCAGACAACGGGCCACATCTACATATTAACCAACTTGCGCCGCTACACACTCGCCCTCCGGACGGGGGACCCTATCCAAGAGAACTCCTCTCTATATCGATTAGAGAGTCGAGTAACAACCCTCAATGCCGCTGAAAGGCCAACTCCGACTTTATACTAGACAACCTCTTTTTTTCCCGTAGTCGGTTAACTACGGGAAAAACTCTACCAATTACGGACAAATCCGCATAAACTAATAACGCCAATAGAAGGCTCCCAGGACCGGTCCATAGTGGTGGACCGCGAGGATAGCACGGGCATACCCCGAGGCCCGAACCCTGCATGTCACATTGGGGCATGTAGACGACAATCAACGTTCAACGTGGTGGTGAGTGTGCGGCGCACACGCGTGGCGCGCAACAGCTCGTCGCGCAGCTGACGGCGCGCCAGCCGCACCACGACGCGGCGGCTCCGCGGTACTACGCTACCCGGCGACCCGCCACTAACCGCCGCTTGGACCGCTCCCATGCGCTCCGCAAACACTATGTCTCGCTCTTCTAGTGGCACACCTAGTCTGGCTGCGAGCACGGACACGGTGTGAATGATATTTTCACCCTTTTCTTCCGGTAAATGCCCGATCTCCAGATCCGAGAGCAGTGCCTCTTGATTCCGATCGTTGAGTTCTAGTTTTAACGAGTTCACCGTTCGCTCCAGTTCGACAACCTCAACTGCGGAGGGTTTGTGCCTTTGCTCAATTATCTCAAGCCTACGCTCGATGCCATCCATACGCTCACTAAACTTGAAGTTCACTAATCTCCTTTCGCAGTTCACGCATCTCAGCTGTGCAGGTCACTAGCTGGCGACTGAGCTCTTGTGCAATCGATTCTTCACCAGATTTCATGTGTAATGTCTTAGACAAATCGCTGCAGGGTGGACTAGTAGTGTCCTCCCGAGGTGACACATTATCTTGTGATATGTTACCAGATATCCCTCTTACAGGAGTAGATGTATTATCCCCTTTTCGTGACTTCCTTTTGCATTCTGGGCAAGCCCAATCTTTGCTTATATTTGCCGTAACAGATACTAATAGACATCCACGATGGAACATAATCGTACAAACAGTACAAGTAACGGCACCTGTCGACGTAAGAAATTTACCACATGCTCCACACTTTGGCATATTGAGTTTAATGGGTGCTAAGACTGTTGTACAAGAGATGGCGCTAATTAAACTCACCAACTAGTTGCTATTAATGCTACTATGAAATTAAAGATCCATGTACCCTCTTCTGGGCTTCGAATGTCAAAGATCTTCTGGATTAGATTAGGCTAAAAAAACTTACAGTCATTTAAGTTACAACACCATAACGCTCACACAGAAAATTCATGTGCTATTTCACTTATATATTATGTTAATAGGCCGAAACAAACTTTATTTCTATTTTTACGAATTAAAAATCTGAGCAATCTTTGTTGTTCGTATACCGTCCGTGACGAGAATCCTAACACTTGATATTAACGAAAAGCCTATATCGGATACACGGATATAGGCTAAGTAGTACAGTATCATCAATAACCGACCAGGGTTTACTCAAGAATCGCTGACGGCATTAAAATTGAGAGCGTGGAGTAACCCTGATAAAAAAATTTATTGTACCTTGGTCATGGATGAAATGAAAATTAAGCAGTTAATGAAATACCATGCTTGATATTATACCCATTGAAGCTACTGACGCATTAGTGTTTTAATGGTCGGTATAAACACAACGTGGATAGTACCCATAGCCAACTTTTTAATTAAATTTGAATTAAAATCTTAATTTGATCAGATTTTTGTAAAAACTGCCATAATTCTAATAACTAATAAGATAAAATTTTATATTAGGTACCCTAAAAAAACCCTTCTCTGCTGGCCGTATGAGGAAGTTGAAAGTGACTCAACGAGCTACGAAGACGACTATGCTATGAATTTCCTGCGTGATAGACTTAGAAATGAGCATATCCTCAGTAAAACTAGAGTGACCGACATAGCCCAACGGATTAGTAAGCTGAAGTGATAATGGGCCGCCAATATAGCTCGAAGAACCGAAAACCGTTGCGGAAAAAAGGTTCTCGAGTTGCAGCCTCGTATTGGTAGGTGAAGTGTAGGGTGACCCCCACTAGGAAATCGATGGATGCAGGTGGCTCAGGACCGTGCTTTGTGGCATTACTTTGGGGAGGCCTATGTTCAGCAGTGTTGGGGGTATCAAAATCATGCGGCTATGTGATTTGTTTAGAAATAATAATATCGACATAGCCCTCGCCATAAGTTGCTTACGCATGTGGACAGTGGCACCAGTGTATCGACACGTGTACAATTTGATGGTATGCGTACATGCAATTATCTAATATGTGCATGCAATAAATACAAAAAGAAATGCTATAGTGTGCGTGTATAGTGACGCGATTCAATTTCGCATTTGTAGTAGAGTATACAGTAGTGTGTTTACCTCGCCTCCCCTGAAAGTGACAGACTTTTTGTTTAGGAATTAACGCGCATAGCCTCTCCAGTTGGTTGAATTCTCAAAGATTCCCGTATAAATTCCTGGAGTGTATACTATATGTATGGTTACAATACTCTGCCACAAAGTGATAAGAAGTACTAGCGCAGTCAATGACACAAACTAATAAGGTGTGTGGGAGAGTTTTAATGCTGCTTTCATTTTACTGTATAAATCATGGAGGTTAGAGAACAGGAGAACGATCGCTGTAGAAAATAGTGTCACAGAAATATGGACACCATAAGTGAGGCGCTGCGATCGCTAAGTTCGCTCAATAAAAGTAATTTTCAGTCTATTTTTCCGATTAGATGCAAAACCACTTGCACATCTACGCACAATAATATATTTCTTCATTTTTTAAAGTTTCTTTTTGTCAAAAATTACAAAATTACGGAGCATGAAAATTTTCTCACCAATGCCGCGAAGAAAATTTATACATTATTCAACTAACTTCATTTACTTGTACACATTAACAGCTAACTTCGCAGTCACTATTCACCGACGTCAGCGCCGCTATAAATTCTACAATTTTCAAGGACAGGCGGGTTATGCTTTAGTACATAGCGATTGTTCTCCTGTTCTTTAACCTCCATGGTATAAATAATGGTTTGAAGTTATTTCCATACGTGAAAGTTTCGTAAATATCGAACAGTTTCGATAAATATCGATATATTGTCACGTTTTGCATGTTTTTTATTTTTATTTTTTTTTTATAGAAGAGGGGGCAAATGAGCATGTGGCTCACCTGATGTTAAGTGATTACCGCCGCCCATGATCAACCGCAACACCAGGGGAATTGCAGGTGCGTTGCCGGCCCTTTAGAAAGGAGTAAGCTCTTTTCTTGAAGGTCCCCAGGTCGTATCGGTCCGGAAAAATCACCGGTGGTAAATTATTCCACAGAGAGGTTGTACGCGGAAGAAAACTCCTTTTGAAACGTACCGTGTGGTGGACCGCCAAGCATCCAGATGGTGTGGATGGTATCGGGACGTTTGCCGTGTAGTGCGTTCACGAAATTTGGCGGCTGGGATTAATCCGAACAATTCCTCAGAGCACTCCCCGTGATAGATGCGATAAAATACGCAAAGAGATGCAACATCTCTTCGCAGCGCCAGTGAATCGAGCCGATCGGAAAGCACTCGGTCGTCGACGATTCGAGCCGCTCTGCGCTGGATGCGGTCAAGTGGAAGGAGCTGGTACTGGGGAGCTCCAGCCCAGAGATGGGAACAGTATTCCATGAGCGGCCGAACCTGCGCCTTGTAAAGTGGCAGGCGGTGTGCCGGCATGAAATACTGTCCCGCTCTGCTGAGCACGCCAAGCTTTTTAGAGGCCAATTTGGCCTTCCCTTCCAAGTGACCACGAAACTGCACGTCACTCGATATGTCGACGCCGAGGATTCCGATACTGGCTGAGGCAACAAGGGGGAGTGCCTTGAAACTGAGGGGATACGACAAAGGGGTTCTTTTTAGCGGTTAACGCGCAAACTTGTGTCTTCTGGGGGTTAAACTGGACTAGATTTAGTCGCCCCCCAATCCGAGACTCTGTCCAGCAGAGACTCGACTTCAGACACAAGTTTGTCCCGGCACTCAGAGACGTTTTCCCGAGAAATATTGGCTCGGCCGGTGTAAAGAGCATCACCAGTGCTGTCATCTGCATAGCAATGAATGCTACGGGTTTGCAACATATCATTGATATGCAGAAGAAACAGCGTTGGCGATAGCATGCAGCCCTGTGGAACACCAGCATTAATAAGCTTGCAATCGGAGCTTGCACCGTCTACAACGACCTTGATGCTCCGATCTGCAAGAAAACTGGTGATCCAATCGCACAATTTCTCGGGAAGCCCATAGGAAGGGAGCTTCGAAAGAAGCGCTTTGTGCCAAACCCGATCGAAGGCCTTCGCAATGTCCAAACTAACGGCCAATGCCTCCCCCTTGGACTCTACTGCCTCCGCCCATCTGTGAGTTAGGTAGACCAGAAGATCACCAGCTGACCTACCACGGCGAAAACCGTATTGGCGGTCACTAATCAGCTGGTAATCCTCAAGGTACCTCATGAGCTGGCAGTTTACAATAGACTCCATTGTTTTGGAGAACAAGGAGGTGATGGCGATAGGCCGGTAGTTGGACGGGTGTGAGCGGTCGCCTTTTTTAGGGATCGGGTGGACGAAAGCCGTCTTCCATGATTTTGGGACTACGCCTAGGGAGTAGGAGTACCGGAAAAGACGCGTTAAAACCGGTGCCAACTCTGGAGCACACGTCCTCAGCACAATTGGGGGGATTACATCAGGCCCACTCGACTTATAGATGTCCAGGGAGAGGAGTGCATGTAGTATGATATGTCGCAAAATTTTACTACTTGACGTTGACGTAGTTCAAACGAACTACGAAACAAACGACATCAGCCCATGAATGCTTTTGCTGTGTAATTTTTTGTCAATTAATACAACATTTTAAAATATATCGAAATTTATACGAATTTGATTCTCTAAAATAAATTTCAGATACCGATATATCGCGATTGAAAATATCGACGTTATATATCGGTATATTTAACCCAAGCCTATTTCGTGTAGGTATCTGTCAAAATTAAAAAAAGGCATTGTTGAATTATGTTGAATTTGTCGAATGCTCATCACATTCTATATTTTTAATTGTGTAAAATAATGGCTAAGCTTCATAATTATTACGTATTATGTCCCCTTATTGATCAAAAAAGTTTCTTGGGTGTATCGCAGGATAAGGAAACTACAAATGTTATAGTAACTCTGGGCCGTAATGTTGTACATAAATATAGGGTACTTTATTTCCTTAACTTAGAAGTTACCTATATACATATTTTTCTAAAAAAAATTATTTAAACCATTACATTCATAAATACTCAGATAATGTGAATAGATTTCTTCAATTTCATTCATAATTGTTGTGTGATAAGTTAAATTTATAGGTTGTTTTTAGCTTTCAGATCAAAAGCTCGTTGTTGGATGGACTTCAAAAGACTTCATAACATCTACGGTTATTTATGATCAAGAGCAAGATGCATATGTTGGGATTTTCAATAATAATGCAATTAAAAGTTGGAACGAGGAATGTGACAACTTAGATAAAATTAAGAAACATAAAGTTTGTATAACAGTAAAATTTTGCTATGTTTATTTAATGCTGAAAGTAATATTGATCAAGTTTGCTTCAGTGTTACAATCACTTTTTGTAGTGGCAGAAAATCGACTAACTTTATATTTTGCTTTAA